TTTTATTTTTCTATAGCAATAAATTTAATATAACTAGACTCAATTTCATATATTATCTCTATCATAAGGTTATATTATATTCATACATATTTCCAGTTTTTTGAATAATATCATACTTTTTATTTATCATTATATTTGCTGTTTGTATTTTCAATATTTAATCAGCTATGAGAGATTTCATAACTTAATCCAAAGAGGATTATTGATAAAGATGTTTATAATTATTATTATTTTGAATATAATAACTATTCATTTGAAAATGATACCCCTTCGACTAACTAGAATTTAATGATGTGGAGGTTTCATACCATTACCAAAAAAAAGTTGGCGAATTCAATTAAAGAATTATAATAAATATTTTAGAACTAATTAATACATTGAATGCACAAAATCAAAACTACAACAAATTAAAATTTTTCAAAAATGTTGAGTTTTTCTAGAGGTATCATAAAGTATAAAAAATTGCCTTCATATAGTAGATTCCACAGAATATGGTTAGTTTGGATTCCAGATATTTTAATCATATTTTTGATATTATTGTAATTACTTGAAATAAGTTGATTAAAAAAAGATACTTTGAGTCTTCAACATAACAAAAATAGAATTGAAAAGAAACTAAATCATAACAATAAACTCAAAAGCAAATATTTACATTACCATTTATACTGATTGATTTAGAAATTTTGTAACAAAATTCAAAATTAAATTCATTCAAAAAAATTTATGTTTTGATATTATTTTAATACATTAATTTATATTAGGTATAATATTTTTCTTCTTATCAGTCAATTCTAGCTTATCAGATGATATATAAATTAGGCTTATGATATATTTAATTATATAAAATCTAATTTTGCATTACAAATGAATAACAAAATAAAATATCATTGCACTGAGCTTTTGCTTAAAATCTAAGCGGTACAACTCTGTGGATTGTATACCAAAGAATGATATGAAAATCTTTCAGATTACTCAATACCCCAAGCAACATTGCCAATCATATTAAGTAAAACCAAAGCAAAGTCAACATAGAATACTATGTGTTCTATATTGTACTTTTTTATCAAATAAAATCCTAAATTAGTAAAAATTAAAACTCCAATAGCCTAAAGATATATGTATAATAATTACTCCTATTCCATAAAAGAAAAATTGATAACCAATTTAAAAAGTCAAATCCTAAGTCTCTTTGACTATAAATGAAATAAAGACTTGTAAACATATAATAAAATATCCATAATTTGCCGTTGCTCCAGCAGCTGCAGCAACTAAATTGAATTCCATTAGAGTCACAAACATAGTCAAGCCAGCTGCCATACCTAAGAATCCAGCTATGAATCCAGTAGCCCAACCAGCTCCATATATCATGAAGAATCTTGTCCTTGGAGTGAAATAGCGCTCATTCACATTAAATTTCACAGTATTTTTAAGAAGTTCTTGTTTGCGCATGTAAAAGAATACCAAAAGCGTAAAGATAAAGTTTACACCAAACAAGAGTAACATCATATAGAAATTCCATGGTTCACAAGCGGAGAATTAATCACCGAAATCTTTATCATTTGGAAAAAAATAAGGTGATGTTTAGTAAGATGTTGTCCTTAGTAAAATGATTGATTCATTCAAAGCAAAATTGCCAAATGCCAAGAGGATTGGCAATAAAGGAAATCTTGAAGTCGATTCATCTTAAAACTATTTAAAAACTTTTGAAATTCTTTATTCGTCATTCATATTGGTTTCAACATTAAAATCATCAGTATTGATTTGGGTTGGTTGAACTTCAATCTTCTTTTCTTTTTTGTTTTCAAGTCTTTCCTCAGATTTAGCAAAATACAGAAGCACAGGGCAACTTGCTACAAAGAATATCATTTGTATAGTCAACAAAGGCAAAAGTGGAAGGTAGTTTGCCAAGTCCATTCCAATTTGCATCGAAATAGGTATGCCTAAGGCATAGACCAATCCGATCTCAAAATTAACTAAAGGACGTTCAGGATAATCAGGATGGCTATAAATAGTTCAAGATCTATATTTACCTTTAAAACAAAATTATAACTTGATTCACTAATTGCGCACTAAACATAAGGCAAGCAGTGATGTCCCCTGAAGTAGATGAGTTTATATTTAGAATTGCCTCTAAAATGGGTCTTTTAAAAACACCTCCTAATGAACTTAATAATATTCTCACCTCCAAGTGCTCCAAGGCTGCAAACTCCAATAATTGGAATAATAAGAATATACATAATAATTGAGACTGCATTCGGATATAAGATTCCCTCTCTGCAGCAGCCTATCTCATTAATTGGCTAGCCCTTAAAAGCTAGGCTACTACAAACAGAAAACTATCCACAAGTAGAGCTATGACAATTTATTGTACCAACTCCTTAAAATAAGGAGTATTTGTCATCCTCACATGAAAAAAATGATGACATTATTAAAATAAATCAGATTGTTCATTAATAAGAATAGGCTTTAAACAATATATATTTTTAGTTCATTAATAAGAATTGCCTTTTAAAAAATATATTTTTAACTCCTTAGAAAATTACTCTTGTATGAACGAATGACAAAATATACAATGCATTTTTTGTTATGCAATAAGCATTTTGTTTTGAATTTGAAATTTATGAAAACCATTCTATAAAAGAATTTTTATATCCACTATTAAAATTATTTCAATTAAATCAATTTATATAATTTTGTTAAAGTGATTTGATATAAGGCAAATTTTTCGCTTCTCAAATAAAGTAAATACTATAAGAAATCATCTCAATCATCATTTTTATTGAAATTGCAATTTAGTTTTTTTGATAAAATTAAGGATGTTGCTTGAATTGAACATCGGCAACTACTTATTATAATAATTTTAAGAGATTCATTTAAGAATCATTCCATTAGAAAACTTCATAAGAGACTTTCTAAAATTCATTATATTCAATAAATTATAATTTATTTATTAATTCATTATATATATTTTTTTCATTAAAATAATTAAAATACTAGATTCAAGAAATAATCAGTTGATTTGCTCTTCTTCATGGTATTATCTGTAACTCATTAAATTAATAAGGTACCAACTCAAGAGAAGTCAAACCTTCAATTTCACACTACATAACATTTTCAATTAAATGAATGGCAATTGATTTAAATTATTCTTTAATGAATTTTAAACAAATATATTATCTTGGGTTTCTTGGATAAAAATAAATAAATAAATAAATAAAGCTCATTGAACTGAGCTTTTGTTTAAAATCTAAGCGGCACAACTCTGTGGATTGTACACTAAAGAATGATATGAATATCTTTCAGATTACTCAATACCCCATGCAACATTGCCGATCATATTTAGTAAAACCAATGCAAAGTCAATGTAAAATATTATATGACCTACATTGTACTTTTTGATCACATAGTATCCTAAATTAGTAAAGATTAAAACTCCAATAGCCTAAAGATTTATATATAATAAATACTCCTATTCCATAAAAGAAAAATTGATAGCCAACTGTTAAAGTCAAATCCTAATATTCTCCTACTACGAAAGAAATAAAGACTTGCAAACATATGATAAAATATCCATAATTTGCTGTGGCTCCAGCAGCTGCAGCTACCAAACCAAATTCCATCATAGTTACAAACATAGTCAACCCAGCTGCCATACCTAAGAATCCAGCTATAAATCCAGTAGCCCAACCAGCACCATAAATAGCAAAGAATCTGGAGATTGGTGTGAAATATCGCTCATTCATATTAAAATTTGCAGTATTTTTTAGTAGTTCTTTTTTTCTCATGTAAAAGAGCACCCAGAGTGTGATTATTAAATTCACTCCAAATAAGAGTAGCATCATATAAAAGTTCCATGGTTCACAAGCAGAATATTTATTATCAAAATCTTAATCATTCGGATAAAAATAAGGTGATATTTAATAAGTCGTAGTCCTAAGTAGAATGATTAATTCATTCACTGCAAAATTTCCAAAAGCCAAGAGGATTGGCACCAAAGGGAATCTTGAATTTGATTCATCCTGTAGCTATTTGAATAATTCAGCCATTCTTTGTTCTTCAATAATGTTGCCTTTGACCTACTATTCTATCGTAATGATAGAAGATTGCTATAACTCATTGTTAACCTCTTTATTATTTTCACTTTTTTGTTCAGATTTTGCGAAATATAAAAGTACTGGGCAAATTATCAAAAAAAAAAGCATTTGTAGTGTCAACAAAGGCAAAAGAGGTAAGTAATTTGCCAATTCCATTCCAATCTACATTGAAATTGGTATCCCCAAGGCATAGACTAATCCTATCTCAAAATTGACCAAAGGGCGTTCGGGGTTGTCAGGATGGCTAGAAACATAGAATATTCTAAATACCTTTGAAAAAAGATTATGACTTGATTCACTAATTGAGCCCCAAACATAAGACAAGCAGTAATATCGCCAGAAGTAGACGAATTAAAATTTAGAAGGGCCTCTAAAAAGGGTCTTTTGACAACGCCACCTAATGAACTTAATATTATTCTCACCTCCTAGTGCTCCAAGACTGCCAATTCCAATGATGGGAATGATTAGAATATATACTATAATAGAAACTGCGTTCGGATACAAAACTCCTTCTCTACAACAGCCTACCTAGCCAGTTGGTTTGCCAGATAATATTAAGCTATTGCATGCAGAGAACTACCCACATGAAGAGCTTTGACAATTTATGGTTCCAGAGCCTTGAAATAAAGAGTATTGGTCATTTTGGCATGACAATAATTAAGACATTATAAAAATATTTATAGAATGTTTTCTAATTTCGAAGAACATAAGAACTTACCAACCTAACTGCTACTCAAATTAGTGATTTAAAAATATTGCATTTTAAAGTACTAAATATCAACCTTAAAAATTTCAATAATAGTCTTTTCTAAAAAATTCAAATTTGATGAAACTACCCATTTTGAACACTCTGGTATGCAAAATGAAACTTATTTCAAATAAATTAAAATAAATAAATATAATTCTTCAGTTATCGAGGACAAAATTTCCGCATGTTGAAGGCTGTTGCTCCAATGAATGAAAACCATCCCGATAACCATTCTCAATTCCCCAAGCTATGTTTCCCATAATGTTCAAAATAACTATTCCGAAGTCAATATAAAAAATGATGTGGCCAATATTATATTTCTATAATAATCTATAACCAAAATTTGTGAATGTCAGCACAGCTAAAATCTATAATATCTTTATAAATTAATTACTCCTAAGGCGTAAAAAAAGAATTGTTCTCCCACAGGCAAACCTTAACTCTAAGAAGTACCAACCAAGAAACTAGTAAACACTTAAATGCAAATTAAGAAATAACAATAGTTGGCTGTTGCTCCTGCAACTGCGGCAATCAATTTAAATCGAACCATAGTTACAACCATTGTTAATCCAGCTGCCATTCCTACAAATCCAGCAACAAGTCCTGTTAAAAATCCTGCTGCATACACAAAAAAGAATCTCCTTGGAGGAGTGAAAAAGCGTTCATGAGGATAGAAATTCACTGTATTTTTTAACAATTCCTTTTTTCTCATAAAAAAGTAAACTGAACCTGTTATCATAAAGTTTACTCCAGTTAATAAAAGAACCATATAAAAATTCCAAGGTTCACAAGGACCTTTATCTTTATTTTGATTATTTATATCTCCTTCTGGAAAGAAATATGGGGAATATTGATATGGAGAAGATTTTAATAGTAATAATAGCTAAGAATAATTAATAGTAATTAATACTTCATTGATTGCAAAATTTCCCAAAGTTATCAAAATTGGTACAAGGGGAAACCTTTGACATTGTTCAGCATAAAGCTATTTGTATAGCCTAGCTTAATTTTCAGTATATTCATTATTATTTTAAATCTACTATTAAGACATAGTAAGAAGTGCTGATTCCTTTACTACATCACTGTTTTGATCCTTTATATCTTCTAATTCATTCTGCCTTCTAGCATAATAAATTAAAACAGGGGATATTGCTAAGAAGAATAGTATTTGAAATGAGAGTAAAGGTAGTAACGGTAGAAAGTTCGCTAAATCACTACCTAAACACAAACTGACTGGAATGGCTAAAGTGTAAATAATAGCTATGTCATAATTAATGACTGGTCGTTCTGGCACATCAGGATGACTATTGTTCTTAATCTGCATTATTACTTTTAGAGAAATATGAACACCATATTCACTATTTGAGCACTAATCATTAAGCACGCTGTAATGTCTCCAGCTATGCTTGCATCAAAATTCAGAATTGCTTAGAGAAATGGTCGCTTTACTATTCCTCCTAAACAAATTATAAAATGTAAATACCTCCTAAAGCTCCCAAACTTGCTATCCCTATAACTGGCACAATCAACATATACACGAAGACAGTCACGAAGTTTGGCTCTAAAATTTTCACACGGCAACACCCAGTTGTCTCAATAAATTTTTCATTTAGAATTGTGAGGCACTTGTTGTATTGACCGCATCCATTTATTGAGCATCCTAAACCCCCATTAAACAAATTGAATTTAGGGTCAGAGCAAGAAAATGATCTACTCATTGCAAATAAATAAATTATAGAATCAAACTTTAACCTAATTTACTTTATTCCAATTAAAATTTACATTATAAAACACCATATTTCAAAAGGATTTCATAAATATTATAAAAATTATAATATTCTAGAAAAAATTTGATTGTTCTCAAAAACTTAAAAATATCATTTTTGAAACCTAGTCTCTAATACCGATGACAAATATGGTAAAACAAGATCCAAATAGAATTTGAAGGGTTCAATATTTTAGTTTGAAAATAGAATAAGAATTATTTGTGTTTACATTACTGCAGGCAAGTCAGTAATATCTGAATATTCAATTGCATAACCATTTAAACAGAATGGAAGAGATTATATGCTTCACTTAAATAGGCGTCAAGCAATCAGAAATTTATAAAATTTTATCGGAAATTTGATAATACTGAAATATTTATAGGTGTGTTTCTATTAAATCAAGACTATATTTTAATTAATTTCAACAACAGAAATTGTGAGTAATATCCTAATTTGAAAGCATAAAGTTGCAATATATATATCTTCTTTCAAAAAATAATAATGCATTTTATAATATTTTTGATTCAATTAGAATTGAAAGGGATGATATGCTTAATTTCAAAACAAAAGATTTAAGGGTATTGATACATAAATTAAATCCATTAATGTTGTTAGGCTGTAAGGAATAATAAGGAATATATCTAATAAAAGTATGGATAGCAAAAGAATTAATAAATTAGCGTTAATATTGAAGAAGTATTTGTACATAAGAAATTGAACTCTAAACTCAGGTGGAATAATTATAACAATGGCAGCTTTGTTGTGTTAATTTTTAACATCAAAAAGAGATTTGGGAAAATTATGAAAGAATTAATTAATGCAAATAAAGTATTGGAAAAATATAAAGATAGTGGATAGGGCGAAAAGAATTGTTAACTTATAACAAAGACATAGTTTTTTGCTAAAAATACTTAAATTAAATCCATGCTATTCTAAAAGATAAAATTGAGACATATTAAATAAATAGTATTTTTAATCCATCTTCATTTCCCTAGGGAAGTGTTAATAAATGAATAGGATGAAGGTACACCTTAACCTTTAACTTGATTCAGATTTATTGCTACTATCTAAATAAAAGTGATACCACTAGTGTTAGTTGGCTTTTGAAATAAGTAGTTAAAGTCTTTTCCTGGCAACTTATGATGAAAATCTTTTCTTTCTTCATCCTTCCGATTCAGAGCTTTACTTAAAATAATTAATACGCAATTTAAGCAATGCAGCTAATTAATTAGCATTAAATAGTTGGACTTGAGGAATGTACGGTTTGTTATAGTAACTTTTTGAGCTATTAATAAGAAACGTTGTTTATTGTTAAGATAATTGGTTTTCACTTGATTTTATAGGAGATCCATTACTATTGGTTTGCTTTTATTTTTGCTTAGACTAATATTCTTGATTTTCAATAAGATCTTTGCTTAATTCAACTGTTGTTTTAGATCTTTTGTTTTGAATTTACGTCGGATTGTCATAGCGATTTAGTTATTTCTCTTAGATCAATAGTTATAATAAATGTTAGACTTTTTGAAATTCATTTTGATAATTTAACAACTATTGTCTTATCTCTATGTTATCTTTCTTATAATTCTCATTTTCAATTTTCAATTATTGTATTTCTTCTTTTGTTGAGTTAAAATTGTCTAAATTTTATTAATTTATTACTTTGAATTTCTTTGATTTCATTTTCTTAACTTTCAAATTTTATCTCCAATTGTTGAAGTTTTTCCTTCATGTTCCTCAAATGTTCTTAGGTTTCTTCCTCTCCTGAACACAGAGGATTGCCAATGTTGGAGTCCACATATTAAACAGAAATTTTGTATTATTATGATTCAAGCTATTAAGAAGTCAAAAATGATCCTAACTAACTTTTCTTATTTCTCTAATTAGAAGATTCTTAGATTATATTAATATTACATGAGTTTTAGATTAGCTTATTTAATACAACGGACTTTTCATTATTTTCTTCCTCTGTTAACATAGGGTTTTATGAACATTCGAATTCACAATCTGATTCTTCTTATCTTATCAATTATTCTTAGTCGGAATTCGAGACATGGCTATTACTTAAGGGGTTGTTAATTTGAGAATCAGAGTCGTTCATAGAAAATAACAATTATTTATTGAAACTAAAATATTAATTATTGAATATTATTGATAAATATAGTTTTATAATTATGCATATTTTTACATTTTTAAATATGATCAATCAAAGAAATGAATGTCATATGTGTTACTATACTAAAGAATATATTTTTATTTGTAATCAGTATACGGTTCTTTTTAGCGAATCATGAGATAAGTGCTTTAAATTCAATTATTTATGAATTTTGTGCAATCATTTATTACTTTAATGGTAAGCTTTTTAATGAAATAAACAATAAAATAACTCATTCCTCAATATGAAATTCAATCAAATCATCCAATCTCAATTTCTTTGTATTATATTCTCTAAGGTCAGGATACTTGACTGCATCCATCAAATAATCTATTAGATATTTTAATTCTTAATCGTTTTAATCAGAATACCATTCTAAGATTGGAATACCATTTTCAATTTAGAATCCAAAAGAATGAGCTAAATTATCAACAATAAGTATGTCTTTCAAGTCCTTATTGCCTATCAACCTTAAGTCTTTGATGAAAAATCCATTTTTTGTTTCCATACAATTGTTCCTAGTCATTATACCAGAAATGAATTGTTTGGTTGGATCTAAGTAATTAATGATTGCTAATGCATAGGCTGAAGAGGAAGCTGTGTATATGTATATAGTATAATGTTAAGATAACTACTACAAGAATAGTGTTGTATATGGTCGAATATTGATACCGATCTAATTTTATTCGAATGAATTACTTTGGCCTCCTCTCCGAAATCTCCGACAGCTGTTACATACACTTAAGGATTTTCCCTTTGAGAGCATGAATGAATTAGAGTTTCATCTAAATCAAGCACCAAGGTTTTGTCTTTTTTTGGATTGGCTTCTGAGAGTTGGACTTTTTTTGATTATATGAATTTATCAGAAGGTCCTTTAAGACATTTCCTTGCGTAAATCAATCCTCTCTATGTCAATATAAGATGTTTCTTAAATGTTTATTCGTTGATTGTAGGACCAAAAATAAGATGTCGAAAAGGATGGTTGCTCAATTTATCTTTGCCATTATTTTACGAATTCTTTTTGCTTTGCTCATTGTCTGAATTCACATTCAGATTTTACATAGAGACTGCTTATCTAAAATAGATTTCATCTCAGTACTTAGTTTTGCTCAGCTTCGTTTATTGTGGGGGTTGTTAACTTAATTTTTACTATATCCTTTATGCTTGTTCTTCAATATTGTAATTTCCTTCTTGTTATTATACTTATACTGGTTTTTGTTTCTTCTCTTAGTCACTAAAATCTGGTTCCTATTCAACATCTCCTTCAACCTTTTTTGTATTCACTAGATTGCTGAATCTGGACATCTTAGCAGCTAAATATAAATCTGCAGTACCCTAAGGCTATTTAGATTGAGGCTTTTAGTTTTTAGGTGTCCCCGAATCTGAATCGTCAGTCTGATACCCATTTTGAATGGGTGGTTTCGCCTTAGGTTTTAGATTTGTTTTAGGAGTATTATCTTTTGATGTCGTACTATCTCCTTCCTCTTCGCTATAAAACTGAAGCTTCTGCTCTTGATTGATAACCTACTTGATATGACCAACTTAGCCTTTTGCTTTAAAACTGTAAACCTTATCCATCTTATAATGTTAATATATTTAATAATAAAAAAGCTCAAATTCTCCCTTTTTATCTTAAGGGAGGTAATTTAGGTTGGCTTTCAGATTTATGCTTTAATTTATAGATGGTTGAGTTTGGTTGTTGTATTTCTTTTTCATCAGTATAACCCCATCTTGGATTTTACAATTTCGAATCAAATTCATTCAATGCTTTGTGTAATCTACTAGCTTTAAGATTTTGAGGTTTTTTCATATCGTCAACTAAATGATTAGAAAAGTAATACAATTCTTATAAGCATTTATTCTATCAAATTATGATTTTATTTTTTTGGGACTTATCTTCTCCTTTTCTTGAGTGTACTTTTTGGATTGTTTCTTGCTTTCATACACACTCTTTGCATTAGCTGAATCTGCTGAAGATGAATGGTATGACTTTTTAATATCTTCATCTTCCATCATCCATTTAAAATATTATTCATTTGAAATTTTGATATTCCTATCTCCTTCACGATTGATGGCATCATATATTTTCTAGTCATACGAATCCATTTTCTCAACAACTCCGTCTTCTTCATCTTCGTACTACTTCTTATTTTTTTATTGTAAACCATCCACAATAGTTTGATAATCTTTCTTACTCATTCTATCAGCAATCCTAAATTCACCACCTTCCTTTATGTATCCATTATCAAAAATGATATTTGTACCTAATTTAGACTAGAATAACTATTCATAAAACCTTCATTGCTTCAATTAAAGGAGGTTATTTTGGGTATTCGATTGCTGCTGCTTTTTCAAGTCTCTTATTGTCTTCGTCTCCTTTGGCGAACGCTTCTTTAACTGGTTTGATTTCAGGTTACGAATTCACTTCCTTCATTATCCTCTAAGGTTAATTAGTTTTTGTTTCTGGTTAAAGTATTTCATTTATCTGTAAATCTACAGGCCTATATATATTAGAGATATGTACTTTGTTGTTAGAAACACTACTTAACCATCATAATCATATGTGTATTGCTTATTTTTCAATTATTTCAATTGCTCCTTCTTTTTCTCCTCTTATTCGATTTACTCCTCCTTAATTTTACGCATTCTTTCATTCTCTTTCTATTTGTCTAGTTCTTAATATTCTCTCTATTCACGAAGTCGCTCTATTATGGCATCTGGAGTTGGAGGCTTTTTGGTCTCGGGCATTTTTATTAGGTTGGGTTTGTATTCCTCTTGAATTGCCGATTAAAAAGTTGTAATCTATTGAGAAGATCCACCCATTTTGTTTAGAAGCTTCATTTTGCTTACAGAATGTTAGAACTTCGCAATTGAGTTTCTAGAGAATCTTGATGAAGATTGGCTTTTTGAGGATCTAGCGTCATCAAATGTTTCTTGTCCTGTTGATGGCTGTTATAACTTAACAATTTTAACTCCCTTGGCAGTCAAATTATCAATCGTTTTAAAATGCTACGACATTATAAATAATTGAGTACAGGTTCATCTTCGTCTATCCATTTATTTAAAATAGCATATTTAGATTCCCCATGATCAAATGGCTATTATTGTTATTTATTTTACATACTAAGAATTCCTATTATACAACTCCACACTGCCAATTAGCTATCACTTCACAATTATATCCAGGTTCTTTTTCATATAAGTAATGTTCATAAAGATTTTGTGCACATTTTATTATTAAATAATCAACAGTTGGACTTACAACCTCTACAGTCTCAAAATTTTGCATTAATTGTTAAAGTATTAATATTTTTAATAATTATTATAATCCAATCCAAATTTTAATTCTCTAGATACTGTTTATTAAAAGGGTATTAGCACTTCTCAAAGAAATAACTATTATTCTATTTTCATTACATATTAAAAGATCGAAATATTAAAATTGCATAGATCTCCAGTATGAACTGTCTTTAGTATATTTTAATTTATAATTGTCAACATATCAATTATTCAATTTTATTTTTTGTAAAATAAGTTTGATATGAAAAGGACTTCATATTCGTCGATTGTGATAGGGAAGAAATTCATAGTAAATAAATAAATTAATTTTGAATANTTCATTGCTTCAATTAAAGGAGGTTATTTTGGGTATTCGATTGCTGCTGCTTTTTCAAGTCTCTTATTGTCTTCGTCTCCTTTGGCGAACGCTTCTTTAACTGGTTTGATTTCAGGTTACGAATTCACTTCCTTCATTATCCTCTAAGGTTAATTAGTTTTTGTTTCTGGTTAAAGTATTTCATTTATCTGTAAATCTACAGGCCTATATATATTAGAGATATGTACTTTGTTGTTAGAAACACTACTTAACCATCATAATCATATGTGTATTGCTTATTTTTCAATTATTTCAATTGCTCCTTCTTTTTCTCCTCTTATTCGATTTACTCCTCCTTAATTTTACGCATTCTTTCATTCTCTTTCTATTTGTCTAGTTCTTAATATTCTCTCTATTCACGAAGTCGCTCTATTATGGCATCTGGAGTTGGAGGCTTTTTGGTCTCGGGCATTTTTATTAGGTTGGGTTTGTATTCCTCTTGAATTGCCGATTAAAAAGTTGTAATCTATTGAGAAGATCCACCCATTTTGTTTAGAAGCTTCATTTTGCTTACAGAATGTTAGAACTTCGCAATTGAGTTTCTAGAGAATCTTGATGAAGATTGGCTTTTTGAGGATCTAGCGTCATCAAATGTTTCTTGTCCTGTTGATGGCTGTTATAACTTAACAATTTTAACTCCCTTGGCAGTCAAATTATCAATCGTTTTAAAATGCTACGACATTATAAATAATTGAGTACAGGTTCATCTTCGTCTATCCATTTATTTAAAATAGCATATTTAGATTCCCCATGATCAAATGGCTATTATTGTTATTTATTTTACATACTAAGAATTCCTATTATACAACTCCACACTGCCAATTAGCTATCACTTCACAATTATATCCAGGTTCTTTTTCATATAAGTAATGTTCATAAAGATTTTGTGCACATTTTATTATTAAATAATCAACAGTTGGACTTACAACCTCTACAGTCTCAAAATTTTGCATTAATTGTTAAAGTATTAATATTTTTAATAATTATTATAATCCAATCCAAATTTTAATTCTCTAGATACTGTTTATTAAAAGGGTATTAGCACTTCTCAAAGAAATAACTATTATTCTATTTTCATTACATATTAAAAGATCGAAATATTAAAATTGCATAGATCTCCAGTATGAACTGTCTTTAGTATATTTTAATTTATAATTGTCAACATATCAATTATTCAATTTTATTTTTTGTAAAATAAGTTTGATATGAAAAGGACTTCATATTCGTCGATTGTGATAGGGAAGAAATTCATAGTAAATAAATAAATTAATTTTGAATATTTAAAGATTAGTTTACTAAATCACATTAATATAACTTTAGAAGGATATAATTTTCTTTTCGTAATTTATTACACTTGGAATATTCCTTCTCTATTTATCTTTATATTTATTTACCAAGAATTTCCAGATGATCTTAACTGATTCAATATACCTACAGTATTAATTTATAAATATTTGAATTATTAAATTTTATTATCTTTTTGAATGTTACTTTTATTATGTCTATTGATACACTGATTATTGCAATAAAGATTTGTTTATCATTAAGAAAATACGAAAAAGATTATTTAAAATTCAATTAGAATTGTTGATGTAATTGATTATATTTAGGTTTAAGTTTAGTTAATTATTGTGTAATGATAATCTAAGTATATAAAGATTTAGTAGCAACTAAATATTTGATTAATTTTATTTTAAATCTCAACTAGAAATTAGATGTCAGTGTTTTAAGAACAAAAGATTTCCTCTACTTCAACTCTAAAGGAAGATTAAACTCCGCAAAACAGACAGTTCCAATTATAAAATTTACTCAAAAGAAAAGATTTTAAATCAGTTGTAAGAATTTTACAAACTGATAAAAAGTCAAGGTTAGAGAATTTTCGTTTACTTTAGAACAAATTATTAAAAGCTTAAATACTAAAACTAAGAATATCACGTTGGTTAAAATTTATGCATAAGAGGGGACAATGGATCTGAGTATGTCGCCAAACTCATCAAGATTGTCAAACTGCATGATGATGAAGATAATTGCCTACCGTTTATAAAAGTATAGTGGTATTATAGGAAAACCGAGTTGACAGGTTTACCGAGGGATTAATTAGAATGTATTTCTGAAAATGAAGTTTTTAAAACTAAGGAATTTGACTATATAGAAATCGAAAGCATAATTGGGTTGGCGATCATTTTAAGCTATGAAGAATACGATAAAATAGAAGAATTAAACGAAAATGTATACTTTATGAGAGCTACATATTTTGATTAAAAGTTATTCCCATCTTTTGAATAATGGACTAAGGTTTGCATGTGTAGAAAACCTCCAAATCCAGACCTAAAGTATCGATATATTAAGAAAATAGGTATGTCTTTTGTGAAATATGCTAAAAATGGTTTCATCTGAAATGTGTTGGACTTAGTTAGGATCAAGCTAGCAAATTAAAAAAATATATATGTCCTGATTGTAAGAACTGAAATTTTAATTGATATATTGTATATATACACATAATCAATTGACTAATCTGCTAAATATTAATATTGAATATCTTAATTCATTTTCTAATTTTTATAACTATATTGAGTTTTCATGTCTTTTAATTAATATTCTTTATAATAATGTTTGCAAGAATAATACTAATAAAGATTTTATAAAAGCCTACTTGCAATAAGGGATAAGTTCGCTTGAAGGTTGCCTAAATCAATTCATCTTTCTTCTATTAAATTGTCAAAAAGAAAAATAATATTAAAAGAAATTAATTTATTATGTCAATCAAAACCTCATTTTCATACTGGCCATCTTTTCAAGTTTAACAAATACTCCTTTAGAAAATTGGCAAGTTTGAACAATTAAAAAATTGCTTTTTAGAAATGAGGTTCTTCTAATATATATAGATATTTTGGATCTTAAGTGTATTTAGAATTTGTAATATTAATAAGATTCTATAGATTTTTAATCATGTATATATATATTTTTAATTACTTTTTTGTAAATTATAAAGTACTTTTTAGAATATAATTACTATATATAGATAATGTACTAAAAATATATCCTCAAAAGTAAATTTAACGTTACTTAAAAATCCTTTTTTTATATCAATATCTAACGATAAAATAGAGTTGGACTAAAGCAATAGCTTTAAGAAGGCTATCTAAAGAAATAAAACCTTAATAATTTTATTATTAATAAATTATTAAATGGAAGGAAATATAATAAGTTAATTATGATTTTTACATTTTATTCCAATATTTGATTATAATTTTATGTTTATTGAGAATTAATTTGTTTGAAATAACAATAACCTGCTTTTCATAACTATAATTATAAATATTCCCTAATCTATAATAATAAATAAATTTCAAAACCGAAAAATAAAAACAAAAAATGATTAAAATATCAACGCCTTTGGCATCATTCGTCCATTTAGTTCATCAAATCTCTTCGCCCCTGCAATTTAGCATACTTCAATTAACAAATTTGCTTTTATAATTAATATCTTAGTCTACTTTATCATTTATACTCCATTTATTGTTATTGTATTTTTTGAAAAACCTCAATACAATTTCTGGGGAAATAAAATTGACAAATGCATACCCTAAATTTCCTTCATTCTTATCTGATTAATTAATAATTACATTGTTGTCGGATGGAAGGTATAGAAAATCAAATTATGATTTGAAGTCTTTGTTTAGAAGGTTTCTTAAATCGCTTGGTCTCATGTATTTAGGTATATTTTTTAACATTAGGGTGGTTCTGTCATCATAAAGAATCTGGATTAAGAAATTAATAATTACATTCTCTTCACAAATGTCAAGGTTGTAATACAGTGTGTTCATTTTTTAATACAATAGCTTTTCATCACAATCAAACAAGAACTTCATTTCTATGAGTTCTTAAAAAAGTAATTTTTGGTTTTAAAGACTCCCTTCATCAGGCATAAGCAGTTTAAAGTCTCATGATATGAAGATGATACCAAATGCACATAAAGAAGCTTCAAACTTCTCTTCTGAACTCAACTATGGTCTGGGTATTTATAATTTAGGCATGTATTTGGAGTCGAAGGAGGAATCGCTTGAACTTGCAGGTGAAGCTGTTGTATTAGCTTAGGATATCCTTCCTTTTTATGGTGTTGAGCTGAATGCAATGTCTATAATATTACAAATCATTATTAAATATTAATAAAAATAGAGGACATACATATTTTATTTTGTGTAACACTTAAGACATAATATTTCCTATGTTAAGTATTTTTACATTTCTAAATTAATCTAATAAAATATATATTTTAAGGTAAGAAAGCAGATGGAAATAAGTTTGATTATATAAATATATTAGATAGAAAATAATCTTTATTACTTGAGAACTTTCATAGATCTACTTATAATTGTAGGAAAAGAGTTTATTTGTTCTATTGAATACTTCAATGAATCCTGTTGCTCAGTTTGAAAGCAGTGTTGCAAGGAGATTATTACTTAGAATACAATTCATACTAGTTTTTTAATTGTTATTTATTTTTTATTTAATGCTTATAATTTATGATATCAGCTTTATGATTATTTTTTATTCTGTTAAAATAAGAATTTTAGTTTATTTACAAATACGTGTTGATATTAGCCAGTTATTATAATTTAAGAATATTATTGTATTTTTATATGAAAATGTACAACCAAATTGATCATCATTTAAAATGATCTTTAATCTTTGAGGTAAGTTCATCGCAAGTTTTCTTAGCATCACCCAACAACATATTATTATTTGGTTTATAAAATACGGGATTGTCAATGGCAGCATATCCAACACCCATGGATCTCTTCATAACAATTGATTATTTAGCAGCCCAGACTCTCAGTACAGGCATACCTAAATAATTTAAATGAATAAAATACCTGCAATTGGTGAATTTGGATTTTCTTCAGCAGCTGAATTGACAGTGTCATTAGCTCCAATAACAACAGCAAGATCAGTATCAGGGAAGTCATCATTAATTTCATCCATTTCGAATACAATATCATATGGAATACCAGCTTCAGCCAATAAGACATTCAATTATCCAGGCATTCTACCAGCGACTGGATGAATACCAAATCTAACTTTGATTCCTTAGTCAATAAGTGTCTTGCACATATCAGCAACTGGATATTAGGCTTTAGCAACTGCCAAACCATATCCAGGAACAATGATAATTGATTTACTGTTAACCATCATTTCGACAGCTTATTCAATGTTGATTTCAGTGTGAGTGCCTTCAACTTTAGTAGCTTAAATGGCTGCAGGATTAACATCAAATCCTCCGAAAATAACACTTGTTAAATTTCTATTCATGGCCTTGCACATTATATAAGAGAGAATAGCACCTGAGGATCCAACCAATGCTCCAACAATAGTTAATAATGGATTATCCAACATAAAACCTTCAGCACACAATGCCCATCCTGAATATGAATTCAAAACTGTAATTACAACTGGCATATCAGCACCACCAATAGCATTTGTCAATGTAACTCCTAACACTTTGCTTGCAGCTGTTGCTGTTAATAAAGCTGTCATTCCAACAGCAAAACTGCCTGTTTGGTTATAGATTAATAAAGATGCAACAGATAAGGCTGCCAATGCAATGTTTACTTAATTGTGATAAGGGATGACAGTTGGATTTGAGGGCAAGAGATTTTACAATTTAGCAAAGGCAATGAGTGATCCTGTGAATGTGATACCACCTGTGAAAATACCAAAGAAGATTGATAATTTATGAACAAGTGCAGCTGGATCTTCAGCCAAATGAGGGAATACATGTAAATAATTACCAATAGATGTTAAGACTGCTGCCAAACCAACAAAGGAATGGAAGCAAGCAACTAATTAAGGTAAATCAGTGATCGCAACTCTGGTAGCAACTGTACCTCCAATGGTAGCTCCCAACATAACCATTGATGCCCATTAAGCCAATAATTCTGGAGAATATCCCTTATATCCTAGAGTGGCAGCAACACCCAATCCAACTCCCAAACAACCAAAACTATTACCAATTCTAGCTGTCTATTATTATGCCAATCCACCAATAGCTAAAATACAAGCAATTGATGAAGCTAAATATGAAAGATTTGTCAATGGTTCTTTTGGTATTCCATAATAGAGTCCACCATAATATCCAAGTACTCCTGTTGCACCTGCTAATGCCATTAAATAATTGTATTCAGCAGGGTCAGTTGGTCTTCTAAACATATTTAACATTCTTTATGTGACTAAGAAACCACCAGAAATGTTCAGGGAAGCTATGGCAACAGAAACAGCTGCCAATAATCCAGTCAAAGATCCTGGTAAATACTTGCCATCCATCAATTCCATACCACCAACTATAATTATACCAGATACTGCATTTGTAACTGACATCAATGGTGAATGTAAAGCTGGAGTTACACCCCAAACCACTTAGTAACCAACGATTCCTGCCAGAGCAAAAGTATTCAACATTTTTAAGAATTCCATATTAGGAGATTGATAACCTAAAGCCATCATTGCCATAAGCGATGCTGATGTATTAATCACATTCTTCCAAGCTTATTTGTATGGATCTACTTTGACTTCTTATTTTTTATGAGCAGAAGTAGCTTTTGATGTATCAGCTTATTAGAGTTCACTCTTTGATGTAATGATGGGAGGAGGTGGCCATTTCAATTCTCCATTTAATGTTACTAATGATTATCTAACAACGTCATCATTCAAATCCACTTGTGTCATTTTTCCATTTGGATCTTTGATTGTTCCTACGATGTATTACATCAATTTTCCAATGTTATTAGCATACAATGTTGAACTTTGAGTAGGTAATCTGCTTGGTAAATCAGTGTATCCAATGATTTTCACTTTTCCTTCATGATTGTATAATTCTCCTGGTTTACATAATTCACAGTTTCCTCCTGTTTCAGCAGCCAAATCAACAATAATAGATCCTTATTTCATATTTTCTACTAATTCTTTTGATAGTAATTTTGGTGCTGGTCTTCCTGGGATAAGTGCAGTGGTAATAATGATATCAACTTCTTTGGCTTACTTTAAGAATAAAGCTAACTCTGCTTCTAAATATTCTTTTCCCATTTCCTTAGCATATCCACCGATACCTGCACCATCAACTACTTCACCATTGATTTTGACTTCCAGAAACTCAGCCCCGCAAGACTTTACTTATTCTTTGGTTGCTAATCTAGTATCAAATGCTCTAACAATAGCTCCCATATTCTTAGCTGTTACGATAGCTGATAACCCAGCCACTCCTGCTCCAATAACCAAGACCTTAGCAGGTGGTACTTTTCCTGCTGCCGTCATTTAACCTGCAAAGAATCTACCAAATTCATTAGCTGCCAATACAACTGCTTTATATCCTGCAATATTAGCCATAGAACTCAAGGCATCGTATGTTTATGCTCTAGTAATTCTAGGTACACATTCCATAGCAAATGTTGTGACTTTCTTCTCTTATAATTAATTAAGTAATTCTTTATTCTATGCTGGGTAGATGAAAGATGTCTATATTTATTAAAAATGAATACAAGGGTCTAGTTTTCTTTCAAAGTCTTTGTATTTTCAGGAGGTCTAATTTTTAAGATTACATCAGATTGATCATAAACTGAATTTGCGTCAACTACTTTAGCTCCAACTTCTTGATAAACATTATCTGCGAAATTGGCCTTTAAACCAGCGCCACTTTCAACGAGGACCTAATTATTAATAAATTATCTAAACTGAATGTCCGTCTTTGACCAAGTTTTTAATGGATTCTGGGGTGGCTGCTACTCTATTTTCATTTGGATATGTCTCTTTTGGAACACCAAATACAAACTTAGGGTGACTTGGCTTCTTTTCTCCTTTACTTGAAAAGCATGTTCTCGCACTCAATAACAATTGCTTTGTTGCTTAGCGATGAAATCCTAGCATAAAATAAATATCTTTTTTTATAAACAATATGTTCCTATTTATACAATTAATTCAAAAGAAATCTTTGCTATATAATTAATTTTAAATATTTGTTATGAGAACTGCAAATTCAAATTAAGGGTAATCAACTCTCCCGGATTCTAATGAAATTAATGAGTACATCAGGGAGTACTTGAGATACTCGAACTATTCTAATACTCTGGAATGTTTTGATGCAGAAATAAAGAGTAAATAGGTCTCCAATAAAGTAGATAATTAAATTACTATTCTAGATGTTAAACAAGTAATAAGTTATCAAATAAAGTGGGGATGATATTCCTCGTATATTTTAATTGCTAAAAAGTGATAATATTAAAACAAAAAGAGAAATCAATATGGAGAAGGAATAAAAGTAATTTAATAAAAAATACCAATAAATTCTATAAGCAGGCAGACAAATATTTTCAGTTAGCATAAATTTGTTACAATTATTGCATTCATTAAAAGAGACAGCTAAAAATGAAAATCTAAGCGAAACTTTAGAAAACTATAAAATATAATTGGGAAAATACCATAAGGTTATTATCAATGAAGGAAAACCAGAGGGCACAGAATTGATTACTGAATAAGTCATGCATGAACACAAAACTAAACTATTTAAAAACTACTAGGATAAACACGTAGATGGAATGATTGAGGTTTTGCTATCACTGAGAGTAAATGCGTTATAAATTGCACCAGAATTAAGAAAAAACTTAGTCTACGAGTTGATAAGAAACGATGTATTTAACATTGAAGCCACAGACAAATTTGATTTCGTTGTTCATTTATTGGATATCAATAATCAAAGTCTCAGACATGCAATTACTAGTTTAATCAGCGTAATTAGCAGCACATTGAGAGGCGTGGAGTACTTAACTTATAATGGGAATATGATAATCATTGAAAAGATAATAAAAATCTTAAAAGAACAGGAAAACGGTTCAGTAACGCAGAGATTCTGCTTAGCCATTTTACAGAAAGCAAGTATTAAAGATACTGTTATTCCAACTTACGTTCAAAATGAGATGATATAATGGATTATTAATCTCATTCAAAAGTCAGTTAATAGCAAAATTCACGTATTTTGTCTTGATTTCGCTTCAGCCACATTGGCTAATATCATTCATACTCCTTATACTTTGCAATATTTAGAACATTAACCACGATTTGCCCATTAAGTAATGGAGTAATTGTTAAAGTTTATAAAAGATTAGATATAAGTTTCAGTGCTAATGCATATTTTGATTTGTTTATCTTATTTAAGTAAGGAAAACTTTGCTAAATAAATGGAAGAATGCAGATTCGTGGATAGAATAAGCGAATTTGTTGAATTTTATAGTGTCATTAATACTGGTATAAATAGAAATGATATTTTTCATAGAAAATGAAGCAGCAGAAATTGATAAAAAAACAGTTTTAGATTTATGTGCTCATATGTTTCATCCGAAAGATACTTCTTTAGATAATTCTGAAACTCTAGAGTTAAATGAACTAAAAACTGAGGATAGAATCAGAGAATACGAGAATGAGTAAGGGGAATTAATCTTTGAATGTTTTCAAGATGAAGTTAGTTGATTATTTATTTTTATATATTTATTTAAAATTGGATTATATTTTTGATAAAATTATTATTTGGTTTTTTATCTTATACATTTATTACTCTAATCGATATTTCATTTTGGAAGCATCAGAGCTTTCTTGCAAAAATTCAAAATTATTTTTCCAAAAATACATCACTCCAGGAAATTTATTTTTCTCAATTATTAAACACGACTGATGCTAAATTTTTCACTAATTTTTATTTTACCTAATTGTCTTATCTATGCAATTTCGGTAATCAGACAAGGATTGCCCATCAGAGCTACCTTCAAGCTTAAAAACTGCTGATTTCAAAAAGAGAAAACCCATTGATTCAGATACGAAAACCAACTTGATACTTAGTGTAGTCAAAGATCATTTGCCAATATATCAGGTATTACAGTATCTCTATATTTTTAGGCAGCGATTATACATAAAGTTAAATATTCATCAGCTAAACACATTTTAAGAAATTACTACAGTGATACTGCTAATTACTTTTCTCTTCAAAAAAAGAGAAGAAGAAAGATACTTTGCTGTGGCGTCTCCGCTTTAATAGAAATTAACAGTGGAAACATTGCTTTAACTTACCAAGGAGGTTCTACAATCCCCTTTATTAAAAATGGAGTTAATGCCCAAATCAAATAAAAGGTAATTGATCATTTGAGTGTTTCAATACACAAAAATATATGTAACTTGAATTTCAAGAGGTTAAATAAGAAACCGAGAATAGACCCAATTAAACACTTGAATAGTATAGAAAAAATTGAAAACAAAGTTAAATTTCTCATCTAGACACTTGAAAAATAACATCAAGAAATGATATAATGATAAATTAAAGATTATCTTTCATCAATTACATATTTTCTCTGCCTCTCGAATTTCTTAACTCCTTTTAAATATTTTACAAAAAGATTTTCAAAAAATGTATAAAAAATGATTTATTTTTAAATACTAATTAATGTATACATGTATAACTATTTTTAAATTTTTTGTAAAAGAATTTAGGTTTGAAGGCATCTTTTAGTTTCATGCCGGTTTACAAATTATAATAAAATTTAACCCTTAAAACTCACTAAGCATATTTATAAGTCGTTATTTGAGACTAGTTAAAACATTTTAATATTGATACTTATGAGTACTATGATTTCACCACGATTGCCATAAACTCTTTTAAACATCTTTTATGAATACAATTGTAACTTATTTTTCGAATTAATCTGTAATTAAAAGTTTTTGAACAAAGCATTAAAGAATTTAATACTAATGTTATTATTTGATAATTAAATACAATTTTAACACGTACTTCCAAAAAAGAAAATAAATTTAGATAAATAATAAATAATCATTATGATTGTTTAGTCTTAAGTCTATAATAGTTATTTTACATGACTAGAGGTAAGCATGTTGTAAAATAAAATTTTGACTTTTGTGTATTATCCAAATCGAATTTGCTAGATGGACTTGTTTAAAATCTCTAATTAGAAGACGCTTAAGTGGGATATCTTCTTATATGATAACTGATATTTTCTAAAGCAATTCCTAAAGTTCCAGGAGTGGAAGCATGCTTCTTCATTTGTTACCTATTTTTATTTTTCTATTTTAATGATTGTTATATGATTAATTCTTCTGTTTTTTATCTGGAGTGTTTAACAGATTGAGCTGATTTTAACAGTTTATTTAAGTAAGCTTACTCAGATTCTGCAGGGTTATCCAAGGTTAACGTTTGTTCTCTTAATCTATTATCGTCTAATTTGATTCTGCTACTAATCTTTAAAATTTAACTAGTGCTATTGAATAAAATCCTTTATTAGTTTTCTTAAATTTGAAGTAGATTTTGTGGTTTTAAAAATGACTTATTTTATGTTCTTTCGAGTAAATTAATTTTTTCAGTTTGATCAATAAAATTTTTTTCATAAACCCTAATTTGCTATAAAATCTATTTCAATTTTTTGTCATTTAAAGATATCAAACTTTTATTTAAATCAGGATCGCAATACAAGACTCTCATGAAATCTCTCTTAGAAACTGAATAAACATTGTTACTTTCAAAAGTGGAAACTAAACTAAACTATCTACATAAATCTGGAGCTTTTAGGATCTCCAATTCTCCAAACATTTCTCCTGCTCCCAAAAATTTCAATGTCATTATTAGCTTTTTATCGCTGGCAATCAGATTTCCATACTTTTTTTTCTGATATAATTTATCAATTTTTTCTTGATTTGTTAATGAAGGTTTATTGTATGCAAATTATTGTTTTAGAAATTCTACATCATCTTCGACTTATTCATAATTACTAGAGTGTTCCTTATTCATTCTCAAACATTTAATAACCTAAAGATTTTGGAAGTAAATACTTTAAATTCACCCGTTTGTATAAAATAAACTTCATTGGATGGATCACCTTCTTTATAAACCGTGTGATTTAATCTAAATTTATTTAATTTCATAACATCAAATAAAGATTTGATACTCATAAACTTCCAGTCCTTGAAAATAGAGAGCTTTGCAAATTCTTCAAAATACAACTGTCTTTATTAGTTTATCTTTTGGATAAGTATAATAAGTTACCACAGTTTTTTTGATAACCATATAATCCTCTGCATCTAAGACTGCTAAGTGAGTAGGTATTACAGCAGTAATAGAGGCTGATCTAGGTTCATTATTCTCTAAAGCAAGTTCACCAAAGGCTTAACCATCGCTCATTTGGATTAACTCTTTTTCTTGATAGCAATCTCCAAGAAACATTCTTTTATGAATTGACACTCTACCTTGCAATATGATATAGAATGTAGTTCCCACATCACCTTAAATATATTTAACATTAGCTCACCTTCTCTAAATAGAGTTTCTCCCTTTCTCAGAGATGTATAACTCATTTTTCTCAAACATCTCTCCCATAATAGTACTCCTTAATCTTTCTCAGCCAATTTCTAAAAATAAACGATATGCTTTGTTGCTTTCTTCAAAATCTCAATCTCAAATTAGGTTCTATGATATGAAGATTTAGTAAGTATAATAACGACTATTCCAAATATTTAATCCTGATTCAGATTCTCATAAATTTAAGGTTCTTATTCCATTTATAAGATATACTACTTTAATTCTTTAATCTCATCTTCTTTTAATTAATGAACATTTTGTGAGTTTTTCATTATATTAATTATATTATAATTGTAAATTCAATTAAACTATTTTTTTTATTTTTTATGCAAAAGCTTTTATATATTCTCCAAATTAAGATTAACATGTTATTATGGTCTTATATAAATGATAGGAAACCTAAAATTACTAACCAAATAATTTATCAATTATTTATTAGAATTAATTATTAATTGAATTTCAATGAACAATCTCCTTCTTCTTAAAATAATTTATTCAATATTTTTACATTTATTTTGATATGCTTTCAATTTATGATTATTTCAAAGTATTAAATTAGAAATTAGATTTTATGCAAACATATACAATTTATTAAAGTATCTTTACAGTAATTATTAATAATATGATGGCTGCCGTTTAGAGATTTGAATTATGGTATAAATTGTTTACTAATACTAGATTTAATTAAGTATAATATTTAATTTTGCAAAAAATGAATTCAAAATATTAGATATTTTATTTATATCAAATCATGTCTTTATCTAATTTATCTAATCCACTTTCTAAAATAATCATTTACCTTTACAACTTATCATGCCTAAATGAAAAAGACATGGAATATAATAGATTTATCAAAAGAAATAAGTGTATTTGGGGGATAAAATTTATTTCATGCTACACAGAAGAGAATAATCTATTCTGAATAAAATGATAATTATAAAATATTAATCAACTAATTGATTTTATGGGATCAAAAATATGGAATAGAAGTTTTGCTTTATTCCCAAGGTTGTAGTTCTTCTGATATCGATGGTTCTGTTATATTAATTTTAGAAGTGAGTTATTTCTGAATTTTCAAGGTAGTTGATAATTAAGGGAGTACAACATTTTAATTGACTTTGTAAGGTTTCGATTTTGTTTAAAATAGATTAGAATTAGTTAATGAATTATCGAACTTAAATTTCTTTGGGTTTTTCCTTATTGTGATTTCATCAATATGATAGTGATACGAAGAATCGTTTTTAGGAAGATTTCTGGCAGTAATCAAATCAGGATTTATAGAATGAGATTTGATGGTTTAGATCTGTTTAGGAGATTGTTGCAAATTGATGTGGTGATGTTGCATTCGAGGTGATTATAAGTTAATTTTACATCCAAAAACAGGTAACACTTTCTGATTGTTGATTTATCTTGTTAATGATCGCTTAATGAATAATTAATATGTTGCAATTGGACTGTTTTACGCGTTTTACAGATTCTCCATGTGAATACAGAAATCGTAATCTAAGATATAATTATTTTTAAAGAAATATCTAACTTTTGATAATACAAAACTTTATTTTCAGAATTCAATGTTAGATTTATAGTGCATCCTTAAGAATTGAAGAGAACACTGGTTTAACAACTATTTATTCGACTCCAGCTTCATAACATTATTATTTAGTCTCTTCATCCTCATGAGCAGTACAAGCAATGACTTAAAATGGGTTAATTTTCTCTTGCTCCATTAAATTAGAAAGAATTGAAGTCGCAGTTATACCATCCATGACAGGCATATCAACATCCATCAAAACTGTTCTTATTCTGATATTCTTTTATCTCTTTACAAAATCTACAATCTCTTAGCCATTATAACAATGTATTATTCTATTGTATCCTAAACTATTGAGAACCATCTCTAAAGAAATATGATTGAATGGTTCATCGTCAACTACCACAATTGCTCCAGATTCTTCAACTAAATTTTATTTACTCCTTTTCTATGTCTATCGAAATTGCGGTGTTCCTTGGATTAATTTTGTATTTCTTTGAGTAACCCTAGCATTTTAACGAAAATAATTAGAGTTTAGACTTTTAAGCATACTTGGCTTCACACGATCTATTTTCCTAATTTGTCCAACTACTGTTTTTTCATCCTCAACCCCATAATTAGTTTCTGATTGCAATGTGAGGAAATCTGCTATTATCCTATTAGATCTCATGGATATATTTTTAATTCTTCGAGCAGATTAAGGATGTAAACCGCTTGGTAAATCTAAATCTCCTATACAAAATGAAAACTTTGATCCTTAGCCAGGTAAGCTCTCTATTTTGAATGGAGATGTTCCATTCAATTAGTATATAAGTTTTGTAGTAATTTTTAAACTAATGCCTAAAACCTCATTTTTTGGATTTGAACTTTATGAGCATTTGCCTTTATCCATTGACTAAGTTTACAATTAGCTTTGCTAATATTTTTATTTCATAACATACTTTTCTAGATCTCTATTATTGTTAATATTGATGCATTTGCATTTGTTTAGCAATCTCTTCTTGAGCCTATTGACTTAAACCAACACCACTATCAGAGATAATAAATTAAATTAATCTGGAATCGCCATTTCTTACTTCCTCAACATCCAGTTCTATAAATCCTCCTTAGGGTGTAAATCTGTAAGCATTGTTCAAGAGGTTCACCAAGATTCTCATCAACTTATTGAGGTCCGACTAAACAAAGCAAAATCTGTAATTATCATTTTAAATATTACATATCCTGTTTGGTCTCCAAAATCTTATCGAAATCTTCGTTATTGTAGTTGATTCTAAATTAAATACTCTTCTAACTACATTAAGTAATAATAAGGTCCTTAATTTCGGATATTAATTTCATTATGTTTATGGTCTTTACATTCAAATTTTGTCTCTAATATGAATAATAAGAAACGTAATCTAAAATATCTTAGATAGTATAGAGCAGTATCTTTGAATTCCAATAACAAGGTTTAATATAAGTATCTATCAATTACTTAGTTAAATTCTAATCGCTTAGGCAGATTTCTAAATAGGTGATGACGGCATGCAAAGGAGTTTTCAGTTTATGACTAAATGAACTTATAAGATTGTTCCTGAACTTTTGATCTTTCTTTATATCCACATAGTTCTCATTAATCAACTAAAAAATATTATAAAAAATATTTACTTAAAAAGAAAATATAAAGATGGTTTAATTTTTCTTGATCATAGTTGAGAATTTCAAATAGTATCTCAGTTTTTCTTGGTTAGGTCCTATAATTTTGAATTTGTAATAGTTGCATTCAAAATCAATATTTTAAGCATTTTCAATTATTTGCCTTAAAGTGAGAATTTTTTTATTGATGCTCTCATTTTAACTATAACCGCTTACTTTAATATCTTCTAAAAAGGAGATATTATCGGTTTATTTTTGAGTCAACAATTTGAGATTGGCTATATTTTAGGATTCTGATCGATTGGGGTTGTATGTTATATTTTCAGTTTGATTTTGAAATTCTAAGAAAGATTCGATTTTATCCATATGCTGTGTTCTATAAATCAATTTGTAACGTTGATCATATACTAAAATGCCTATATTTAAATAGTTAACCATTCCATTCAAGTAGTCTAGTTAACAGGCCATTTCCTCTTGATAATTTGTTGAATGAGTCTTTGCTTGAATGTTAAACAATTGGATGTGAATTTCATTGAACAAAGCCACTATCAAAAACAAAATCTAAAATATGAAAGTGATTGAAGGCTAATTTTCATTTATTTCATCTGTGATTTCATATACAATGTATGAGAATAAAATAAAGGGTAGTATTATTTTAAAAAGTTTTTGTTTTAATGTTCCCTAAAAGAGATGAAAGAATATGAGTAAATAAATAATTCCAAAATAATTTTAGGGCTCTACGTAAATTGCTTAATATAAGCATTTTGAAATGAAGTAAAGGAAGAACAGTATATCCAATAAAATGGTTTGGTTTCTCTTTCTTGTTCTAAATTTAAAATATACACAAATATACAAAGCTAATAAAATATGAGCGCAATGATTTACTTAAAAGTATTATATATATGGAAAAATTGATCCACATTGTTTATTTTGAATTGATTTGATCCTTTAAAGTGATTATCATAAGAAACAATAGATCAATAGTACATGTGAGTAGTAATACAAGATATCTAAAATCAATTATATTTTAGTCTCTAAACATTTATTAATATTTATCTATATAATATAATTAATGTAGCATAAATAGATAAAAGCAACTACCTCTTAGAATATTCGTTAAAAGCTGGCGATGAAAGACTCCTTTACTAATATTAATCAAATCTACAGTCAGCCTCATTCTTCAAAAGGAGCTGAAACTAGAAAAAAGGAAGTAAATTCTTATTTATTTAGAATGTATAAGATTGCAATACTATGAAGAAAAAATTGTTTAATATGTTGGGATAAAACTACAATTCAAGCAAAGCATTCTCTATATCCCCTACTAATTCCCTTAAGCAGAATTATTTTGTTTCCACATCTACACAATAAAAATCAAAATAACTTATACAAAAATAAAATCACACCCTCGATTGTCATACATCACTTACTCAAAATATCTAAGGAAATCTAGTCAGGAATGTATAGTCATAGCAATCATTAAATTAATTTGAAAAATACACTTCCTTCTTGGAAAATCAAAATTTTGAAAACCAGAATCCTTCAGTTAATCCATCAAAAAAAGTTGGAATTGCGAAACCTAACTCTATTCAATCTAGAAATCATAAAACTGATAGAAGTTCATTAATTGCATTATTTGAAAAATTGCATGAAAAGGACAGTTCTAATATGCATCGCAAGTAAACATCCCAAAATTCCAATTATATTATTAATGTATAAAAATAATAGCTTCCAGAATGCTTTTACACAGAATTAAAGTTGAGACAAAAAATAAAAGGATCCTTATCCAATAATTCCTCTGGCTAACTTTGTTCCCATCTTAACCCTAACTCATCATCTACTCAAATTCAACAAAACCATCAAAATACCATTGAGGATAATTTACAATAAATTATTGAAAGAATGTCATATATACTCAAAAATTATTAATAAAAGTTAAAACAGGTAGACTTTGAAAAGGAAGTATTAATATAAGAAATTCAGTATTGGAAATCGAAATACCAAAAATGTCATTAAAAATCATCCATTTCTTGATTCAGATAAGATTAAAAATTGATAATATAATCTTTTTTAAAATGATAAATTAAAATTGAATTGAGCAATCATTTTCTCTTTAAAAAATAATAAGGTAGCACTAAATTATCTTCCAATAAGCAAATCTTTTCTTTATCTTGATAATTATTATATTTGTGTAACTTATTTGTTTTGAATACTATTAAAATTTATTTTGGATATTTGAGAAATTTTTCTATTGCAATTGTTTGTTTCATTATAAACAGCATTTTCTTTGAGAATTTTTCTCTATAGACTTTATCTGCGCTTTATACAACATAAATTTCAATGAATTCAACGGTCATTTTCGAAAAAATTTCCTTATAGTTTTAATCTACATAAGGCTAAAAGACTAAAATGTTTTGATTTTTTAAGTAAGCTCGTATAGTCTGTCCTAATTAAGAATCAGCAGGGAAATCTATTTATTGAATACCTTTTTGAAAGTCTGCTAAAATATCATACTATTAATTTCCTAATCCAGATAGATTCATATGGGAATCTTGATCACTGGTTTCACTCACAGATCTTATCTGTGATAATTCTAAAGGTAATATTTAATTTTCTTAAAAACTCTATTTATCTAGTTATCCACTCTATTATAATATCTATAAATCTCTATTATCTCCTTTATTATTTTAGTTATAATCTTTATCTAGGAAGTGAAGAAGACTATTTTCGATTTCTAAGTAACTAGTTTGTGAAAAATTTATCTAAATTTATGATTAATCTATCATTTCTAATTCTTATAAATCATTAGTTCTTATATTTGGCATGAAGTTTTGATTTGTCCATTCAATTAAATTTTAAAAAATCATAACTAAATCTATAAATATTAAATTACTTTTTGATAATTATTGCTTAATTTCTAAAGTCCATTTAATATTGGCATCATCAACAAAATATCCATTACCTTCTAAGTATTTTTTAAATTTATCTCTATTTTATCTTTGTTGGAAAACATTCCTATAAGGTATGAATTGCTCAATGTAAAAACTAATTTGTAAATTTATAACTTATTCATACGGTAATTATAACCTTTAAAATAATGAATCTATTTTCTAAAAATTCTTTTTGTTTCCTAACATCGTTATGTAATAATCTTAATATTCTTATTTTTAAGACACATATAAATCAGATATATCTATTATTTTTTCAAGGATTTTTTTTCCAATTTCTGGTTTAGTTTTTAATTCTAAGAAAATCTTTGATTCGATCAAATGCTAAATTTATTCCATACATCTATTCATTTGTTATCCCTAATTATTATAGTTCGAATGAATTATACAAAAGGAACTGATTTCCTATTCTTCTCTGAACTCAATTTCTTTTATTGTAGTCAAAACTTATTTTAGAAAATCTTAAATTTTATATTTAAAATAATTTGTTCTGGCAAGAACCAACTATTGATATTCAACTTTTTCATTAATATTTGTCTCTTTCAGACTAAGCATTGAAATTTTTTTTCCTTTGTAGTATTTGAAATCTTATGCGTATTTGAGCGATTCATTTATCCTTGTTATCAAATATAATTATTCTGGTCCCATTACTTTCCAATAAATGCATCTCTTTTTTAATTCTTTTTTCAAATAATGACTAAGTTCAAAGCAAGACAGAGAAGTTTTATCTAACTCTAATCTAACATTTTGAAATTTATCGAAATATTGCTTAAATTAAGTCACAACTTAGTCATTAAAACACTAAAGTTAGTAATTTCCTTATGATATTTTAAAAAATTATATCTTTTATTAATTTGTAACAAATTTATCTAAAAATTCTTGATGAAGGTTTTCTAAAATTATTTCATCCAAGAATTTAGGCTAATGATATATAATTAAAATTTTACTTCCAAAGTGATTGTTTGACTTATTGGAAATTGTTACAATTCAGCTCTTATATTAAGCGAGATTACTTATCTTTATTATTATTGTTCTTACTATAGTTATAATTATTCTATATTGTTAAAATTTATGTATTTTAGAAGTTGTAGTTCTTTCTATAAATCTTTATTATTAATAGCATTTCTGAATTTCTAATGCAAAACCTATAAAGCCACTCTATTATTATTTTATTCTCGATTGAAGCAGAAATACTTTAAAATTCTTACTAAAAATATTATATATTCTTACCTAAACTCTAAAAGTTATCATCTTTATTTTAAAAAGTAGAAAATAAAAGCTTTTTATTTTCTACTTGCTACAATCCAAATTTCTTAAGCAGGTCTATTATTGATTTCAGATCTATTTTTAATTAGGCCCCTCTTAATTTAAACAAATAGTTTTATTTATCAACTTCAACTTCAAATTTTTTAAGTTGATATTTAAATTCCTTATTTTCTAAATGAATTAACAATTTCAAAATATCTTCATTAATACCAAATAAAATCATATCTTCATCATTTTTATAAAATAAAATCTTAAAATTCAAATCTTCAATACCATCCTTAAAAGCTTGTTCTACTTTTAATACTATGTCTTAAGTAGTTTTAATTGAAAATTTTAAAAAAAATAGATTCTTTAAAAAACCACCAATATATTCTTTTGTTTACTTCTCAATTAATTCCCTTTTTTCCATAACTTTCGAAAAATTCATTTCGATAAAAAAAAAGTTCTCATTAAAATATTAATTGAAGCTATATTGCTGAACATCTTAGGATAAATATTTCTTATAAAAGAGATATCTTGATTTTTCTAAAATAGGATTATTTGAAAGATAATTTGGATAAGGATAAGGTTTTGCACTAGCGAAGTAAAACATGTAACCTCTATAATTTTCATAGATTTTTTATGCTAGTTCTTTAAGGAATTATTATGATTACTCTCTTGAAACCAGATAAAATTCATCCCCTATTTATGCAATTTAAACTTAGCGTTACGAAAGATATTTATTCATCATAGATTATGATTCTTTCATAGTATAACAAGAGTAGAAACAAAACTGAATTTCTACTGATTAGATACTATCAATAAAATTCTGAATTTCTTAAATTATATAATATTAATCAGTATTTTTTTCTAATTTATAGCAATTCATAGTTTGTTTAATAAGATTTAATTATATTACTAACTGACTCCACTTTTCCAGATATAACTATTCAATTATCTATAGAATTTAACTATTTTTTAATTGAATTATAAAGGTCTTATCATTGCGCCTTATTTTTATTTTATCATCATAGACATTCATGCTTTAATCAATAATTTCACTCATTTTTTCACTAAATTCATGCATTGAATAATCCTGAGAATTTTCTACCTCTGTTAATATTGATGATTCAAACTTAGAATTTTTTACTTCTGCTTCTGGTTCTTTTGGATCTACCAAGATTAAAAATTATGACTTTACCTTATTAAATCTTTTATTAAATCTATTCTTATTCAAATTAAACCTCTCCTTAATCAGTTGGTGTTTCGCAAAGTTTTTAATAGGATTAATCACCTTTATTATTAGTTAAACTCTAATCTGAATTAATTTGGGTTGATAAATTCCTTTGATTAATTTCATCTTTATCTTTTTTGAAGGATGAGTTTTGATTTTCATTGTTCACGCCAAACTTTGGCTTAATTTTCATTTAAAAATTGGGGAAAATTTCTTTGATGGAGTCGAATGAAGCTCGAAATTTTTAAAACTTTTTAAATTGTTGGTCATCCTTAAAAAGATACCGCTACCCATCAAGTTAAATATCTAAACTAAGAAATGACATTAATTGCTGCATCGAGTTTTAATCAACCACTTCGAAAACTCTTGAATCTATTTGTAAGCTCATTGTGATTCAATAAAAAAATATTTAATTATTATCATTTATCAAAACAATTATGCCCACATCCTAAAGGACATGAAGCATTATTTTTAAACCAATTTTTCATTTCTTTCATGTGACCCCCATGCATACACTGTTGGCACCATAAATAAAGACCTTTAACTGGTTTGAAGCTTATTATTTAAGATATTATGATACCAAATTGAGCATATAAAATCTATCTTGCAAATATTACAAAATGCTCCTGAAGTTTAGCTATTTTTACATGGGCCGAGACATTTATAGTTTGTAACATATTTATTACTAGTTCTAAACTATTCGACTGGACTTTCTAATGCAGCTTTCATAGCTAACGTGTGTTTGCCAAATGCCACTAGCAATTCAATATAAGACTAAGTCCATTTTTTAGCATTCAAATCAGGGAATTATACGTGATTTTTTGCACAAGCAGCCATCCAAAATCCACTAGGAAGTTCCCCTTAATCAATGACATGTTATATTAATTAGAGTATAGAATTGGAAATAACTTGCCTACATTATTATTTAGTAATTACATCATATGTTGTTTATCAGTCAACAAATACCCTATAGGAGTCATTGTTCTTAATAAATTCTTATAGTAAGGTATTCTTTCTATATGAATTTTTAAATGATTTTGATCTTCTATTATGATATTCTTGCTATCTAATTCTTATCTAAACGCTGCTGGGTATTTTTCGAAATACTTATAAAGTTTTTAGAGATCCTGTGAATCCAATTACTTTTTTTCATGTGATTTGTTATTTTTTGTGATTTGTATAGTTTATTCCAGTGGAGACTTTTAATCATCATCTGATTAATCATTGCCTTTGTTTGGTAACTATACAGGACAATTCTACATGGAAATATTGGAGCCACAGTCTTTTGATAACTTTTTAAAGTCATTGATAAGGTGTTCTAAGGCCTTCCAATAATGTGCTATCTCTGGTTTATCTATTTGTAATGCAACATTGCTATTATATGAAAAATCCTTTTTTGAATTGTAATTCTTTTGGAAATATTTCAATTCCTCATCAAAAGGAATTTTAGGATCAAATTTTTAATCAATGGCTTCTATATAGAAGATTGATCTTACACTTGTTTTTAGAATTTGTGAATTTTATGGAGATACTGAGGTTGCTTTTTAGATATCTTACCAAGAATGTTGAACTTAATTATTTTAAGTCTAAGTTTTTGACTTTTAAATAAAAATTTCATCATTGGAGGACTGTTTTTAAATTGAATTAAAATTTTATTAATATTGAATGGTCTTCTCTGATTCAGATTGAATGGGGAAGGGAGATTCTAATTTCATAAGCAAATCATTATATTGATTAAAGGCAACAGGAAATATAGGACAATTATTATAAACTTGATATGCTTGTCTAACAGATTACATTCTTAAGTATTTATCCTTGGATCCTGTAAAAACATACTATTCATCCTAATTAAAGACAAAGGATGTAATGATATCATTATGACCCTTGACTATATGCATAGGTCGAAAAGGAGTTCTGATATCGTAAGTAGTGACTGAGATATCTCTATTAAGTGATGACACGCTCAAAAGAGAATTGTTTTACACGTGCCATTTGATATGAGAAGATCCATCGATATGCTAAATGATCCCTTTTTCTCTAATGTCAGTGTGATTTTCTACTTGTAAGATTTTAATTTCTTTATCATTTGATCCACTAGCCAAAACATTATCTTTAGTCCAATCCAAGCAAATAATTAAATTGGTAAATGGGTCTTGTTTACGACCCTTTAAATTAATCTCAGCAACTATGTCTTATTGTTTTCTAATATCAAAATACTCTAATTAGCCTGTATCCGAAGCTGCCATAAAATAGTTGTCTCTAGTAATATTAAATTTAATGTCTCTTATAGCTTCATTTCTTTGCAATGTAAAAATTGGGGTTGCAGCAGGCTAACGATAATCATAATAATTAATTGTATAATCCTACCCGCCGCTAATAAAACAGTTTTCATTATGCCAATTCATCCTATGAATGGCAGCTTAATGATTTCTATAAACAGTTTCTTTTTGTTTGTCAATATCCCAAACTTAGAATTACCCTTAGACAGATGCAGCCAATAATAGAGTTGGCTTTTTGCGATTAAATTCTACATAACCGATTGCCAATTTTGTGCCTTATCTCCTCATATTTTATTTGATATTCATTTTTTTATTCACTTAATCCAAATCAATTATTTTTAAGATTTCCCTTCCCCCTACTACCAAATTCCTACCTTATTAGTCAACATCAATTGAGGATATGCTTGTTTGCAAATCTAATTCTTAATCCATTTTTATTTATTAAATAATTTATCATGTAATTATAAGTAAAAATCACAAAGAGAACAGATTGCTATGTTAGTTTACCAAGGATGTTCTAAAAATTCACAACACAATCGTTTTCTCAAGGAAATCTATGTTAAGTGATAAAAGCGTATTGATTTCATTATTATTAGAGTGAATTAATGAAAACCTAATAAATTGCATATTTTGGTTGTTAAGGTATTTCTGAAGATAATCATATCGAAATTGGTTTTTAATTTGCTCAGCTATTAAATATTGAGGATGATGATTAATTGCAAATAACTACAGGTAATTTTCTTTTTAGAATAAATTTAAGTCTCAAATTGCAATCAATACAATGCCATAACTATATATGTTCAAAAATGGTCAGATTATATGATAGTTCAACATTAAAAGGATTAATTTGAAACAAGTCTCCTTAATAATATTTAAATTGTCTATGATGAATTAATTTTTCCAATATTTTATTAGGAAGGACAATTTGTTACTTTTACTTTCAAAGCTTAAGATAATAAGGGTCCTATTGCTATCAGTCCTGATTGTGAAATTAATATTTTAATTGAAGAAGCATAAAAGCCAGAGTAGAAATTAGATTTAATTGAATTAAATGTATTACTTTAAGATTAAGATTAATTTGAGTCGTTTATTGAAATAAATACCGAACTATACCACAATAATAGATTAGACAAATTATATCAAATAACTTATTCATCATCATTTCCAAAATCATATAGAAACTTTCAAAAATATGCTAAGAATTTGAAAAAAAATAAGTAAAAACAAAATATTCCTAAAACTGTAATTGTCTAATTCAAATAAAATAACAAAATTAACAATAAATATTGTTTCATTTCCAAATTTTATGCCAAGCATCTTGGGATAAGGGAAGGATAAGTAATTTTAATTAATACTTAAGAACATGATATAAGCAAGGAATCAGCAATTAGATCGATCAAAAGAAACTAACTTATTTTTCAAAAAATATATTTCAATTTTTACACTGATTTACCTTTAAATAAAGAATTTTTAATTTAATAGATATTAGATAAAATTGAAAAAAATTAATAGATTGTTTTATAAAGTATTTAATGATTCAAATATTAGGCAGAGTTCATAATAATTAAAAACAAATTTATTTTTTGAGAATTGTCTAATTAATTGGGAATCAACCAGAACATTTCCTTCAATTGTTATCTATTAAAAACGAGCATAATGAACCTAAAGTAATAGGAGAAAAAGAGAAAGGATTATTAATCAAATATTTAGAAGAACATGTAAGAATTCTTGGATTTACTAGTCCAATTTAAAAAGAAATCAAGCTTCCCTAATACTAAAATATTAAATAAAAAGATGTTTAATAATAAGATTTCTAATTGTTTTAATAACTATTTGACGGGTCAATTAAATAGATGAATTCTATTTTGGATTAGCAATCTAATTCATAATGTTTGGTAATTTGTAAAGAAATCTAAGCAATCTAAGTACTAGTTTCCTATTTAAAAACTAAATTTGAAGTGATTAAATTAAATTTAGACAAATTAAATCAGCAAGGATAGAATGAAAAACTATAAAATGGTATCATTATGGATTTAAAATAGTTAAAAAGTTTATCAAACATATATTCTGGTAATCCAGATAAGTGTGTTTGAATGATATACTAATAGTAGTCAAAGGTGTTGAATCTATTAAGAGCATTGATTTAATTGATTTTTAATAATCATTTTAAATACTTATTTCAAATGTAAGTTATATATCATTTATTTAGATTTTAAGTAAGCTTATGAGAAATTAAATAATGGAATATCCTTCAGTTAAATTAATTTTGGTATCGCCATCAAAAGAGTATTTAAATGTAAACCTTGAAAGTATTTATACTTATTAATTCAGGAAACTTTTCAAAGGACTAAATTATTGAATTTAATAAACCTAAATTAGAACTAAGATAGCGAATTTTCGAATAATTTTACCAATCTTAAGAGATTAAAAAATGTGCTGAATTATTAGCACAAAAATCTGAAAACTTTAATTTTAGTTAATTTAATGCTTTATAAAATAGAGAAAAATACTAAAAGGAATTGAATCAATAAATATCGGAGGAATGGATTTTATAATAAACTAATGATTTACAAGATTAATAGGTGTAATTAAATAAGAAAATACCAACATTCAAAGAAATAGGTGGTCTGAAAGAATAAAAGTAAATAATTTTAGATCTTTTTAATTTACCAATGAAATACGAGCATTTATTTGCAAAATCCAAAATTAAACTTCCTAAAAGTGTTTTAATTTATGGAATGCCAGGTTGTGGAAAAACTTATTTTAGTTTGAGTATTTGCAACTAATTAAAAATAAACGTATTAACAGTAAAAGGACCTGAATTACTAGATAAGTATATAGGTACATTTACTAATAATAAATTTAAGGATCCTCTGAATAGAATGTTAGAGATCTCTTTTAAAAGGCTTAATCGCTATCTCCTTGCATTATCTTTTTGGATGAAATAGATTCCGTTGTGCCTGTTAGAACATCATCACATTCAGGAGTTACAGATAGAGTTGTCAATTAATTTTTATGCTATCTAGACGGAGTAGAGGAAGGAATGAAGGGAGTCTACATAGTCGCTGCTTCAAGTAGACCTGACTTAATTGATCCAGCCATATTAAGGCCAGGAAGAATTGATAAGCATGTTAGAATAGATTTGCCTAATAAAGAGGAGATCCTTTAAATTTTGGAGATTTATAAAGGTCCTTTAGAATTTGATGGGATTGCAGTAGAAGAGATAGCTGACTCTTTGTTTGGGTTATCCCAAGCTGATGTTGTCTCTTTTTTTAAGGAAGCCAGAATATATTTAACTGATAGAATAGTTTAATTAGAAGATTTTAGTCTAAAAAGAAAGGTGTAAAAAATAGATGACTTTAAATTAACTAAGGAATTGTTTCAGGACATTATGAAGAATATGAAACCCAGTTTGAGTTAAAAATAGATACTATTCTATAAAGATGTATATAATAGATTTGAGAAGGGAGGCATAACGGATATGAATAATCAAAAATAAGCCTTATAGTGATGATATTGTTAAATTATTTATAAAATATGTATCATAAAATTATTGATGATTTGCTGATTCTTTTCGCTACATCGGCATAATATTAATTATTTGAGGCTAATAATTGAACAAATATACTAAAAGCTGATTAGTACAATTTAAATTCCTTTTCGTAATCAAGGTTCTAGACTAAAATTCCAAATTATTTTTATGCTCCTGATTTTGTGGAATCAAAGTATAGAGAACTGAAATAAGAATTAGCATTCTCTTTGCTTCCATAAACTTCATATTGTTGACCTCTTTACACAACGTCTTAAATTAATCTAGGATTCAAAATAAATAAATTCATTAAGTTTTCAAATATTTAATAGGCCTACGTTTGTAGATATTTAAATTGACGATTCTACATTCCTTTTAATAGGAAAGCATAATCATAAGAATTAGATTAAGTAAAGTATTTGTTCATGATGCTTGATACTTTCCCATCTAACAAATCAGAGTGAGCAGTTTCTAACCAAGCTTATGATAATTATGTATTTTATATTAATTCATTATGAATGGAATTTGAAAGTTGAGTAAATTACAGCTATGATTGGCTTACAATTCTATTTATATAATCCTCATAACTTTGATGGTAGATATTGGTAAAGGCTAAATGAGATGAAACATGCCAAACTTGGCTAGTTTGCTCAATATTTAAGGTTTGTAAGGTCTTATCAATTTAATCTTTGCCCAAGAAAGATTGCAGATATTCAGCTATACAATTAGAGTTAAACTATATTAGTCCTTCTGCTATTTAATGCAAAGTGATTTACTGTTTATTATTTAAACTAGTTAGGAATTTGGCATGATGATAATCAAATTGCTTGATATAAAACTAATTCAGGTTTTCCAATTAGACTTCCATAAGAGGATTAATTAAATTTATTGAAACCTATCTTGAATATTCAAGAAGAATGGCAATTTTGTTAAAAGGTTGTATTTGAACTTGAGCCTTTTTTTAGGTAGATACTAACAGCTAATCATCTTGAAACATAGTGATATAAAATTTGGAAGGATTATCCTCATAGAATTAGATAATGGATTTTTATGAATAAGGATTAATGTGGAAGTGATCGAGCATTTTATTTGAATTGTACACCCAATTCATCATTCCAGCCCCTAATGATTTTTTAAACGAAATTAGTTAGAGATTCTGAATAGAATCACTAGTTGCATTTGCTGAATAAACTATTTCTCCATGATTCTAATAAATATTGGTTAAAGTTTTGTTAAATATTTCGAAGGTTGTATCCAATGCTGCTCTTTGAGAAAATTAATCATGGATTGCCTTGAAATTTCCTTAGTTAACTCATCTTAATTACCTGTGTTATAGAGGAAGGTTAAGTCTTCAAATTATGATGAATGTCTTGAATATGTTAGTAACAGCATAGTTAATATGAAATATGAATGGTTAGTCATTATAAAATTTTAATTATAATATTTATGAAAATAGTTTTTTATTTGTTTTATATTCTGCTAAATTGCTTGAGCGCTTTTGAAATAATCAATCATTAGGAAATATTTGAATATATATTACGAATGAATGAGCTTAGAAGCAAAAGATACACAAGCCAAATACAATTGTTGTACGATGAATAGATATATGAATTGTATGAAGAAAATTTAGAAAATTAAATTAAAAGAAATAAAGAGGTGATGGAGAAGGCATTTTTCATGATTGAAAAGTATTATTTGCCTAAGAAGACCTGTTTGGAAGGAATTTTGGATTCGATTCTTATAATGGAACCCTTGTTTCATCATATTTAATATGATAAAGAGACTTTGAACACTTATTTTTATTCGGTCGACCAGCTGAATTTTAGATCAAGTTGCTATTAGGTTTTGTAGACTATAACAGATTAAGATGTTGAATTGAAGAGCAAGGATGAAATAGAAAAGATGGAGCTATTTTAGGAATTTTATGATAAGTTTTATTAAAATGATTTTACTTAGAGTAAAATGTATTTAGAATCAAGAGCGATGGATTTTAGGAAAAAGTTAGAAGAATTCACAGAATTGTTTAGTGATGATTATCAAAAGATTTTAGATGTCACCAAGTAATTGATGTTAAAGGCTAAACAATCTTTAAACAATTTAAGACTCTTAATTCAACCTGAAACAGACTAGGCCATATGTAGATATTATGTCTTTAATGTAGATTCTTACAATATTCAAAAGCAGAGGTACGATTTATTAAGAGAAAAGGAAGTGTTTCTGAAATAGTAAATCTTATACAATGATGAAGCATTTCAAATTGAATAGACTTAACATATACAATTGAGAGATAGTGTGGATAAGTTGATTGCTGAATAAGAGGTTGGGTAAATATTGATTAAACGAATAAATTAGAGATGTTATATAAAGAATTGAGTGATGAAAATAGATAGAATGTGTTGAACATGATTAAAGTTCAAAATTGGGATATTATGAAAAACCAAGAAGAAGAAGAATTCAGAAAGCAATCTCAAAAATTCAATCCTGGAAGAAGACATGATTATGATTTATGATTTATTGGATAGTATTAAATAAATTGAAATTCTTAGGCGTCGCAATTAAGTTGCTATTAAATGATCATGGGGGGTTTGTTTAATAGTTGAAAATCAAAATAAATATTTTTAGTTTAATAAATAATTAATTGTTATAATCATGGGCTGTTGTTAGGGACATTAAAATGGTTAGAAAATACAATATTTTAGATATGCATTAATTAACAGAATTAGCAAAGGAGTTGACTGAATATCAGTAGCCTGAATATTTGGCTGACATATTAGATTTGAAAACACAAACTAAGTTGAAGGAACGGTTGAATGACTAAGAAAAAGATCTAGAACAGACTCCAAAAAAAGAGACTAATTACTCTCAAGATATGAAAAGCGGAAAAAAAGAAAATAACTAAGATTCTAAATCATAAATTAAATAATAAGGATAAGAGAAACAATGGACAATCAAATAAACTATGTTCGTTAGAATTAATTCCAAAAAGAATGTAAGCGAATTCTACACAGTAAAAGAGATGATTGGATAGGGAGGATTCGGAAAAGTATATAAAGTGGTTCATAGATAAACTGGTTTAATTAATTCTTATTTCTAGGTATGGTGAGAGCTATGAAATTGATCCTAAAATCTAAATTGAAAAAAGAGGACCAAGAAAAATTGTTAGAAGAAACTAATATTTTAATGGATATTGATCATCCAAACATAGTCAAATTATATGAAATGTATTAAGATGATAATTCATATTATTTAATCAATGAATATTGTGATGGTAAAACTATTAAAAATCTTCTATGAAGGTGGTGAATTATTCGAAAAAATTAAATTTGTTCAAACCTTAACTGAAAAAGAAATAGCAAGTTACATGAAATAAATCCTGACAGCTGTGGCTTATTGTCATTCAAAAGGCATTGTACACAGAGATTTGAAACCTGAGAACATTTTGTTTGACTCTAAAAATCAAGGAGCTTCACTCAAAATCATTGATTTTGGAGCGAGTGCTAAATTAGTAAATGATGAAAAACTAAAAAAAAGAATTGGAACAGTATTATAAATACACTATATTAGCCATTTTATGTTGCTCCAGAGGTTTTGAACGGTAGTTATGATGAAAAATGTGATATTTGGTCTTTAGGAGTAATACTGTATGTTTTGTTATGTGGATACCCTCCCTTTTTTGGACACAGCGAAGGAGAGGTTTTAGCCAAAGTTAGGAAGGGAACATATTAATTTGATAGTAATGATTGGTCTAGAGTATCTATGCAAGCAAAAGATTTGATCAGAAGAATGTTGTTCTATGATCCCTCTTCTCGTATCAGTGCATCGGAGGCTCAATAACACAGTTGGATAGCCAACAACAAAGCTAAAGGAGCAGTCAATAACATCAGTTTGAAAAAATTATAGGATTTTGATTCCAAGAATAAACTAAAATACGCAATTTTATAATTCATAACAGTTCAAGTTGTCCAAAGTTAAGAGAAGGATGATCTATTAAAGACTTTCCAAGATATAGATAAAAATGGAGATGGAACTGTGAGCAAAGAAGAATTGTTAGCAGGTAAAATATCATTTAATCTTAGCCTATATGAAAATTTACAAAGGAGATTCTATAGCTGCTCAGTAAGTTGTAGAAGAATTGTTTCCATAACTTGATGCCAACAAATCGGGAAAAGTGGATTTTAGTGAATTTGTTACTGCCTCAATAAACAGAGATAAGTCCTTAAGTAGAAAAAAAATAGAACAGGCCTTCAAGCTTTTTGATTTGGATGGAAATGGTTTTATTACTAAATAGGAGATTAATGAGTTATTTGGGAATGAAATCGATGAAAATATGTGGCAAGACATTTTGAAGGATTGTGATATAAATAAGGATGGAATGGTATGTCTATTAGGTAACTATTTAGATATCTATGAATGAATTTGTAAATCTTTTGGAAACTAAAATTAGACGAACACCATAAATGTAATGAATTACTAATTTTATAAACCATGTATATTTGCATGGCTAATTAATATATATACTTAAATAACTCATTTATTTTGATATTGATTTCAACCTTATATTTATATTAAAAAATAAAAATATAAAAAAGTTGCGTCTATCGGGACTCGAACCCGACCTAAATGCTTGGAAGGCATTCGTACGAACCTCTATACTATAGACGCTGACTGAGAATTAAGCAGGATTTATTGTATATGAACATCTCTATAAAATGTGATATTATGATTTGGATTGCTTGACTTTCCAAAAATACACAGGTTTGGCTTTAATTGCATATTGTATTAAAATATATAAGGAAGTTATTAGGAATATAACAATACTCATTTTTTATTATTTTTGAAACTATTTTATTATTTTTAGCTAGATAATTTCCTCACTTATGGAATATCCTTTTAAGGTTACTCTTTTAGAACTTATACTTTGCTAATTATAAAGAATTCTATATACTCATTTATTTTGACTTATTGATTAACTCTTTTTATTGCTGACTCTAGATAATCGTTTGAAGTCGATGTAGCTAGCTTTTTAATTATTCTTTGATTCTAATCAATGATTTTCCTTTTTTCATCTAATTTTTAAAACTTTTTATCATAGCCGATTTTCATCTTTAAATTTATATATATTCTTTACTTAAGTCATAACATCCTTTTCTTTTTGGAGTTACTCGATTCTATTGGCTTAGTGTGATTATTTATTTTTGAGATCAAAATGTAACTTCTTAAGAATGAGTAATTCCGTTTCCTAAACTACAAGTTTTGCTTGTAATTCTGCTATGATTTACAGTTACTCATTTTCGAGTTCTGTTTGAGGAGGAGAATTTTATTTCAACTTCTCATATATTTCATCGTAAGTGGCTTTTAATGATGGTTTTTCTTTGAAATATTCTTCATACATTTATTCTTCATCTGATGAACTTCCATTAGCTGAAATATCTAGGTTTTCATCTAAATTGATAGGCTCTTCTTCCTTGATTTGTTATGGTACCTCTACAGTTTTATCTTACTTCTCTTGTATTTGTTATTAAATAAAATCTAAAAAGTTCATAAATTTATGTAAAATTTTCATTCATACAATTCAATTCTAATTTATTTCGGAATAAATACGTTACATGCTTTTAGAATAAACAGTTAATAAATCTTATATGCATACTTTAATTAGCTTATATTACTCAAATTAAATTCCATTTCATCATCAAAATATGGATTATAAATAATTGATATTAATAAAAATAAGAAATCTGAAATTGTTAGCATGGACAAGAGGCTATTCTCCAAACAGGCTATTCATTTCCTGACTATCGTCTTTATCAATTTTGATCACGGAATCATTCCAGCTTGCACATAAAGAATTGAATCAGATTTCGGAATTAATGAATTTGAAGTAGCATATATAATTATTATGATTAAAATAGTTGGGTTTATTGAGTTCATCTGTTTTTGCTGGAATTATTATAGGATCGACGATAGGAGCAGGAATCTATGATAAATTTAAGACTAAATCGATTCTTATAACTTGCTCATTATTTTACATACTGAGTATATCAGTATTTCTCATTACAAAGAATATTATGTTATTACATTTTTCCAGATTCTTGACAGGGTTGTTTTAAGTATGCTTCATCAATTTAATTGGTATTTTTAGTTATTTATTTTCCTGTTTGGATTGATTTCTACGGGGGTAAATAAAAAAATGAGCAATTGACATAAATGCAAATTGGAGTACCCTTGGGAACGATGTCAGGATTCTTAATAAGTTCATTATCTCTTTAGACTTTATAAGATGTAAATATTTATATTAGGGTTTAAGTGGAAATACGCATTTTATTTCTAGATCGTAGGCTTGACTGTGTGTTTGTGGTATTATGGATTTTCTGAGGATGATTAATTTTCAATAAGAATCAGAGAGGAAAGAGATGAAAATTAAAGTTTTTCAACAGTGTTACTTTCAAATTGTAAAACATTTTTTACAAATCCACTTTTTGTATTATCCATGTTAACATTAAGTTAATTGTTTTTGGTTTTGACAGGAGTCTAATTCTGGATGACTGATTATCTCAATAGTGTTATGTTAATGGAATACAATCTTGCTTCTTAATCATTTCTAATAATCTCAATGACTGCTCCGTTAACTGGGGTGTATTTAGGTAGTTAAGTCTTAAATAATGATGTGGGAAATAAAGGATTTAGAGTCATGAAAATTGCTGCAATTGAATTATCTTTAGCAAGTATCTCATTAGCTTTGATTCCTCATGTTGACAATTAAGAGATGATAGTATTACTGCTTTGGAGTTTGTTATTTTTTGGAGGCAGTGCTATTCCATCAATGATGGGGATAATGATTACATCGTTGCAAAGAGAAGAGAGAATAAGTGGAAATTAATTAAGCCATTTATTTCTTGATTTGTTTGGTTATCTTCCAGCACCTGCCGTTTATGGGTATGTTTAAATAATTTCTGGTGGTTCAACATCCCGAAAGGGAATGGTTATGCTTTCTTGTATTAGTTTCTTAAGTTTAATCTTTTTGTTACTAGCAATTTACAAGAAATATCTTTCAATAAAAATGATTTGTATAGATTTAAATGAATCAGAGTTCAGAAATAAATTGCGTTCGCTTTCTCATCATTCTGGTGACAACAATGATGAATATCAAAAGAAAGATTTCTCATATATAAGAATGTAAACCACTAATCATAAATTTAAATAAATTATCCATTCACATTATACTGAGTAGATTGAAGGAGATCAATTGTCAGAAAATGAATCACCTTTGATAATTGGTATGGAATCACAAAGAATAAGAAATGCATATAGAAGTTAATGTTCATATTTGCATATTTTTTATAATGTTTCAAGTCTTATAGGAAGAAGAAGTCTAGAAAATGATCTATTTATGGTCAAAGATGATTAAGCTCAGATTAGGATGAAAAGTTAAAATACTTTTGAGTTGAAGCTTATTGGAGCTAATCATTTTATGGGCGAGGAGAGATTTGGACAACAACAATAATAATAATGATTTATTTGATTAATTTTTAAAATATAAAAAATATCAATGAGTTTAGAAGTTAAGAATGCACATAGATAAGCGTTTAAAGAAATCTTTTCAATGAAGGCTGTAGAAGGGAAACTAGACAAAAAGGGTTTGGCTGATCTCTTCATCATGATTGATTATAAGGTAATATGATTTTTATTTATAATTCTAAGATACCATAGGAGCAATTTGATGAGATGGTTCAAAGAATATTTGGTAAAAAAGAATAGATAGGGTTTGAAGAATTTTTAAAAATTTTTAATTTAAAACTGACAGATTATACTTTTAATGATGTGAGAAATGCATTTAAATTGTTAGCAAAAGATGATGACAGGTATAATAATCTATTATTTAGGTATATCCCATTGGAGAAGATTAAAAAAGTATTGCTAAAAAACAATGTACCAGCTGAAGAAGTTGAATTTTTATGTCACTAGTTGGATCCATTTACTGACACCATGAAGAGAGTTAATTATGCTGAATTCTTAAAGAGCTTGAGTAATGTTTGATCAATACCCATTAAAAATGTTACTTAATATTAAATTATTTAAATAAAATTTAATAATGAACTTTTCCCCACAATTAGGTTTTCTCGCCCAAAAGTTTTAAGAAAAACAATAGAACAATAGGATCACCAAAATTGATTTAGAATAAATATTAGAAACTGCAAATTATAGTCAAGATGATATTTAGTCTTTAACATAATAATTTAATGAAGACGAAATAAGTAAAAGTAATTTTTTATATAGCCTATAATTAGTTTTTGTCGATTGTTGGAGTTTCTGAAAATAATCATAGCATCTAAACCTATTAATAAAATAATGGATACGAGATGGTTTCTGAATATTAATAAAAGCTAACATCTGAATAGCTTCAAAGCATTTATGATGACTACAAAATAGCTTTAAAAAACTAAGATTTCGAAAAAACCAAGTTTATTCTAAGTATCTGAATTATCTAAATCTAAGACTAATACAAAGATATTGATTTAGTTAATAAAATTGATCCATCTCAAAGATAAATCTCAACATACATAGCTGTTTAAGGTCCTGATGATAATGTAGCATTATAAACATTAGAATTGCTGTTCGATTTTGGCGCCAACTTAAATTACAAAGATTAATTAGGCCAATCAATTTTGTTTTATATTTGCAGAGATGGAAGATTAAAGCTTCTAGATTTTGTTTTGTCAACTAATACTGTAAATGTCAATGATCAAGATCGATACGGATAAACACCGCTGTTCTACGCTGCTAGAGATAATAGATATGATATTGTAATTAGGTACTAAGAGAATTCATTATAAATTTAGATTAATACAATATGGAATTGATATTAATATTGTGGATAAACTTTCAAGTCAAACAGCCCTATTCTATGCAGCCAATGGAGGACATGTTGAAATATGTAAAGTGTTAATCGAAGTACTAATATCATATTTAATATAAGAATGGATGTAATCCTAATCATGTTGATTCATCTAAAAAGAATGCATTATTTTTTGCTAGAAAATACAATAGAAAGGAAGTGATAGACCTATTTAATTACTATCTTAACAAAAATAAGGATGATATGTCTAAAAATAGTGGAGGAAATGATAACAGTAAAGGTGAAGCACCAAGATCATAGCAATAGAAGAGGAAATTCAAAGATCTGCCTAAACAATCTTACAAATTGATATTTACAGATATTTAAGGAAACTAAAGAGAATTAAATTCCGTCGAATTTGTCAAGTTTTAATAAGACTACCCAGAGGTTGCTAATCTGATTGTAAATGCAGATGAACTTATTGACGATACAATCATAAACTAGATTAAAGATGATGACACATGGGAGAAGATAGCCAAAAAGGTTTTAGGTATTTATTTTCAACAAACATTTTAGGCATTATATGGAAAGCAAAAGGAGCTCACTTATTCCATTAACCAGTCGATCAGAAGAAATATGGAATAAGTGATTATTATGAAATAGTGACTAAGCCTATGGATTTTGGAACTATTAAAGTATGTATTAATCAAAAATTAGAATAAATTAAATTCAAATGTTTATAGTTCTTGTTAGGAATTTTATGATGATGTTATGCAAGTGTTTGAAAATTGTATTTTGTACAATGGAGAAACTAGTGAAGTAGGTTAAATTGGATTTAATATAAAATAAGAGTTTGAAAATCAATTAGAATTGACATTATTGAAAAAATATTTATGATAACATAATAATATCTATCATAATCAATTTTATAAAACTAATAAATTACACACCTTAGATGATATTATCATAATTAATTAAAATTCTTGAATTATTCTAACTATTAAAAGAAAAAGATTAGAATTCTATAATTCCTTATTAGAATAGAATTTAAAAGATTTTATCAAGTTGAACACAATAAATCTTTCAAGATTTGAGAGTAAATTTACTGATAGGACTAAAACATTAAATTAATGATACATCTAATTAAACTGAACTCATGTAGCGATCAAAACATCAAATATTTGTAATTTTACATGTTTAGAATTAATATTGTAAATATATAAAATTTCAAGAATTATCTTCAGTTTCTTCTTCTATTTCATAATCAGGAGGTAAAATGATTCTGACTAAATCATCCATACTAAGTCTTCCATCTTTATCGTTGTCATGCTATTAGAATAGATTCTCAACTTCCTTTTCTGTAAACCCATATGTGAATGTCTTCTTCATATCTTCAATAGATATATCTAATATATTAAATTTGTAGAGTTACATCCTTTTCCATCCTAATCTATTAAATTAAATAGTTATTTAACTCTGATCATACTTTGTTTTGGTAGAATTCTTTTTCTTTTAGCTGGCTGTTTTTCTACTCTTAGAAATTCCATTTCCAAACTTTCTTTCGAACTTTTAGCAAAAACTTCATTATATTATTGAATCCATTAATTTATGATTTTCAATTATTCTTATGTCAGTGAAGGATACAATTTTAACATTAATTCATCAAAAGTAACGAATCCTCTTTGTTTAGAATCTAAATAATTATATAAACTTGCAGTAACTCTTTTCATGTGTGGTTTGTTTTGAAAAGACTTAGTGAATTCTTTAACTTAAATAACTTAATTTTTATCTGAAAGACTATCAAAATAACTCTTTAATTTAAATATCTCATTTCTAGTTAAGGTACACCCTTTTGTAATGATAATATTCTTCATGATCTTATTAGGCACAATGACTCTTCTGGAAGTGCCATCACGTTAGGTAACAAATCTAATAGTGGGAGAATCATATCTTTAGATTTTCCGAGAATGATCTCCAATAGCTTTTTCTAAAATTTGTAATTCATCAATGTCATCATCTAAAATTTGAGGTTTTGCTTAAGTAGCAATTTTGGGTAGAGAACTGTGAGAAGCCGACTATTTTGATCTTATTTAGAGTTATCTAACACTTTTAGTAGTAGCCTTATAGCTCTCCTAATATTTTTAGTTTAATTTTTCATTGAGACTCTTCATAAAGTATTCATTCTTATTTGCTTTTGTTATCATTTCTAACATTTCTGCAGCTTCTTATTCGCTATAAGGCTTAAAGGATTTAAACACTTCAAAAGGCTCTTAGACTTTCTGCTTTGGTTCATACAATGTAAATAAATCTTTGCCAATATCATTCTCTTTTTCTAACCATTCGATGATTCTAAATGTAAATCTAAAATTTACTCGCTCAACTCCAGTTAATTATCAACTTGAATGTCACTCTTCAAAAACATCAATTTTGCAAACTTTTCCAATTACACATAAGGAGGCAATTCGGCATTAGTTAATTTACAATATCCTATTATGATTGATTTGATAATTATGAGGAGCTCATTTAAACTGATGTTCCCATTACAATCCAAATCAAAAACAATATATAAAACTAGTATATAATGAGTTTTTTTTACAATGAATTTTGTGAATATGCTAAGTATATGAACATATAGTTAAAACACAAATGAGTTCATAAATTGATAAGAGTTTTGATTTTCTGCAAAAGTTATCAAATATGTATCCTGCATTAGGTCGAGAAAATGGAACTATTTTGCAGAATAAACTTTTATCTATGAAGGGAAGTGATGTCCTACGTTAAAACTATTCATAAACAGCTCGGATTTCAGATAATGACCCTGTATGCATACAATTAAATACAATATAGCAACTATTTTAATGCTGGATCCACCTCTCTTGAGATGTCAAATTTCAGTTCCATTTTTCTTAAATGCATTGGAAGACTGCTCAGGTTGCCATTCTCATCTTAAGTCGAATGCGAAGAAACGCTACCCATAAATCAATTAAAATTAAGAAAAATACATAATATGGTTGTGAAATCAACTAGTTAATCCCTATTTACTATTATACAGATATTTTATTGCTGAATTTAATAAATATTAATTATTAAGGTTTCATTGATAAAGTAAAAAAGAGAGTAATGATAATAAGATCAGAAATCAAAGAAATTTTATTGTTATTTCGCTATTGCCATGTCATTTTCTTCTTCAAATTGTATCTCCTTCCAATATTAGTTGGAATTAATTTCTGTATGACTGTATTCGTTATCAAATTATTGTTCTCTTTCATATAACATTGGTGACCTTTCGCATTCAATTGGAGCCTCAATGAAATATCTATCAGTGTTGAAGTTGGGATCCTCTTAATTTTCATCATCAGCTTCAATTATCAAATTATTCCAACTATCATTTGAGGGATTTTTTTCTTCTACCTCTTCTATAATAGGGGCAGCTACATTTAAATTTTCTTCTTTTTGTCTTAAAAGCTATCTCAGATACCCCATTTTCTTTTATAAACATTGATTTATGTCTGTTATTTATGAGGCTTTTCGAATAATACTATAATAATCCTCTAAGGTTTTCTTTGAGCATCCCATAAGATTGGCTGCTTCCTTTAATGTTGGCTTAATGAAGTTGCCTGCATAATCGGTGTAGCCATTTTTAAAGAGATCTCTCCATTGTTGAACTAAATTGCAAGCCTCATAGACAAATCTTTCTTTTGACCTTCGTTGTTTTTCAATTTTTTAAGTGTTAAACATAAAAATATATTTTAATTATATAATTTGTGAATAATTCATAAATATATGAATTTTATTTGATTAATTAGTATTAAACAGAATTGGAACGTATTGATAAAATAATTATTATTTTAGAAATAGTTATTCTAATACTCAAATTTCCAATTAACTACTCTTCTATGAATCCCGTTCTATAACCTCCTAGATATCTAAAATAAATAGCTCCTTCTCAATTTAGGAGTTTAAATTAATTAAATGTTCCTCAAGAAGAAATTGAAGAGAAAGGATTTTTGACTAAATATGTTTAAATCTTAAAAAAGAATGCAAATGGATCAGTTATAAGCACAGCAAAAATTGTTAATATTTTGAAATTGCATTAGTTATTGAGAAATTAGGATCAACTTGAAACCCTGAAAAAATATTTTGAAGATCACTTTCCATATATTGGGTAAAATAAAATCAAATAAAATTTAGAAAATTTAAGGATAAACTTGATGGTAATAAATGTTTGGACATTTTTAGATTTATGACAGTTGAAAAGTATAAAGCGTTTAATATAATTTTTCGTTAAGGAGAGCCAGGAAGAAAAATGTATTTTTTATTAACAGGGGAAGTAGGAATATTTGTTCCAAAATCGAATCAAAGTTAAGAAGTCTAAAATTTGATTTGCCAGTAATTAATAAATTATATATATAAGTGATTTTAAGGACATTCAGGAAATTCAGTTTTAAGAGTTTAGATTGGTCGCCATTAAAAAATTTGGAGAAGTCTTCGGAGAAATTGCTATTGAATAAAGGGTCACTAGAACTGCAACCGTAGTAGCGAAAACTGATGTCTTTGTGGCACAGTTATCCTATGAAATGTATTAAGATGTAATTGGAAAGCATCAGAATGAATTGACTGCTTAAAAGCTTTAGTTTATTAATACTATTCCACTTTTCTAGGATTGGGAACAGAAACAAAAATTAATAGCCTTGTCTAGCTTTGAATAGAATACAATTAATTGTGGGTAGAGTATTTTTTCAACCGGATATTTAGATGAATATATTTATTTAGTCGTGACTGGAGAAGTTGAAATCATTAAATTTAATAAGGTTCAATCCAGCTTGTCATAAAATTAAATAAAAAAGTTATAAATTATTGCCATTATTAATTCTGGATAATTTTTTGGTGATTATGAACACATAAACAACATTCCTAATAGAATTACTTCGGCCAAAGCGAGGATGGAAACTGTATATTATAAAATTAAATATAATCTCTTTATAGATCTCTTAGAGATGTACTCAAATGTGGAAGAATATAAGAAAGCTCAAATGATCAAGTTTAACATTTAATAGTCTTTGGTTAGTAATGCCTCAGTCTGGTAAGGGGAAAATCAAGAGGATCAACTTTCATTGAATTTAGATCTAAGTCAATTAAAATCTAATTATTTCAAAAATCAGAAAATAGAAAAACTGAAAAACTAATTGAAAAAACAGATTTTCAAAACTGATGATTAAATTAAAAAGGACTATTTTAAGGAATAACTTAAAACCGTAAGTTAAACTTTAAGTGTATTCGAAACTATTTAACTTAAAAAATACTCCAATTTAATACCTCATAAACATGATTTTTTTGTTAATGAATAAAATTGCATTTCATCACCAAATCACACTCGTTCGCAAAAGTTTTTTAGTAAGGTTTTTGATTAAAATCAAGAATAAAAAGAAAAGAAATAGCAAAATACAAATAAATTTATCGATAATCAAATTAAATATCATTTGAATAAGAAATTTAAAGGAATGTTTCGAAAGCATACTAAAAGTCATAATGTAAAATTGGAATAATCAGATTCAATATCATATTCAAAAATTATTTAAAGCAAAGTTGCTAAACTCAATCTAACTAAATCTTATGAAAAGATGCAAAGAGCGACATCCGAAAATGCTTTCAAACAAGTCGAACGCACCCCTCATACTCATTTGTCTCTTCATATTCGATCCTATCATAAAGAAAATCTTACTACAAATAGGTCAATTCTGTTTAGATCAAATAGATTGTCATCTAAAAAACCAGACACACAAGAGTTCAAATTTTAGAAAATGATTTAATTTTGATTATATTAATACATATGTAAATTTATAAATGTTTACTTAAGGTTGAGGAATACTTTGAAAATTCAATTACTAATCTGATTCCTTATATCAGAGTCTAAATCAATAATGCAGAACAAATTTTCAATTGGTATCGAGATGAAATTTAATCATTTTATATTAATATCAGTAAAATTATATACGACTTTCTTCATATCTCAGTCATTCTGAATTAGTACAAAAATAGAATTGGAAATGTAATCGAAATTAAATCTGAACACATTTATTTATCATTTCGAGATATCGTAATAATAAAATTAATACACAAATGCAATAGACGTAATTTCTAGGAAAAAGAATTAAACTCCAATAAATTAGTTTGACTGGGAATTATGAATCTCCTCCTTTACCAACTCTTCCAAATATTCAAGGTTTGTTTTCACCTAGATTGGCTCATCAAAAGGAAACTATGTAATCACCAAGAAAAAAGACATATACAAAACTAACTTAAAGTGGTAAGAATAATGTACCTCTTATTTCATAATCTTCAAGAAATCTAGATGGATTTAACATCACATAATAATTTTCAATATCTCCTTGCAAAAGCTACAGGAGTAGTTTACGTTGTTTAACACCACATGAAATAAACTTTAGAAAAAATCTTGATCATATTTACATAGTTAAACAACCTATTAATGAGATTAGTCAACTAAAAATCATGTAGATGAGTAGATAAAAAGTAAATAGCGGATATAAGGAAGATGACATATATTTGAAAAGAAAAAAACTATTACTTGAAGCACAAATAGCTTTGGGTGCTACTAGACTACACTCACAATTAGCATTATTTGATTATCAATAAATTAACTTTTTTGAGGAAATTCCATAAAACTGCAAACTTGTATTTTTGGGTAATAAAACTTAGATGGATTTTTGGGAAATTGTATTTGCTTTTCACAATATTGAATGTTAAACTGAAATTCAAAATAAAATCTTGAATATCATGTAATATGTCAATTCCACAGATGATCTTCTTAAATTCTTTTAAGATAAAGAAATATTTCAAGAAGTAATAGAAAGCAATGATATTTGTAGTCCGATGGAAAATCTAATTACTCCAACAACAGCAAGATCTAAATAATAATAATTTTAAAAATCTAACACTTCAAATGATTTATAATTCAAACTTGATTTGGATCTAAAGAAAAAAATGCATATCTTAAAAACCGAAGAAAGTGAAGAGTTACAAACCATAAGAAACAGATTAGATGAAAGTCTTAAGGATTATAAAATGGAAGTCAAATCAGATGCAATATAGGATATTTTAGAAAAATAAGGTTTGAATAAGAATATTAAGCAGAACCAAAAAAAATGTAACTTTAACATAAATAGATAGATTTAAAACTGTCTAATTTCAAAAGCTAATGCAGTACAATAGCGAAAACCTAATCTAAAAACCAAACCTACAAAAATCAATTTACTAAGTTTCCTCTCTACATTGCTTAGTCACAACCATTAGCTACTTATTACAATATCCCAAAATTGATGGAGAAAACTGGGCTGAACAGAAGTGAAATTCATGAGATTTATTCAAGATATAAGGCATTATTGAGTTTTGAATGTACTTAAATACCAGGAATGACTAAAGAAAGTATATTATTATTATTAAATATTATGAAAGTGCTCCCCAATGGAATCAGTCGAGATTCATTTGCAGCAGGACTCAATGAATTATCAATGGCTCCTGCAGGAGTGATTGATTAATTATTTAATTTGTTTGCCATTGAAAACAGCTTAGATTTTGAAGGATTTCTTTAGATTATTAATTTAATTACAGCCAAGAGCAATGAAAAAAAAATTGAATTAATTTTGAAAGTAAATATTTAATTAATTAGTTAATTGATGAGAATGGGAATGGGTTGCTCTCTTATGAGGAAATATCCTAGAGATGTGAAATGATGATGGATTCTATAATGAAATATAGCAATGGAGAGCCTTGCACCAATAATATGGTTGATATCATAACTAAATCCATTTTTGACGTATAACTTAATTGTTTTTCTTAGGCAGTAGAGATGAATTATGATGAGGAAATACCAATTGAGAAACTTAGATTACTAATTGAGAGTAGAAGCTAGGCTTCTAAAGCATTATTAATGATGTGTTGCGGAGATATTAATTATATTGATTGATTACTTATAAGTTATAAGCTTAATTTTAATAATTAATTACTGCAGTAATAAATTGTAAGATATTGAATAAATTAAACTCCTCACTATATATGAAATTATATTTATTTCTTTTTACTTTATTATTTTAATAATAAATGGTGTACATTTTAACCCTAGAGCAAGCTCAGATATCTATAAAAATCGATAAACCATGCTACTTTCCTGGAGATCTAATTAAAGGAGTCATATACATTAAGGTAAAGACTAAAGATATAAATGCTGGCATTATGAATCTAAAAGTAAAAAATGGTAATAAAATTTTCAGCTCTGTGGTCAACTAAAAGTAAACTAACTGGATTAACAGGATCAATTTTTCAGTTTCAAATAGTTCATTTATAAAAAGTAAAAGAAAATCACTGATTTTGGAAAGTATTGAAACTTTAAAGTATTAGGAAAATGCCAATTATAGCATGCAGAAAATACTTCGAGATGGAGGTTCCAAATATATCACCGAGTTTCACAATTAACTACTACAAGATGGTACAATGCAGAATCTTATATTTTCTCTCAGTTACTATATAAAGTGAAGATGAGAAATATTTATATAAGCCTCCAAAGAAACACAGAGTAGTGATACACATACTTTAAAAACCTTAAATCCAATCTAATTTACCAATCGAACATGTTGGCGAATCAAAGACAACCAAAACTTGTTGCCTTTCAACTGGAGTAATAAATAAAATTGTATCATAGGGCACAAAGGTTAAGATACAACTAAATAAGCCTTCATTTGTTTTTGGAGAAAATATTGATATAGTTATGCAAGTTAACAATAGTTCATCAAATTATCATATCCAAAATTTCAAATTTTCCATTTCTGCCTAGTTAATAATTTTGTATAAATAGTAAAAACGCAAACTCTCTAACTATTTTGATATTTTTGATTAAGAATTAATTTGTAAAAATCCATCTATATGTTAGAGTAAGTTGAAGCTGGTGAAGAAAAAGAAATAAAAACCACTTTGAAATTACCATAGGGAAAGCCAGGAAACCCTACTTCGATTTTTCCACAAAGTTCTGTTAAAACAAAACGAATTATATTTTAATATATATTGACACTAAAAGTTACTTTTGGCAAAAGATTATTTTTCAGATAAGATGATTTAATCATTCCGATGCCAATAATTTTAATATAGCATCAAAAAAGAGAAAAGGACAATGTATTTTAATCAATGGAAAACATTAGTATGATTGGATCTGTATTTGAAACAAATTAAAAACTAAGTCAAAGCTAATTAAAAAGGTTTATCTTTGGAGATCATAATTGTTCAGGTTATGGTGAATAAGATGGCTATTAAGGACTTGAGAGGAAATATCATCCCGTTGAGAGTTTAGATGAGAAGGCTATGAAAGATGTGAAAGGAGCATTAGAGTAATTGATGTTTAAGAATCAATATGAAATGGAAGGTAGCGATGATGAGGATAAATTAATTGAAGAAATTGATGGAGTTAATCTAAATAATGTTAGTTTAAATGTTGAACAATCTGAAAAATAGTAAAAGGCAAAAACTATTTTTCAATAAGGCAAAAAAAATGATATCCGTTTTCCCAACCCAAACATGGAGGAAGCTAATAATGATATATAAGATCAGTTATAAACAATTAAAGAAGAATAAGATAGTAAAGGGACCCAATATAATCTAAATAATGCTCTCTCTTCATCCTAAATAAGAAAAAATCAATAAGGAGAAGACAATGAAGAATAACAAAATAGTTAATTTCAATAATAATCTTATCCAATAGAACCTTTTTGTTCTTTTTAGAAAGTTATTTTAAAAATGGATGAATATGATCATATAAAAGACGAAAAGGAAAACTTAAAAAGACCACCTATCTTGAAATAAAATAAATCATTAAACAATTCAATTGATCAAATTGATTAGAAAGAATAAAAGTAATTTAAAGTTTAATTTAATGATGCTACGTCAGTCGATACCTTGGATGGTAAGACTGGAGAGAGATTAAGTACTCAATGTAAAAAAAAATGAAATTTAATTTAAATAAACTGAATTATATATTATTCAATTTGTTTATATTTTTGTAATCAATATTAACGATAAAAAATAATTCCTAACTATATGCTACAAAAGTTATTAATGCATCATTCTATTTTATACTTATAACATAAAAGTAGTTTAGAAATGTTACTTTATCAACAAATTTCTGATAATAAATAATCAATTTTATCCTTGTTATTAAATTAATTTTTTTAAATAAAAACAAATAAATATCAAATTTTATTTAATCGAGCGATTATATGGATTTATTCTATTTTATACATCTGTTTAATAATGTGATAAGTAATTATTATCATAAATTAATCTAATTCTAAATTATAATTTTATGATTAATATCTACAAGGCATTTTGCATTTTGAAATTTATGATAAAAATCATTAAGAAATTATTGAGAAATTAGATCAGAATAAAATCTGAAGATCAATATTAAAAACAACTCATGCCAAGAAGATCTAATAATATTTTCATTGGATAATTTTATAATAATGAATATCAACTCAAATGATGGAGCACATTAGTATACATTTGTTCAAAATCTTTCATAGAGAACTAACCTTATTTTGAAATATGATTAAATAATTTAGAGAATGTGTCTAAAGATTTAATATTAAATTATTATCCCAATTAAATTACTATTGTTTAAACGATTTCAATTGTTATTCTTTCTCCTGAATTGATTTTTCTTTAAAATACTTTATCAAATTCTTAAAGTATTGTTTCCTCTTTGAAAGAGAAGTTCATTAAATTTGATGCATATGACAACCCTTTTCTTTCGTTTTTGGTCCTTCTCTTGGCTTAAAAAATAATAATGAAAATACATTCTTTATATCCATAAGGGTCATTTTTTGGGTTCAAATATTATAAATATTACCCAGATGTTTTTTCTCTGTATTTTTTATGTTTAGGCCACATTTAATTAGGTTGATATAGAGTTTATTGTAATCCTGGTTCAATTGAACTTTGGACTCTTCTAAAAAAATGAGGTTTATTTTCAGGTACTATTTCACCTTTTGGTTTTACTGAAGTTACCTTCTCATCAATCAATGGATTTTTATATGGTTAATATTTAGATTCTTGAATTGGATAATCAGTTTCCATATATTTAATATGACTTAATGGCCATGCTTTAACTTTGTTTAAATATTCACGATGATTGTATTTCTCAAAAAACATTAAGCTCTACCCTCCATAATTCTATCCGGATGGGTCTATCAATCCTTTATATGGTTTATGCATAAAATGTATGTTTTATAAAATTTTAACAAATAATTATTCTCATTAAATAAAATTAATTTACTAATTGAGAATTTGATTTAAAATATATTCTTATTAGTAATTAAAGTATTGTGGTTCACTCAATGGAAAACTAATAAGTCTTTTAATTATATAAAAGAGTTGAATTACTTAACAATTATATGAGTATGAAATATACATCAAGTAAGTAATTATTTCTCTATCACTCCTAATAAGACTTTTATAATATAATCAATATTATAAGTTTATTGTGCTATTAATTAAAACAAAATGAGTTTTACTTTTAATTCAGAATTTTAGAAATTTTTAAAGAAATAAATATATAATATTATTATAAAAGAAATATCATATATAATTTTGTGATCTTTCATACCAAAACAATTTTCAATCTAAATTTTTAATATCAAATGATAATCTTTATTGCATTGTATCATTTTCCTTAACAAGTTTAGTTTAATTTTAAGTATATTTAATATAAATATCATCTAATTTACTAAAATTTGCGTATTGTTTTAATATGATTCGCATTATTTAATATATTTTTTAATATACACATGTCGATTGAAGTAGCCAAAGCTATTGGATTTGAGACAGAAGAAGTCAAGGCTTTATGCACAGACAGAGATGCAATTTTATATTCCCTTGGTATAGGATATAGTTCTGATCCCATGAATGCAGAAGAACTTCCTTACACTTATGAATTACATGAAGATTTCAAAGTATTTCCAACATACACCACATGTCTTCATAAAACTGATATCTTTAAGGTCAACTGAATCAATGATTATTAGGCTTTGACTTCTTGCCCAGGAATTCCAAATTTCAATCCAATGATGTTATTGCATGGAGAATAGAGAATATAAGTCCTGAGACCTTTGAAAGCAGGAGTTGAATACGTTACTAAAGGAAAGATAGCCAACATTTCTGATAAGGGAAAAGGAGCTTTAATATAATTCGATTTATTAAGTTCTGAAGTGGATGCTTAAGGAAAGAAGACCTTGGCTTTTGTCAACACATTATCACTCTTCATAAGAGGATTAGGAGGCTTTGGACATAAAGGAAATCCAGTTGAAAACATCCCTGCCACTCCTAAAAGACCAGCTTGCAAGGAAGTCAAATAAGTCACAACACCAAATCAAGCTATAATATACAGATTGTCTGGTGATATCAATCCATTACACATTGACCCTGTAATAGTTATTTAAATTGAATTTAGAATATGGCTGCTCTAGGAGGATTTGATAAGCCAATTTTACATGGATTGTGCACTTACGGTATTTGTGCCAAAGCTGCCATTCAGACATTTACTTAAGTATAAAGAGTGTAGTAATTTTAGGGAAATGGTGATACTCTTAAGAATATGGCTGCAAGATTTACTTCTCATGTTTTCCCTGGAGAAACTTTACTGATTTCTTTATGGAAGGAAGGAACTAGAGTTTAATTTTCAGCTAAAACTTAAGAAAGAGGAATAGAAGTCATTGTTGGTTTTGTGGAGTTTAATGAGAAGGCTAAGTTATGAAATAATTATAAAATAAATTAGTGGATAGTCATTTAATTTTTAATAACACTTATTCTAGGGCCTGGGCTTATGTATATAATGATTGAGTATATTAATCTTCTTCAAAGTAGGGTGGTTTATCGGAATGTCTAACAGAAGTTCTGAAGTTTTCATATTCAATTCCCTTAATTAATATTAATTTAATACTATTTAATTAACCTAATCCTTAAGCAGTTGAATTTATCTTTCTTAATCTTAAATCACATCTTAATGATTCTTCAAATACAACTCTTTGATCAGATCTCTTAATTCATTTGACATCCCATTTGGGTCCTTTGATAGGATCAATCTAGACAGGTCTTCTATTATTTTCTTTAGTTTTGGGTCTTTATTGTAGGATTCATGTTTCACCATTTTGGATTAATTGATCTTCTCATCTTAAAGTTCTTTGAATAGACTGTCATACTAATTTTGGAGAGCAGCCATATTCTTTTCGTATTGTTTGCCTTGACTATATAATAAATACAATTATTCTAAATCATATTAAAATTCTTTTATATTGATAATATTATTCGCTGTAATTTCTCTAAATAAAGTGGGATATTTCTATAAGAGATTCTTAATTTTATCCAAAATGGAGTGAACAGTTTATAGTTGGAATTGCTCTTGAACTAATTCATTGTTTTTATTCTCGATTTCCATATTCAGTTCCTCTATTCTCTATTTAAATTAGCCAACTTAATTCAATAAACCAGCCACTCCAAGCATAGGTTCATTAATGCTTTATTAAATCTTGTGTATTAACACATTTTGATGTTGCACTTATGTTTTCAATCTTGAAATAGTTCTTTCCTATTCATTTACAGCAATTTAATAGTTAATTTGACACTGTTGACTTTCGTCATCAAAATATGTATCTGATTCTTGTGAAACGCATAATGCAATTACAGCCTAATTGTACTTTTGAACCTTCTCCAATTAATCTCTAAAAGGGATCTCCTATTGCAGAAGCTAATTTAACGAATTGTGATTATCCCTTATATTTTACTCAATCTTAAAAAGCACATTCTTGATGTTACTTTAGAATTTCTCTTTGAATTTCAAATGAAACAGTAGTTTTTACACAACTTCAAAATGATCTAGACGCAACCTTTCGTATTTTCCATCATATTGAATAGAAATGGGGTCTAAGTTAAAATACCCTAATTTGTAATGCTTCACTCCATTTTAATAGAGCTCCTTGACTGTTCTATCACTTTGGAGTTTGTTGTTTTTCTGAATCTCACTACTTGGTAGAAATTTGACATCCTATTACAAACACGATTCACAACATAATTTCTTTTTTTTAGTCTCTACAATCATTTTTCCTTGGTCTTGATTATAAATTTGGATATTGCTTGACTGAATCCTACTTAAAATTTTATCTGTGATATAATCTTTGGTTGGTGTTTTATTTCTCATTAATTATAATATGAATTAAAAAGAAAGGCATCCCAAAGACGAAGATGATGACTTCACTCTTAATACTTCCAGTGCTGAACCATTAGAATTGGATGATCAATACACAAAGCCAAAGTCGATATGTTGGGGAAGATGTCATCCAATGATGTTTAGGAAAGGCAATCCTGCTGTTGTTATTGGACCACATTGTACTTGATAATCTAAGCTAGGGCCCTTGTTTATTTGTGCATTTCTTTTATTCTTCTTTATTGGATGTCTCTTTATTTTCCTTAGGGCCAATGATGATCCATTAATATTTTATACTACTCTTCTTGTTGGTATTNGTTTCACCATTTTGGATTAATTGATCTTCTCATCTTAAAGTTCTTTGAATAGACTGTCATACTAATTTTGGAGAGCAGCCATATTCTTTTCGTATTGTTTGCCTTGACTATATAATAAATACAATTATTCTAAATCATATTAAAATTCTTTTATATTGATAATATTATTCGCTGTAATTTCTCTAAATAAAGTGGGATATTTCTATAAGAGATTCTTAATTTTATCCAAAATGGAGTGAACAGTTTATAGTTGGAATTGCTCTTGAACTAATTCATTGTTTTTATTCTCGATTTCCATATTCAGTTCCTCTATTCTCTATTTAAATTAGCCAACTTAATTCAATAAACCAGCCACTCCAAGCATAGGTTCATTAATGCTTTATTAAATCTTGTGTATTAACACATTTTGATGTTGCACTTATGTTTTCAATCTTGAAATAGTTCTTTCCTATTCATTTACAGCAATTTAATAGTTAATTTGACACTGTTGACTTTCGTCATCAAAATATGTATCTGATTCTTGTGAAACGCATAATGCAATTACAGCCTAATTGTACTTTTGAACCTTCTCCAATTAATCTCTAAAAGGGATCTCCTATTGCAGAAGCTAATTTAACGAATTGTGATTATCCCTTATATTTTACTCAATCTTAAAAAGCACATTCTTGATGTTACTTTAGAATTTCTCTTTGAATTTCAAATGAAACAGTAGTTTTTACACAACTTCAAAATGATCTAGACGCAACCTTTCGTATTTTCCATCATATTGAATAGAAATGGGGTCTAAGTTAAAATACCCTAATTTGTAATGCTTCACTCCATTTTAATAGAGCTCCTTGACTGTTCTATCACTTTGGAGTTTGTTGTTTTTCTGAATCTCACTACTTGGTAGAAATTTGACATCCTATTACAAACACGATTCACAACATAATTTCTTTTTTTTAGTCTCTACAATCATTTTTCCTTGGTCTTGATTATAAATTTGGATATTGCTTGACTGAATCCTACTTAAAATTTTATCTGTGATATAATCTTTGGTTGGTGTTTTATTTCTCATTAATTATAATATGAATTAAAAAGAAAGGCATCCCAAAGACGAAGATGATGACTTCACTCTTAATACTTCCAGTGCTGAACCATTAGAATTGGATGATCAATACACAAAGCCAAAGTCGATATGTTGGGGAAGATGTCATCCAATGATGTTTAGGAAAGGCAATCCTGCTGTTGTTATTGGACCACATTGTACTTGATAATCTAAGCTAGGGCCCTTGTTTATTTGTGCATTTCTTTTATTCTTCTTTATTGGATGTCTCTTTATTTTCCTTAGGGCCAATGATGATCCATTAATATTTTATACTACTCTTCTTGTTGGTATTAATCAATGTGTCAGTTACTTAATTGTATCATTAATCAATCCTGGAATTGCAAATGTAGAGAGAATCGATATTGAAAAGAATCAATAAAACAATCAAAAAACTTGGTAACTTGTATTTTTATTATGAAAAGGTATTGTAAAGTGTGCAAATTGATCCAAGTCAAAGAAACGCAGCATTGTTTAGATTGTGATATTTGTATTTAAGAATATGATCATCATTGTCCTTGGACTGGCAAATGCATTGGCAAAGGCAACATTAAATAGTTTTATTATTTTATCTTAAGTACTATTGTATTTACGATTTTTAACCTTGTTTTAATTATACTAAAATTTAAAGAATAAGAAGCTAAAGCAAAAAAATAATGAATTAGTTTTAATTAATATTATCAATAACTAAAAATATCCTTTTTTTTAATGAATTTTTATCATCTAAATTTATATTTTGATTATTTACATTATATTCAGCTATTTTTTATCCTTTTATTCTGAATCACCATTAATTGGCTCTGCTATCTAAGTAACTTTGATTGATGCTCAAATTATAATAACGATTTATATCTATCTTTTGAATATTAAACCTTATTCCTATTTTATTTATTCCATAAATTCATATTTTATTTTAATCTATTCCACACAATAACAAATTTAATTGCTTGATGTAAAATTCATTTTGTAAGAATTTGGTAACTTAGTCTATATTATTTGATGAAATTACTATCATAAATCAAAGTCATTCATAATTCTCATTGGGTATATTAATAAAATGAAGAAATAGGAATAGGATTTGCAAAATAGAGTTAAGATCAAGAAATTAATGGCACCATTATTTTATTAAAGAATGAATTTTGTACATTATATGATATAAACTTGATATTTACTTCATAATGATGGCCTATTGAATAAATCTTAAACTGGCAATCTGATTTCGTTAACAACTTATTCTATATTTCTATTGTTTTCGTACTTGCTAGCATGGATTAACTATGATTATTTGGATTCAAATTACTTTTTCATAAAACTTTTCCTAATCATTTTGGCCTAATAAGATCCCATAATGTTCAAACTCATATGAATCAATTAATAAATTTAATACTGTCAATAATTCTTAGGCATTTTACCCTATTTATTATTTAATTAAATTGATATTAGTTAAATTAGTTTCCATTAAGGATAGTGAGATGAAATTCTAATTTAATAGTAACCTATCTAAGATAAAATTAGAAGCCCTGTATCTTCTGAATGCAAGCAATGAGAAGAACTTTTATGAAGCAAATAGTTCGAAGGTCAATTAGGAAAACTAATAAGCTGAATACGAGTATTTTAGATGTTCTTGTTATAACAATTTCTCTTTAATTTTTGCAACATGATAACCAAATACATGAAATGGATTACTGACATTACTCTAACTCAAAGGTCCAAGCTCTGCAAACATAGAGACTGGATCTCCCATGAAATATTGTCCCAAATAATAAAGAACGACTTATTTATTCTAAGAGTTATATTGTTGTAATAAATACCTTCTCAATATCTAAAATGGTATTTAAGTAATCTGTTTATTTTTAGATTCTGTTGTTCTTGTAGAATGAAGATAACCATATGAGTTTCTCTTGAATTTGAGGGACTCCAGAAATTCTGAGAAAACCAAATCCTCCAAATACATCTCTCAACTATTCTGCCAAATACACACTATGTTCTGTGATATAAAGAGAAAAGAAATCGACAAACTTCTTACTTACCTTTCTTCTTGCCTTCTTCATAAACACGTCCTAGAAAAATTCTTTTCTGGCTTCTTAAGCACTGATATAAAACATAACAGCAAATGAAATAGCATTGATTAATCTTGTTAACGTAACCTGATAAGTTAAAATAGGTCTTTCTGTCTTGTCTTCTGTTGTCCTGAATTGCTTTCTCATTGAACAATACTTATAGCAAATATCTGACAATCTCAAAATTTCTCTTAATGCAATTTGGCAATCTTCAAATCCCTGATGAGATTCCCATTAATCGATAAGTTCTAGATCGTCTTAATTTAACTCTACGTACTTCAATACTTTAGTGCCTTCAAATTGAATTGCGTAATTTTAATAGATGGATACTGTCTTACCCAACCATTTCTCCTTAACTTTATTATCTTTTAATTAGATTAATGCCAAGTAAAATTTATCCTAATTCTTGCAAGTAACCAAAGCATGGGTTCCAAATTGGCCTTAATAATTATTCCCAATTTTGTATATTCCTTCTTTACTTTATAATGTGGCTTAATTATTTTCAAATTAGATTGACGTCGATAATTCAGTCAATTAAAGTGTCCCATTAAATGCTTATTCATTTGATAACAATGAAAGTGAGACTTTTAGAGTGTTAGCTTGAGCAAGCAAATTCTGCAATTCCTTATTTGGGGTGATTGTTTTTAGGATCCTTAGATTTAATAATTAAATCTAAAAAAATCTTTAGACATTGGGGGAAACAAAATCCCCAAAGTATTAAACGTAAGATTCTGCTTAATATAAACCTCCTTTGCTTTAAATAAATTTATTTAATCGGTCCACTTGACCAAGATCTAATTTATACTATTCATTCAAATTTTGAGAACTATGGATAATCTGAGGCTATATCTCAGGTGTCTCTGAGATCACCTTCTTTAATTCTTAGAACAATTGGAATTACGGTTATCCCCTGTAGATGAGATACGTCAATGATTATTTACTCACTTAAAAATCTTCACTATTCATTATTAATTATATAAATTTAGTATAAAGCAATACATAACCTATATACAACTCAGCTCATTTTATTTATTCTAAAATGCTAACTATAAAATTCTCTAATGATTTATTTAGCTTTTATTGTTTCTTTTTCCCTAACACCACATAATTACAATAGAAATCTTTTTTTGCATCCAACTCCTTCAAAATTACTTTAAAGAAATCGAAAATCTTGTTGATTTGCACACATGAATGCGTAAGTAACTTTCTGTTGTAAGGATTAAATATTGTGATCGGTAACATAGGTAAGCAATAGTCTTATAAATTGAAAAAGTAACTAAATATATATTAACCATAAAATACCTAGAATTGGGATTATTAATGTCTGCCAATAGACCTATTCCAGTAGAGGAGCAATCAAAATTGTTTATATAAAAGTTGATCATGTCAATAAATTACTCCCCAATCAAATTAGAAGCAATTCTCTATTCTCTCATATAAGAGTAAACCATGATTATTAATGAGTAAGAGGATAGACCTCCTAAGACATAATAAAATGAGATTGTTACCTGTATATGACTCTGAGAGCTTAAGCTTTTTAATCATTGACTTTAAGATCAGGACTATCTATTGTAATGATGGATATTCTTCCATCCATTTTTTAACCAAATTAGTAGTTATCGAACCTAGATGAGAAGAATAAGTGCCATTCCCATTGAAGTTAAATGAGATGTCCACCTTTATTCCACTCTTTAACTTCTGTTTTAGCTTTTTCCACTATTGAATTTATTACTCATCCAAATTCCTTCCTTCATATTCAAATATGTTTATCTATGGATCTATTTCTAATTTAATTATTGGAACGGATGAATTAAATATTGGACTAATAATTACTTTAATATATGTACTTTGCTTTGACTACCCATTTTTTTCTGGAGAACTCAAAATACAAGTTATCAAAATGACTCTTTAGCATATTTCTATTATACACTTCCAACCCATTGATACCTATGTCAATATCGGAATCTATCAAGGCTAGTCCTGTTGCACAAGAGCCAAAGAGCCTAGATCTAAAGAAGAATATTTACATAATCATTCCATCAGGAATCCCCAAGAACACCTTCTATATTACTGATTTGACTCTTTCAAAAGCCAAAAATCTGAATGGGAGCATTTCTTCATATTCACTCATAATATTATCAGTGAAATCAAGAATATCTGAATTGATTTATTCAATCAATTTTTATTTTCCCTTTTATTAAACATTTTCTAATTACTCTTTCAAGCTTTTCTCTGGACTTTCCTGTTTTGTAGATAGATTCTTTTTAACTTCAAGTTACTAATTTTTCTTATGATTCTTCGGAACAACATCATCTTCCAAGGTTTTTTATGAGATTTATTCACTTCCATTTGAAGCTGAATTGATATCTTATTGAAATTACTAGTCCTCGAATTAGTTCATTTTAAAGGAATTAATCAATTTATAAATGTTTTGCTACTTTTCATTACTGTTATTTCTAATTTTGATTTAATTCTTCATTTTGTTTGATTATTCTTTGGCTTCTTCCTCTTCAGATGTAGAAGATGTTCTATTAGAACAATGACTTTTAATTGTTTATGCTTGAGTTTCAATTGAAAATCTAGTAATTTCAGATTGTGGTGATTATAATTAGAGTTGTTCATCTCTACTTTCTGGTATTGATTTTTAAAAGGCTTTTTACTTTTTTTTGGCTTTCTTCTTGTCTTTTAGATATTGTTCCTTAAATTAATTCTCATCATTCAATGACAGAGTTGCTATTTCTAATATATTGGTTGTAATGGATTGACCTACATCAACATAGTCATCATTAGTAGGGTTTTCAAGATGTGTATGGAATTATTGAGATATTAATGGCTATTCAGTTTATATTAAGTTGATCTTTGGATGGTTAGCACTTTAAAATTTAGATGATTGTTATTACGTGTTTGAAACCTTGTTGTGTTCACTAGTATAAGAATAATGCTTACTTTTAATCGTCACTGGTTTCCCAAGCTGATGGAGTGTTAGGGGGAGTCACATATGTATAGGCTAGATTGCTTTGTGAGTAGGATCTTTGAAACCTGAGGATATTTGATTCCAATAGATTTTTGCTTGACAATCTTCTGTTTAATTCAATAGGGTCTAATCCCTTGAATGTTTGCATTTTTTAGAATTTCTTTTTCTTCTTTTTCTTATCTTTTTTTTATTTTTTATCTGAAATTTCAGTCTTAAACAATTCCTATTCTAAATGTTCTTAAAATAACTGTTGGACTATTTTATAGAACTTTTTCAAGATGTATGTTTTCTAATCCACTAAATCATTCATTGAAGTAATCAACATTGTGTTAATGATGTTTGTGTCAGTGTGACATTTTTGTTAGAAGTTCAACAGCAATTCTACTTAGGACTTCAATAATTTAATTGCTGTGCCTGAGAAGATGTTCTCATAAAATTTATTTTCCAAACGATCAGGCTGTTATTTGATTTCTGAATAGATTTCCTAAAAATAGAAGGTTAACTTAAATATATATTAAATTAATACTCTTTCCTTATTATTGGCCAGATTTTATATAAAAAATTCCTTGAGTTCGCTCGAAGTATTCTTATAGATAGGTTGTCTAAAGAGTCTCTATTTTTTCTTTTTCTCTCTATGAAGATTGTAATGGAAGGAAATATTTTTTTCAAATTCTTTGATGATCCAAGCTGCACAACTATGAAAACTGTTCTAATGAAACCAAATAGGATCTTCTGCTTTTTCTATTATGGGTTTTGGAGCTGTGGATAGAAAATATTTATCAGAGAGGTCATGCAATAAATCCAAGAAGGAGTTTAAATTTTCTAAATGTGGCTCAGCAACAAAAATTGTATCCATAAAATTTTCATCGTCAACTATGTTCAGTTTAGAATACAATTCCTTGATGAATAATGCTTATTATGTACTTCTGCTTTGGGATGTAGCCCTTTGAACTTCATCATGAACTAATCGTCAATTTTAGACTCCAAATTAATGGTTGCTCTAAAAATAGTTTTAATATTAACTGTTAAAGTAATGCATAATTAGAAGGGTTATTTAGTTTGTCATAGATGTGCATTTTCATTATTGGAAAGGTTTTTATTTATCCTTTAATCTGAAATAGCTTATACAATTCAGATTATTCCAGTGTAGAGAGCCTGTAAAAAGTAATCAAAAAATAGATACCATGATATTACTTCTGATTTGTATGTTGCAGTGGATGAATTCTATTCTTGGATGTTATCTGGATACAAATTATAATAATAGGGAGGTCTATATGGATACATGCAATAGTTGAAAGGCTGGAGAAAATTCATTTAATTTATCTGATTCATCTGTCTACATTATGATTATGAATACATGTTGTGAGACGAGTTTGTTCTGATAAATTTAGTTTATTTTTTTTTATATAATAATCTGAGAATCTTAAATCCAGAGTGTATTAATATTAATATAATAAAAAGATATACGGATGTACACAATTAAATACTATGAATTGTGCTTAGCTTTGCCAGCAATTTAAAATTGTTCTCAATTTTAAGATTTGCATTTCAATCAAATAAATTCTAAATTATATTTTGTTTACAAAAAATATCATTTTAAATTATTATTTTATATAGTGCGCCATCATCCTCAGAAATAGCAAATAAATATTATATTATTTCTTTTAAATTGTAATGTTTCAAAACATGCAAAATCAGTACTCAAATACAAATAACTCACAACCATCACATTCAATTAATAGTATAGAATTCAATCCTCTTGTTTTCATGAGCACTATATAATTACTTCCCATCCGAAATAACTTTGTTGCATCCATAAGGATTCATTGATATTTCCTAAACTTTTTAAGGTTAAGTGTCCAACTTCCACACCGATATTTTCCCCTCCTACTCAAAACCCATCAATCCAGCAAATAAGTATTACGAATCAGGATCAAAACTAATCGAATGGATTGGATAATCCTCTTCTAGATTCCTTAGTTCTTAGAGTTTCGGATATTGCCATATTTTTATGCAATTATCCTTAGACCCACTAATCAAAATTCCATTATTTTAAGAATTATTGCTAGACAAGGCTAGACATAAAATTATGTTCTTATGACCACTCACCTCAAATATCTTATTATTAGTCTGAGTATCATATAAGATTATATTCTTCCCGCTTGCTATAACTAGATTGTGTCTTTCAGCTGCTAATGCACTTACTCTTGCATTGGTTTTTAGGGAATGCTATAGTTAACCATCAAAATCCCAAAACTTTACATAAGTGTCATCTGATCCTGATGCTATGTAATTTCCAACGAATTCCAAACATCTGATTCTATCAGCGTGTCCTTCACAAACATAGACTTATTTCCAAACTGGATTAGGTTTCCAAATACGAACTGTTTTATCAACTGATCCACTAGCAATAATTCTTTTCTTTGAAAATGCAACGCACAGAACTTGATCCTTATGTTCCTTAAGAGTCGTTTTCAATTGTCTTGACCGTCTATTATTGTAGATTCATATTACTTGTCCCATATTTTAATAGTGGTATCTTTGGAACATGTGATAATCTTATCAGCATCCATCAAGGCTAGATCCTTTACACTTTTATCATGACCTTTGAGTGTCTAGTCATATTCTATGGATAAAGGATTAAGTAAGTTTGGAGTTAGTTTGACTTGAGGTGGGCCAATAGACCTAATATGTTAATTGCATTTACTTAGAACTAATGTATGATAAATCTAATTGTGATTTATTGTCCTTAACTTATTAGCCTTATAAATTTGATGATGATGATGAGGACTATTTGATGCTGGGCTATTATTAAATTACATATTAATCGGTAGGTTCAAACAGAAGTTGATTTGAAATTGAGAAATGCTACTCATAAGGTTATTAATTATCTTTAAAAATAGAATATTGATTTTTCTAGTTATTTTCTTCATTTATTTAGTTTTCTGAATATTAATTAAGAATCTCACTTGTAGCAGGAATATATTCAGTATTCTACTATTATTACTATTATTTCTCATCCTTTTATGAAGCATTTGAAAAATAAAATATGTTATCTTTTAAGAATCCTTTGTTATCATTCTAAGCTAAAGGCATCTAATTGGCAAAATACCCAGATTAATTTGTTTGCTCCTGCTAAAAATATTTGAAAACACTTTGCTATTATGAAGACGGATTAGTTTTTGGAGACTTATCGAATGTTTTGGATCCTGGAGACTTGGGCAAGATGTCTATGGATTGAGTCTGCATATTATTAACTTTAAAAGGTTCCACTGGCCTCTGCATCTCAAAAGATGAATTTTAAGATTTTTATTTAGATTGATAACTTTCTTAATTTTAGGCCTTATCTGATGACTTATCTAAATCAAAGGGTTTGGTAATTTTGAAAGAATTTTATGTATCCTATTTGCTTCTGGCTGATTGTTGAGAATCTTATTCAGTGAAATAGTTCTTTAATTTTGAATTATTAAATGAACCAACTGGCATTAAGTCTCTTTATAATAGCTGTTTTCTTATTGGGGAAATACTTGCCTATTTTTATTGGAAAATAGGTTCTTTTGATCTGTTTGATCGATTGGTTAATTCTGGGGATATTTCTTTCCCTTCCGATTTATAATTGATGATACTCGAAGATTGTGAAGGTGTCTAAGGTGTTTAGGGAGGTTATGCTAATTTAATAGGTAACTAGGAAAATGATTATTTAATCTATTTTTCGATATCTGTAATCTGTTCATAAAATGATTCTAAATATTCTCTATCTTTAAGTTAATCTCTTTAAACTAACTCAATCAATTTCGATTGGTATTATTAAATACTCATCTTCTCTGATTTTAATTACTTCACCAATTCTTTTTTTCTTTTCTCATCTATTTAACTCACATCAATTAATAGTTAAGATATTTTAGTATGAAAGAATGCCTTTAAAGATTCCAGTTTCTACAAAATATTAGTCTAATATTCAGCATTTAAGTATTTGATTTATTCATTGATATAGGCATCCAAATTTTTAATCACGTGTGTAACATGAGTATCAGTGCACATATCACAGAGTGGTCCCTTCCTTGTACAATCAGGTTGTAAGCATACCTATGTATATGGTAATGAATGCAGTTAGCAATAATATTACATAATATAAATTATTATTGTTATTTTACTCTTAAAATCAAATGGAGCAAATGTGATTAATTTAACCCATACTCCTGCTCTAAACTTTGAGTTTACAACTTATTGTTGAGAAATTTAGAATGAAAGTACTCGCTTATTATTGTTCAAGATCCTACGATGTCTAAAATTGGATCATGTCAATATTTAATTAAACTATTATCTAAAATTAAAGAACATCAATACTTTATCAACCTTATTGGGGATATTAAATACTTAATATATTTATAAATAATTAAATTAAATGTTTTCAGAAAGATTAGTAAGAGTAACTTTGACTCTACCAAAAGTTGAAGGTAATCTAAAATGGGAATCAGATGTTTAAACAAACACTTCAAGATCAAGTTTCACTCTTATTTATATTTAGGGATCATTTCAATCAATGCTAAACCCTAATAATTTGGGAATCGATTTCATAAACACACTATGACTTCTATTGCCTCTCCAAAATAAATCTAACTCTACACTCCCATGCAGGAAAGCAAAAGAGCTAAGAAATTAAAAAATATTCCTTATGAACTCTAATACTTTACTCCCAAACTTCCAAATAAAAACTTTACTTCTAGTCATCTCATGAGTGATGAATTGCTTAAACCTTCATCTGAGAGTATCGAAAACAAAGACAAATGGCAGATTAAATCCCATATTCCCAAAACAAATAATGTGTTCAGTTTATGCTAAATAAAAAGAATTGATAAATAAGAGAAAAAAAATGAGAAATCTTAAGATTTTACATAAATTAGAAAATAAAATATTCAAAATCTTGAGAATGAAAAAGTCAAAGTAATGTTATCCTATTTATCATATCTAGAGATATAAAAAATATCGATAAGCCACCTAAAAGTTGATTGATCAATTTGCCTAGTAATTCAATACTCGTGCTAAAATTGACAATTTCAATTTGAATCTATGAAATTCAAATAGAATGTTTATTTGTTTGATAATCTCAATATGTTCATAAACTTTTTATTTTCAATTTAAATAATAAATAATTTTATTAAAAAAACAAATGCTCCAAAATTTTATTCAATTTCAATCAGCTATCGGTAAAGTTACTTTATTATACTAAGAAAATCGAGATAAATTACTTAAATTTTTATAAAATTGGCAATTGTTGCGAAGTTATATGCTTATTGGATACAATAATGAAGAATCGGAGACTAAATTTTTTATATATTGTACACACAATCTCTTAACTTAGAACAATTGTATATATGCAGAAGATTATTCAGACTTGGAAAGAGTCTACAAACAATCTTAAATATCTTAGAAAAAACATAACTCTAAAATTCGAATAAGGCATACAATTAAATACCACACAAGGTGAATGAAATGTCCATATATTCAGTCTACATATTTTATTTCTTTTTTCATTTGATTGAAAATATCATGGTCATTCATTAAATGGGATTTTTTGGCAAAAAATTTAATCATAAATTATTAAAAATAGTATCACATACATTTTGGACTTTTGGATTGCTAACTTAACTAGTCTATTATTTCAATAGACTTAGATCAGCATTTCGAAGGTATTTTAATCTTTATTAGAGAGAGAGTAAGAATTGAAATCTTAAATCTAAAATGGAATGACCAATGGAGAGTTTCTCGAATAATTAAAGTCCTTTTCCAATGAAAGATACTAATATGGATTATTAATATTAAGAATAATTGGTGATCTAGCATGCGCAATGTAGAAAGCGTAGATTCCAGAAAAAATTGTAATGCATACCCTATCATTTCTAGTTACATACTAGGTTTAATAGAGGCCTAGTTGCTTGCGGAGGATTATTGAGTTCGAGCATTTAAATATACATATAAGCAGCAAGAATAAATAAAAAATAGAACTTCGTGGAAGTATGAATAAATAATATATGAGTTTAAATATTTAATAATAAGACCTAACATTTATGAATCCAATTAACAATAAATTTGTTATATTAATATTATTTTATTTATTAAATTTGGAATAAATCCTCCTACTTGTTTTTAATATAATTGTATCTGCTAAATACCTAATCAAAACCTCAATTTCATCTACTTTTAATTATTATTCTATTAAAATAATAATTAAAAGTAATAATTCTCAACATTTATGGGTCTAATTGACTACATTTTATAAATCTAAATTTTATAAATATAAAAGACGTTGAGAATAAAGATCAAAAATTATGATATCAATTTTATCCTTTGGAAATTTTTATTCATTCAATTCATAAGAATATATTTATAATTAATTATTAAAATGATGTTCTAATTATTATTTATTAATTAATGATAAATCTAAGCACTGAATTAAATAAGAATACAGAATTCCTGAATAATTAATTATTAGATAAATTCGTGATGTTTAGTGTTTTGATTCATAATCTAAAATTTGCTTTTAATATATAATTAATTTATTAATATAAAAAGTCATCATTATTAAGTTTTTTTTTTTGATTTGATTTCAAATACAGATTTGAGGGCATATGTTCCTGGGCCAGGTGATTCATTTTTCAATCCTGGTAGAGGTCTATCCCCAATTCCAAAAGTAATTTATTTAAATCTATTGTTCTAAATAATTTTATCGGTAGGAAGGTAAGAAGTAGGCGAAGCAGTTTTTGGTAATTTTATATCAGAACTTATAAGTAAATATGAATTAATACTTGATTTTACCATAGATACTAAAGGCTTTTGTTTTATTAAGCAATTTTAAATCATAAGATCCAGGTCCTGGAACATCAAAACCTCGTACTGTTTATAACTTCATTCCAAAGCTACAGGATCTGCAAGAGGTCTATTTAATATCATATGTTCCAGGAGCTGGATTTAATTGATCTCTTTTTTCGAGATCTAGTGGTCTGAGCTATTTGTTTCCAAATCCGAAAGATGTGGCTCTTTTAGTTTTAGTATCAGTTAGACATAGATATTTTGGGGATGGAAGCTAGGGAGCATGATTAGATTAGAATCTTTCTGCTCTGGGAAAAGACAATTAAGGATTTGTTTATTGTAGGATACTTGAGCTGAGTTAATTGGGTTCACTAAATTGTCCACGAAAAGTGTTGTTATTAATAAGTTTCATGACTGAAAAAAGAGGTTTACTTTTCAGATGTTATGAGTTATTCTCATTATTTATCATAATAAAATAAATAAAATCAGATTGTAACTATTTTCTAATTTAATTGAGAGAAGATGAAAAATTCATCAGATTTTACTCACTATAATTCCTATTCTGATTATCCAAGTTTAAGTATTGTTAATATAGTTTTAATATAAAGATCTATAAACAGGTATGTAGAAATAATCATTAACTTTGTGGACAACAATCAAGAGTACAATTTCTAAGATGTAGCTTTAATTTGATTGATAAAGAATGTCTAATTTTATTTTAACTTCTTAAGTAAATTCATGATCTAATTAAGAATTAATTGTAAGGATTAGTATTTTCTATCATGGCTAGTATTTAATTTGTTTGTTTTTCTGTTTTAGTAATAATAATCTTCTATATTTGAGACCTAAAGTTTTACATTTAAGTTTTATTAAGGATTGTGAATAGATAATAAATATAAAATAATAATAATAATATGTAGGGTTCAAGAAGGCATCCAGAACTTGACAATATGCCTGACTTTTTATTCGAAAGTAACGCTATATTAATCTCAAGATACTCTGATACTATCTGATCCAAGGGAGGAAAATTGTTATTCTACTATAAAAGATTATTGTTGTCCAAATTTTACTTTAGCGTCATTTACTGCTATAATTTCATTGATTCAATTGTCTTTGTTTATTGTAATGTGTTTCTTGGGGGATTTTAATCTTTAGAAAACTATTTTGTGTATTGTATTTAAATATTATTTACTAAAGAGTTCTCAGATGAAACTCTTGATACTTTTGGGAGATGCTCAGCTTATAATGTGAAATATAAATTAGAGTTTTATCGACTTTTAACTTGTTTATTCATATTCAATAACGTTAAGGATTTATGCGGAGAACTATTGTTACAAGTGATAGTTGTTTCGATGGCAGAGAAGTTTATTGATAAGAAAACCACTTTGTTTTTGTACTTGATAACTGGAGTTGCTGGGTCAATAACATTCATAGTGTTTTATGATTAGAATTTCGAAGGAAACTCATTTTGTGTTTTTGGAATGGTTGGTTTAATATTTGGTTTTATAATTTAGAATTCGTAATAAGTATTTACAATAATTATATAATAAGGATGAGGCGAGATAAGTAATCATGTAAGTAACAATTTTTATATTAATAATTGGAATAATTGGGTTTTTTTATAAAAATTCGTTAATCTTTGGAATCTACGGAAGTTTCTTGATTGGAATAATAATTGGATTGATTTAACCAACCCAGAATAGGATTTTTTATAGAACTAAAATGAAATTTGTTGGATTAGGAGTAATTTTCATGTACTTTACTGGATTTATCTATATTTTTTTTTCTTTTAGGATGCCCTCTCATCCGATTGAATAACAATGAGTTTTAATTATTATATTAATTAGTTGTGTATATGAAATAGCAAAATCACTGTATATATTTATATTAAAATAAAAAACTAAGTTAAAATGGACAAAAAGGGCAACTTTGAAAGGTTAAGGTAGAAGTTGAAGAGTGATTTATTTAAGAACGAGTCTAACTAAAAACAGCATGCCGAAGAAATAATAAACTAGTGTCCGTAGATCTTGGACTATGTTCATTGCTCTAGTCAAAGTGAATTTAAAGAAGAGCCGACTTAATTGATAGATTATATCTCAAATCAGAAACATTTGGAGTAGATGAAGCATTCCTTCCAGAATTAATACTAAATAGGTAAGATATTAGGTGAAGGTGCACATGCTGTCGTTCGATAATGTTGGCAAATTACAAATCCCGATGAAACCTACGCAGTTAAAATTTCTAGGAATCCTGATCCTGAAATCACAGAGATTATGAAACAAACCTTCCTTAATACCGTCTCCTTGAATCATCCTTACATCTGCAAAACCAATATGCTTTACATTGATCCTAATATGGAGTGTTCGTATCTCGTCATGGAATATTTGCCATATCCCAGTCTACAACAAATACTTAAGGAAAGATAGATTTTGGAATTTGAAGAAGTCCGCTCTATTATGAGGCAATTGTTTGAAGCATTATCTTATATCCACAAAGTCGGATTATGTCATAGGGATATTAAACCAGACAACATAGTATTTGATAGTGATTCAAACTCAATTAAAGTCATCGACTTTGGGGTTTCAAAAAGATTTCTTCTTACTGAAAAAAGCTGCAAAGACATTAAAAATAACCTTTTATGGACGGTTACTGGAACTATGCCATATCAGGCTCCGGAATTGTGGACAGGATCGGGATACTCCAATAAAATTGATATATGGGCAGCTGGAGTGGTTTGCTATCAGATGTTATGTGGAAGACTACCTTTGGATTAAGAAAACTAAATGGAAAGTTTTTCTACTTAAACTGAATATACTGGCCACTTTCAGGAGGAATAGTTTAACAAGCTCCCTCCTTTAATTATCGACTTCATCAAAAGAATATTAAAATGGAACCCAGACAAAAGAATTACATCCTAAGGTATTCTCAATTTATAATTTAAAAGAGGCTCTCCTTCATCCTTGGCTTTATTAACCAAAGTTAATGCCTAAATATTACAAAGGAAAATCTAAAGATGATATATTCTCTCGATCAAGTGACAAGCCTCTTTTGGCAATTGTTAGGTCTATGTAAGCTAATGTAAAAATATTTTAATAATCTGTTTCAAGTGTCAACGAGAATTTCCTTGACAAAAACAATTTCAACAAAAATCATGGATAAATTATAATCGGTTTCAAAGAAACTAGTCAACAAATCAGAGAAAAATCCATTCACTTTCAATAATCAATTCATTCTATGAGTCTCAACAAATGCACTCTTAAACCTAACACAGAAGATGTCAAAGACTTCTTTGACATCATTAGTTATTGCGATAGCAATTCCTCATTTGAAGCTATTGAAGAGAAACAATAATTATAAGCCCAACAATAAAAATAGGCTTAATAACAATAACAACAATAAAAATAAGCTTAATAACAGCAACAATAAAAAATTGGATTTTCATAAAGGTTAGGAATTATCAAAGAAGAACCAGAAACTCCATTAGTAAACAATTTCATTCCTAATATTCATAAACAAGTTGAAAATTGATCAAATTTAAATTTATATTTATTATATTTACAAAGCATATCATTAATCCCTTTAAATAGTTTAAATATTATATGAGCTCTATCTGTTATATAACCATTTATTGATTTAAATATTTAATCAAACAATGAAATAAGTTAATTGTCCAAAGAATTATAAATAGTAACCTTATAGGATCAAAAATAGTTTAATATAATTAATATAATTATTAGAAAGTATTTCTTAGGATATTCTAAAATCTTCATTTCTAATATTTAAAGATATAGGCATTTATATTATTACATTTCTTAATAGTCTACTGTTTAATAATTGGTGTTGCAGTATATATTTTCCACTAGAAATTCTTAATAATTTCAAATATTATTTTACAATAGATTGTTATCTAGATATTCTGTTGATTTCATAAAAATACCATGTAAAAAATAAAGGAAATCAATTATTGAATAAACTCTTATTTAAAAAATATCAAAAAAATCAATTAGTTCACCTAAGATTTATAGTGATTTTTATTTATATCAGTTCTTAGCATTGTTTTATGGGATCTTTAGATTTTTAATAGTCTTCATTTGCTTCAATAATTTTCAAAAAAAATCTTCTAATCTCTTATTAGGTAACTAATAAAAATAGTTTAGTTTAAATAAAGGTAGTATAATAGTCACATAAATAAGCAAATTATAGAATCAAGTTTAAAATAAGCATTAATTTAAAAAAAAATATCTAAATATTTTGAGATTTCATTAACATTTCGAATAAATTTAAAGAAATCGAAGTGAATAATCATATAGACTGATGAATTCTTTAAAGAATGGTACGCTGTATCTTATCAGAATTATTATACTATTAAATTCTTTAATAAGATTGAAATAAAAGTGTGAGAGAAAAATAGCATAATTTAAAAATAATTTTTTAAATAAATACAATGTAATTCGTCGCTGCTTATGCTTTGTTAGTTTTGGGAGGAAAAGCTCAACCAAGTAAATCATTTCACAATGAATATCTTAGCTGAGGCAGATATTAAGGGATTATTGGCTGAAGTAGGTGCTCAAGGAGCTGATGATTAAGTCAAGGCAATTGTAGATGCATTGAAAGGAAAGAATCTTGCTGATGTTATCAGTGAAGGATTGAAAAAAGTAGGCACTCTCTAATTGGGAGGAGGAGGTAGAAAGTGAATCATAATTCTTAAGCTGCATCAAATGCTCCAGCTAAGGCCTAAGCTCCAGCTGCCGCCAAATAAGAGGCACCAAAGCCAGTTGAAAAGGCCCCAGAACCAGAAGAAGACGTTGATATGGGTGGTTTGTTTGACTGATTATACATTTTAGTACATTCATATACATATATTAAATATTTTATCATAAATCAATTAGCCTTTGTTGACAATATTGCTGGGACACTAACATTAGTGGATTGAGGCTTAGCATTATTATTATTATTATTGCTTCCATTGAAAGTATACCCTCCAAATTGAGCTAATATTCAATAAGTATCAATACCTTAGATCGAGTTCCTTCTTAAACTTAATACGCTTTCAGGATCGATTTCATTGGCAGAATCTCTACGATTTTCATTTGCAATTTAAATCATTTCGTCATCCCTGGGAATATATGGAGCAGTTATTTATCTGTCCAATAGCTTATCCCATGCATAATCCTTAAACCATTAATGGGCCTTAACTTCATCAGGACCATTCACTCCTAATCTATTAGCCGGTTTTCTTTAAATGAGCTTGTTCTTAATTGGAAATAATACTTTATTGGCAAAATCAACTGCCTCCAATGACCACCCGGTGGGGATGTCATTATTTTTTATTTGAACTTATTTTGCTATAACTTGATCCCTAATTTCTTATCTACTTTTGCCCACATATGGTCTTTTTCCCATTATGCATTCATAAACAATAACTCCAAGGGCATAATAATCAACACCTACTCCATGATTTTATCCTATTTAATTAGATTAAAATATTGAAATTCTTACTGCACATCACTTCTGGAGCCATGTATCCAGGTGTGCCACTGGTATCTTATGCATTTTCTGGTTTCCATTAACGAGCAATTCCCATATCAGTCAATTTTAAGTATCCTTTATCATCAAAGACTAAATTTTCAGGTTTCACATCTCGATGGAGAATTCCATTCACATGTAGATATTCCAATGAGAGGATTATACAAACCACAAAGAATTCTATTTTGTTTAATTTTATGTACTAGTTTGCTCTTCATTGAATTTCCTCTATTTGCATAGATGGTATCTCAGATCTCCGCCTGTTAGTAAATCCATGACTAGATAGAGATTGTCTCGATCCTAGAATGCTGCTTACATATTAATAATGAAACTATTTTAAGGGATTGAGTTTACTTATGTTTCAATTAACTAAGTAATTGTAATTCATTCATTACTGATTAAACACTTTTCTTCGCAATAATCCTATTTCAAATAGATAGATTAATTACTTAGCTTTTGACATTATTTTCATAGCATACAAGCTTTTTGACTTTTTGTTCTCCACCATCCAGACCTAATTTCCTTTATTATTTTCTTTAATCTTACCTTTCCAAAACCTCCCTTGCCTATAACACTCTTCTGTGTGAAATTGGAGATGGAGATCACTAAAATAAGGCAACACTTTTACCTGTTTAATCTTCTGACTCTGTTGATTTTAGCGTGCAATTTCCCATTTTTAATTTATTAATGACTACAACAGCTGAATTAACTAAATAACTATTAGAATATCATGGCTGCATTTATGAAGAGAATGTCGTTCATCAACTCAACGAGTACGCCAAAAAGCTCATGAAAACTATTTTGGATGGAGCTTCCAACTTGGCTGACATGCAGAAGAGATAAAACATTACCACTGAAGATATAAAGTTTATCATTCATATATAAATTCCTAGAATAGCCTATGAATATCTATAAAATCCAACTATCAGTACGAATGACCTCATTCAAGTTGCTTCTGAAAAGAATTCTCAACAATTGAATGATCAATTTAAAGATTAAACTAATTATGATGCCAGATTACCCGCCAGCGAAACCAATAAACTTTTGAAACCCAATTTCTAAGTTATTGTTAAAACTCAACCTGATTAAATACCCCTAGTTCAATAGTAAATGGAAATCGAAAAGAATCCCAATAAATAACAATAATAATAGCAAGCTCCAAAATTAGGAAGAAAAAAGATGAATATCGAAATGGACGAGGATCAATGACCTATATTATTATAAGCATCTGTTATTAATATTAAAAATTCACTTAAATGGAATTTAATTAGGATGCCCTTAACTTTCTATTCAAACAATTATGTTCTCTCTCCATACTCTCATCAAAAACTACTACCGAACTTAACGATATCTATCACCACCTCGCCATTCAAGAAGCTTCATTAAAGAATCGATTTTTTCATCACTAACCCATCAGTGAATCAGATTAGAAGTATCTACGCTCACCAATTTTACTATAGATTAATCAATCGCTTTGTAGTCAGAATCTCAGAAGCCTACCAATTCATGTTAGCCAAAAGGTAAATCGCCAGATCCTAACATTCTAAATTTCTATTATTCATTAATCATTGTCAAACCAAAAAATTTGACAGCAAATAACTACTTATGACTTCTTTAATTTAAGCAGTCTATTCAGAATGCCGACTATAAATAGATTTAATATTAAACAAGCAGCAGAATGCTTAAAACTAAAGAGTAATACTCTATCAAATTTAAGATACACAGTCAAGAAAGCAACCATTAAGGAGAATAATTCCAGAATCAATTTTATTCATTAGAAGTTACAAATAAAAAATATATCCAAAATGAATGGTAAATTAACATCAAAGATAATAAGAAATTGAACCATTTTTATACTAAAATCTTTCCAAAATAGTATGAAGTCCTAGAATCAGCAGACAAGTATTCATTACAATATCTCTATAGAATTTAGGAGGAATAGATACTATATTTTTAAAGCAGACAATAAAACATGGACAGAATCTTCAAGCAACTTCTTTCATAAAACTACCATATTTAAAAATCTCTCAATTGGTCTCAAGATATTGATTTACTCAGTTACAATCGACAGATAGAAACTAAATTAAAAAAATTAAAGCTTATCCAATTAACTACAAACTAATAATTATTGAATTAATCATCTTCTGTAAGGGTTTCATAGCTATCAAATAAATCTATCAATTAGAATAGTCCTGCTAGTCCTTTCAAAAGTATTAATAATTAATCAAAGATGCCTTAGATCATTCTAAAATAGAGAAGCATATCATAAAATATTCCATAGAGTGAATTTAGATTTAAGAATTCTATAATTTTATCAAATAATTAAAGGGAAGGACTTTAACAAGGGGCGAATTAAAATTAAAAATAAATTTACAATGGGTAGGATAAGGAGATATTGTTTGCTAAACTCATTGAAAAGTATAAGTAAAATTATTAGTAACTTAATAACATAAGAGTTGAATTAGGACCAAAAAAATAGATATGCTCAGTTCTTAAAAGTAAGCAATTGATTGATCTAATCCCAACACATAGCTCTAAATTAAAACCAAGAGTGCCTACAAACCTTATTTAATAAATACATTCTATTGCTAATTGACTTTTATATATAAATGAATAAATAAAATCTGATAAATCAATAGATCTCATTATCAATATACATTTAGAACCAGCTGATTTGGAATTATTTTAATTTTTTTCCTCTTTATCATTAATCCATGCAACCAACACGATGTAATAATAGAGTTAATAGATTAAGATATATTTTATTAATATATTTATATATATAAAAATATTTACTATTTATAATATACTTTCACTCACATATAATTAATTCTATCAATTTTAGATGGTAAGATCTAAATCATCTCCTTGCACATCTGTAAAACAGCTTAAAATTCATTTTGTTAATTTTATTGGTTAATAAACTAAACTAATTGTTTATATTAATTTAGAGAATTGACTAAATATTACACTTTAATTTTGTTGTCCTTCGAAAAGAACTTTGATTATGCTTTAGCAATGTTGAAATAAGCTGTTGTGATGGATGAATAATATGCTTAATCTCTCTATTTCTCTTCAAGCAGTTTCAATTATTCAACAATTTTTTCATAATATTATATGGTATTGAGACATGCTTTATTCATTTTTTCAGTTAATTTTTTATTTTTGCCTCCTTGGAAGTCGTCAATTTCATTAAATTTAACTAAAAACTCATACAATTCGTTGTTGATTTCTGCAATTTCAACCAATAATTTTTCATATGTATTCTGATAAGCTTTTGGATTGATGGCATTAAAAACAGGAAGTAGCACATCTAATCTTTTTTCTAAATAGGCAATCACATTATTAGGATCAGGTTCAAGACTCATAATAACTTTATACATAATTGAGATCTCACTAAGCATTTGAATGTGTTCTGTTACAAATCCATCTAATACAAATATTGTCATTGCCTTTTTATATAAAGTATTAGATTGTCTAAACAAGGACTTAATTTCATCAAATGTTTTACTTGGTTAGAATACCTAAAGTGATAAAAATAAGCGATACTAGTTATTTAACATTAACACCATCAAATGTAATGCTATATTTATTAAATAGTTTAGAAAGACTGGGGTCATTCTATTAATTACTCTTAATACAATCAACACAATATGACATCATATCTCCTATTACTTTCCCTTAAGCCATTTGCAAAGTGGCACGACTAAGATTACAATAAATAAATACAGCTTTTTTCTTTTTCCTTCTGGAATGACTGCCTCACCAACTAAGAGAAGATAAAAAGCTTAGGCAAAGTTCCAAATACCTGAATAATACTCAGATAAAGATATGCAATTAATAACAAAATCTCTTAATTCGTAAGTTTTAGATTTGAATTATCTCAACATTGTCTATCCACAATAGTAAGCAGCCTAATTTATCATATTTCTTTAATACTTTATCTTTGATTCCAAGTTTTGTATATGCCTATGCAATATAAAACAAAGTGATTGTGTAAAATTCTTAGGCTCTTTCAAATCCTCCTTGTACTTTTAAGGGTCTTTTTTCAAAGTCTCCTTTGGCAATCAAGTATTCCCCTAATCGTTCTGCTTTAGCCAATATGGCTAATCCGGTTTCATTATCATCTAAATTGACTGCCAAGAACCCTAAATGATTGTAGATTGATTAAATATAAGTCAAGTAATTTTCGATGTCTTCAATCTAAGAAAAGAGTTATAGTGATTTAGCCATATTCTTTCTAGCTAGATTGAATAGAAATTGAAAAATTACATTCTCCATTTTCTTCACAATCTAGAAAATTTACTCCTAATTAGTAATGGATAATGGCTTATTGCAAAGGGTCTTATGTTTTTTGCAATAATTATTGTAATAAGGTTCTTGCTCTGTATTTATATAGAAAGGGCTATTCTTCAAGACTTGGAAACTTTTCTAAGTGTTCAACTTAAAAGAGAGTGCTTTCAAATTCGTATAGCATATTAATTGATTATTTTAAATATTTTATTGTAAATGTACACTTTATTATCTCTACTCATTTCTTGGTTTCTTTAGCTTGCTTTCTCTTTTCCTTGACTCCCACGAATTTAGCATTATACCATTCTTATCTTAATTTTCTGTAAACACTCTTAGCTCTTAATTCTTTTGAGATTACTGTGGCTTTTTCTCTCTTTGGAGTTCTTTAGAATGTGATAACCTGAAAAGTATTGATATTATATATACTTCTGGATTAGTATTTTATGTCACTGGTTATGCTACAACATCATTTCCTGAGTCTTTAACAACACCATTCTTTGGTTTGCCAGCTACTCTTGGGAATAACACTAATTTAGACAAATAAGCCTTGATTCTCTTAACATTAACTGCCAATTCTTCTTAGTTATTGTTTCTTCTTCTGTGATCAACTGCAATTCCTACTGTTCTGGCGAATTAAGCATTAAGACCTGCTTCCTTCAATTCAATCAAGGAGAATCCTCTTCCCAATTTCTAAACTCCATTGTATTTTATTGTTTATCCTCTTACGACTGGTCTAAGCAATTCAACTGGTCTTGGAGAAGCTCCTATTAAGGATTAATGACATGATTATTTACTTAATGCATTAGCTTATCTTCTTTATTATCTTCTTCTCTTGGCAGCTGGTTGATTGTAAAATGTCTTTACAAATCTTGTCCAGTGTTTTCTTAAATGGGCATTGGGGAGTTGTTAATTGTGCTTCATTTTTAGAAAAAATTTAAAAAATAAATATAAGGATATTTAAAAATATATTAAATGACTCAAATTAACATTTTATTCATATAATCAAAACATTTCTTATGTTTCTAAAATCTGCATTTAATCTAATGAGCTATTTATGATTTTACTTCGTTTAGATTATATTTAGTTTCTTAAATAAAAGATGTTTCTTAAAAAACTAATTAGAACTTTATTGAAGTTTTTAGTAACTATATTTCTTAATTTATTTATTTGCTTTACTTATAATATTCAAAGTTGGCTTTTATAATAAATATCTATAATGTCATCTATTTGAGGATTCTATTGAACTAAATTCATTTAGAATTTAAAGATGAGACTGTTTCACTGAGAAACTGAACAATAGCGTAGGATCAAACTCAGAATGTGTTCAATTAGAGCAAATTTAAATTAATTTAGATCTCTAAAGGATATTAATATATATGTGGATATGTGTCTATACTTATATTTCAAAATATTCAATCTTTAGCTGCTCTATAAATTTTATTGCAAGCATCTTCTAGAAGTCCTAGAAGGGATTCTTGAGATTCTTCTCTTAATTTTTTTTCTTCTTCTATTTCGCTCTTGACTCTGGAAACAAGATCTTTAAGCATTTCAAAGATTGCTGCTTCTGATTCTTCTCTGAATTAATTTATTTAATCAGTACCTCAATTTTTTTTAATTTCCTAGACCTTCGTTCAATCGTTTAATTTCATCTCCAGCTCTTCTCAGAGTACCATTATCGTTGTCCTCTCTGTCTTAACCTTCAGTTTTAACCATGTCATATAACTTAGGTAGATCATTTTCCAATGATGTTGTAATATTTTCAATTTATTCTTATCTAATTTTTCCTTCAGTTTAGATGTCAGACTTTAAATAGACAACCTATTTAGAATAATTAATGTTACTTTCTCATCCAAATATCCTTGTAATTTGAGATTTCCATCTTTTCTTAAAGCAATTTCTTATTCGAGTTTAGTTGTGATTCTACTTTCGAAAGCAGCAATTTCTCTCACTCTTTGTTCAAATTATGTTTCGAAGGCGTTGTTCTCCTCTTCGATTTATTTTTGAAGACGAACTATTTCATCTTTCAGTGTGTGCTACATGATATTAATACTATAATTTACAAGTTTCCTATTATAAGAAGTGATCGTGTCTTGCATTCTCTCTTCTACTCCTGTAATTCTTCCGCAAATATTATCAATTCTATGTGCTTTGGATGAATCATGTTATAATTAGATTGAGTTGAGCTTTTCAGAGATTTTAGCAAATCTTTCGTTGAAGGGTGTATTTGGATTCATTTTTATTAACAAATTTATTTAAGTATATTTATATTTATAGCTTAATACAGAAATAAACATAATATAAAAATTAACTAAAGATATTATTCATTATAATTAATTAACAAGCAAATAAGTTTTTTAATAAAAGCTAAATTCTTATTTGTGCTCCTCATTCAATTTTGAAAGAACTAGTCATTTCCCTTGCTTAATCTATAGAGATGTCGTTACGAAGATCTATAATATTGGTCCGGTCAGAAACATCTTAAATACAAGAAGATAAAAGTTTAAATTATAAGTATTTTATTAATTATTAATAATTTAATTATATTTTATATTAATTGATTTATATTTAAACAGAACTAAATAGTCCATTATACATTTAGACCAGCCCATCCTTTTCTAAGGGGTAAACAAACGCTGGTTTGATAATTATATTAAATTATTCTTATATTAATGACGTAAAAATTTATTACCTTTTTTTAAATTTATGATACTGAAATTAGTTACGACCCTTCTTAACTCGAATGTTTAATTTTTACCTAATAATAAATATTTATTAATTATCACATTCAATGGACAATGTTAATAGAAGTGAGGAAAACATAGGTCTGCCAAATAGTTTTGAGAATTTAAAGTATTTGGTTAATTAACAAGTAACAGGAAAAGTAATCGACCTTCTCAGTATCAGAAAGTTGACGAGAATATTAGATAATAAATTATTGATTAAGCTTGTAATAAGGGATAGCCTCTAAGATAAGTATAAATTGCTATAAAATTTCCAGATATCCCAATAACTTGGAATCAAATATTCAACTGCCAAAGCCATTGTCTAGGTGTACCAAAACGAAGGAAGGATTGGCAAAAAACGCACCAGAGATAAAAGAATTTTCTAAGAGATCGAAACTTTTATGATTGTTGTTCACAAACAATCCGGAAAAATTGATAAGCTTAAACACAAGTCAGAGTGCAGTGATTTAAAAAGCAATTTGGAATGTTCTAAAATAAAGTAAAAGTTTAACTTAAACTTACCAGTCTTGAAGAAGCTCACTATTCTTAACTAGCTCAATATTTTGAAAGATATAATCTTTATGAGGAAGTAAAGGCTCAACCAACACAGAATTAAACCTTACTGGAAATTGTTTAAATATTAAATATGCAGTACTAATAATTTCTTAATGTTGCTTAACAAAAATGATGATTAATTCATATATCAAATAAAAAATAAACTTTTATCATGAATAAGGAAGTTTTGGCCTTGTTTGAATTTTCCCGCCTTGGTTATAATTGTTTAATTATGTTATATCTTCTTTAAATATATATTAGCTAATTTATATTTAATACAATATTTATAATTTATAATATATTAATCTATTTTCTTATAAATATGAACATCCTAAAAGTACAATATCTATTATTAATTTCAATATTTAATGTAAAGGAATAGAAATTTAGTCCAAGTCCTTCTTAAATAATTTTGAATAATATTACAACTAAAAAATATAAATAATTACCATTGGGAATAGCTTATAATATTTTTAGTTTTTCAAAATAATAAAATATTTTGATTTAACTAATACTTTACAATTATGAAGAGCAATAATTTAAAATAAAACTACTTTATTTGTCAAGTGATATCTTTTTCATTGAATGAATCTGAACCTTAATGTACTTTTCTATTTTCTTTAAGCGATAGCTCAATCTAAATGAATAAAATTAAATTTCAGTTACAATTTAATAAATAATTGATTGTATTACATGGGTAAAAATTTGTTACTTTTTTAATTCAATACTGAATTCTATAGTTTAATGTATCCTTTAACAATACCATCAATTTCATTCAAATTATAAGAATAATATAGACTATATTCCTTTATTAAAGTAATTGCTCCTAGAAAATTTCTCTTAATTAAATTATCTAATCTCAGATCGATTTGTTGTTTAATAAGGTTATTTATTTTTGTGGTAAATGAAATTGCGAAAAATATGAGTTGTTAAGCGTTTTCTTAGTATTTCAGACATTTTTTATATTGTGAGATAAGAATAATAAATTAATTAAATAATTTAATTAGAATTTTCTGAATTCATAATAATCAATATAATTAGATATATCTATAAAATCATTATTAACATTTTACTGCTGATCTCCTACAGTAAGGGCAAGAATTTTTAATTTTAAGCCATCTGATTAAACAATCTGAATGAAATATATGTTAACATTCTAGTAATATAATTTTCTATTTTTTTTGTATATCATCACCGCAAATGGGACATTAGATGGTATTATTATTTTATTCTTCTAATTGGGCTAAATCTACAGCTTGGTTTCTTTTTTGTTGCACTTCTAATTGGGAATTAAAGGATTTAACTTCTAGTTTCTCTAAATCTTCCTCTCTCAAATTAGTGACTTAAACCTGTGGGTTGTCATTGAAGAATCTTCCATCTCTACAATTTCTTAGTTATAAATAATATTGGCCCTCGATAATATGTATATTTTACTAATATATGAAGGTTATAGATGAAGGCTATTATTATACTTGCTACTGTTAAGCAAGCAATTAAGTATGAAATTTATTGATAATCAATAACTAATTAGATACCATCTATTATAACTTAGAGGAATTGAATCAAAACAAATAGATTTATTACAAAATAAATCTTAGTAATCTCAAATACATGGAACATTAACTAGTTGATGAGAAACTTTATAATAGGTTTTATCTCTTTTTGTAAATTATCAAATTTTATAGAATAATAAAAGCCTATTGAATTAATATGACAATTTACAAACGAATATGATCAGTGTTTAAAAGTAAAAGAGATATTCGTATGATTGAAATAACCTTTTGTCACAATTAGGTAGCTAATTTACATCGTTTCTTCTGACAATGTTTCTTGAATAGAAGGAATAGACGTGATTGCAAACAAAAAAAGCTGATGCGTAATACAATAATTGGGTAGCTGTGTACTTTTATAGGTTCGTGTCAAAGGTTCCGTATAGAGCAATAACAAAACTAAAGATCTAATTAAGTTATATAAAACAACTACTTCATTAAATAGAATTATGGGGTATGAGACTTTGTAATGATTTTGCCAGATGTTGATAAGTAAGTTTCTTAAATTATCTCCAGTTCCTAAATATGCATGCCAAATCAAAGTAACCCATATATAAATTACTCCTAAATGATACAATACGAAATAAGTCAAAGGTATTTTTAATGCATAAGCTGTCTACATTTAATGCAATTTTTACTTTTGATTAGTCTGTTTACATTTAATCATATAAGTAGTAGGAGCATATTGATATTGGGCAACTCATGAGTATGATAGCAATGGTTGTATGTAATATGAGTTTGAGAAAGACCATTAAATGTTTATATTTGGTTTATAAAATTAGTAAAAAAAATTAATAATATCTAAGCATTGTTATTAAATAATTTTTGAGAATAATTCTGCCTTTCTTAATATTTCAATAACTAATTGAATTCTAGTAGATAGATGAAGAATTTATTAATTCATACATAACATTATTTATTATTGATTTTTAATTTTTGATTATTTTTATAATTAAAGAAAATAAATTATCACCTTATAAAGGTTGTGTATTTTACACAAGTCATAGATCTCAAAGTTGAAACCATAATAAATAATTTAATTTGTATTTTATAATAACAAATACGATTTCATATAACACATATATACGACAACTATAATTTTCATTGAGTTTCTCCTTGTTATTATTATTGTGGATGTGCAATATATTCAAATTCTTTTTTATTTTACAATCCCAGACAATTTATAATCCATTTTGTTAATTCTTCTAATAATTTAGGGTATTTATTCTAATCTTTAATCCAAATTGAGATGAGAATAAAATTCTTTTTGGAGTGACCAATCTTAATGGTTAATATTATATTTTACAATTCCGCATACGCCTTATAAATGTGGATTTTCATCGCTTAAATAGTGTAAAATAAGTTCTTCCCACACTCTATTTTCAAATCCTCGTTTAACTCGGAGTATCAATCTACCACCATTCATATTTTATGGATCTTCCCAAACAGGTTGAATTTATTCCTGGAATAGAAAAAATTATGCCCCTAAAGGTAGTTTTTCAGGTTTCACCATATACGAATAAATTGACCAAAATTCTCTTGCTGTTCCGAATGAGGCTTGCGTAAGCATATATTATACCTATTTATTTCAACTGGTCACTAAAATTATCAACATTTTAGTCTTTGCTAACACTTAGCCAAAAGGTAAACCTAGCTCTTAATTAACAATCCTAGTTCATACACGTAATTATGTTAAATAAAATTAGTTTTATTTGATAATAAACTTGCAATTCTTTATTTCCTCTAATAAAAATTAAACAAAATTTTAACTTAAAATATATAAATGCTATATAACGATCATGTATGATTAGTGTAGAGCGAAAAAAATTGAACAGTTTTTTTATTTATAGATTTATAAATCTTAAATTAAAGTTAACACCTAATATTTTTGAGTTACAAATTTCATGGCCTTTTTATTAATAATTATGTCACAACTTATTAGCCAAATAAATTTGTAAACAAGGGATAGATACTAATACCAACCATTCAGCTATTTACTTTGATATTAAGTATTTTAAATGGGTTTGTATGAACACCACTTTTACTTTTCAAATATCATTATGAATTAGCCTTCAGTAGCCAGATGCAATGTGTTAAACTACTTTTAATAATTTTAAAAATGAAGATCTTTTCAAAATTACAATAGTAGTAAGATTATTAATTTATTTATATGAAAATAAACATATTAAATTCAATCTGATATAAAAGCTTTTTATCTATCTAAGCCTTTTTAGGGAATGTCACTTAAATGATAGAATTAATAAATACTCTTCTTCATTAATTTATGGTTTTTTATCTGAATTTTATTTTTAAGTAATTTCCTTCTCTTATTTTAATCTGTCCACATTTAATCTATGAACATTTCCTGGAGTATATGGGCTTGATCTGCCTTAAGAATATCTTCTCTCAGGAGTTATATCAGTTTTGATTAATGCATTTCCGGATGTGTAAGGTTTTTAAGGAGACTATTTTCTGGTTCTTTTATTTTAATATTCATCTAACTTATTTCTAACAATATTTAAAAAAATACCTAATATTTTACACTCTTTTTTGTATATTTTGAGACTCAACGGACTCAGTTGGTCTTAGCTCTATTCTGTGTTGAACTGTCTTTTAATTCTTTTTATAATTAAAACCTTATAGGCCTTTCGTTTGAAATTCATATGGGTTTTTCTAATGATGGTCTCCATGAAATAGTTCTTCGATGTAATGTTGCAAGTCTCCTTTTAATTTTTTTGATTTTTGTGATCTTCTTATCTAGTCATTCTCTTCAAAATTCGAAGGTTATTAGAAATTCTTAGGACTTATGAATTGATCCTTTGGACGTGCTACTTTCGGAGATACTATTTTGATAGCATTTGAATCATTGATGAATGTTTTTGATTGATTTGTGGAATAGTTACCACGTTTATGTATGATACTATGTTGTGAATCTAAATAGCTTTTCTTAGGCAAAGTCACTTTCCCTATTACTATAATTTAACTTTCAACTAATGGTTATTCAAGCTTTTATTTTTATGCACTATCAGATGACTCTGCTTATTATGGGATTTCTGCCAATTTAGTTTGCATTTTACTAATTGATAACTCACTAAATTAGATCTAACTCTTTTTTGCCAAGAATTAAGAGAAAACATCACTTTCATTAGGAGCCACTCCATCTTTTTATTTTTAATCAGTGTTATTTTAAACCATTTCACCTAACTTTTTATGTAAATCTTCAAGATTTTCACATCCTTATATCTAAGATACTATTAACTTTTTTTTATTGGAATCTCCTTTGAACATCTTGGCATCTTTATCTTCCAAGATTACAAGCACTTCTAACTTTTCCTCTATCATCTATAGTTTATGTTAATTGGCTTTATAATTAAATTCCCAAGATTCCCATATTTTAATAAAGGTTTCTTCATTTAAATGTTAATCCTTAAATAATTCGTTTCTAGATTCATAAATAATCGTTACAGATTGATTCCTTTGGCATAATCATCAAAATCTTAAATTGTCAATTCTTTAGCATTGTCTTTCACTAAACATTTAAATGCTTCTGATGGATTCTTGAACTTTGAGGACAAGTTCTTCTTTAGAACAATCCAATTCTCAAGAAGTGATTATTAAGCCTCTAAGACTTGCTTCTATTTGGTTAATTCTTCGATTTCGGACATGATATAATTAATTAATTAAAATAAATTTTATTCAATATTACTTTAAACTATTAATGAGTGCATCATTTTGTTTCTTTTCTTCTTATATTTTATAGTAAGCTTCTTATAATTATTTTCTTATATATTCTTTTTAATATTTCCATTCTTGCAACGTATTTTCACTTTGTTTTTGCATATTATTAATGAAGGCACAATCATTGGTATTATGTTTTTATTACTTTCTGGCTGAATAATAATTTTCATTCTTTTTATCACCTTCGATGTCACTTCTATTCTCTTTGATCTATACTTGATAGTCTGAAATCTATGAGTTCAATTTCAAGATTTCTAATTTGAGTTCATTTTATTCTGATTGGTGTTCTTTCTCTTGTTATTGATAAAGATTAGAAAATTTATCAATGTTGACATTTGAATCTATAACTCTTTATTCAAATTTGGATATTATGGATCTCAATTTATTTAATTCTTATTTATTTTGATTGTCTACTGATTTTAATTATTAATTATGATCTTATTGTAACTATTCTAATTATAATTTTAGATCAGAAATAAGAGTTTCTGAAACAGAATTTCGCTTTTTGATCTATTCATTTTCAAGTTTTAATTTTTCAATTAGTTTATCCTTTTATCTATTATCCTCCAATTAAAATTCCTAATAACTCTGCAATTCTGTTTATAATCTCCTAATTTCAAGCTCTTATTTTGATTAAATTTGAATATGCAAATTAGACAGATTTTTAATAATATGAAATTCATGCTATATTCTTTGCACCGTACTTTCCCATACCTATGTGATATATTTCTAAAGTTCATTAGTATTAATATTTTTAGAGAGATATTCGGACACAGCATTATTTGCTATGTCAACGATACCCCAGAAGTCCTCTTTATCATAATGGTGAATTTCATCTATAAAATTGTTTTTTATTGTTTCCAATTAAACTAATTGCAGATCTTGATATCTTCTTTATGAATCATTAAACAATCTTTCTAAATCCTTTTTCACACTCTTCCATTTCTTTATAAAGATTTCTTTTTCACTATTCCCTTCTAAATAATTTTTAATTTTCTTCAACAACTACTAATTAAATATAGATTTACTATTTAATGCAATTCAAGCAAATCTCCCAAGTCCTCATCCTGAAAGAACTCTTCTATTGCTTACTTGTAATAATCAATTTACGTGTTAATATGATATTCGAATTCCTGTTCTTGAATCATCTGCCATTAAGTTGCAATTTCAGGTAAAGTACCTTGATTTATCGCATCCACAAAATACCTAAATTTCAACATGTTATTATTACTTAGACATTTCAATAAAAGTGAAGGGAGTTATGGCTTTGCCTTTATATTACTTGAACTAAACCTTAAATGATAATTTCTTTCTCAAGGCAAGCACCTATTCCTAAAATTCTACTCTTAGTTCTTCAAATTTTACACTACCTAATTATTGAAGAGCTTTCTCATCCTCTGTAGGCCTGACAAGAGTGATGCAATCTCTTTCAGAAAAGAATTAAGATATATGTCTCCTAATTTTATTTTTATTCTCTATAGTTTCACTTATTCCTTTTAAAGGCTTGAGTGCAGCTTCTAAATAATCCTTTGGAAGGATCTTATTCCCATACTCATCCTCTAGTCGGAGTGTGAAATCTCTCAAGATCCACAAAAAAGAGGGAAAGGTTTCAAATAAATCCTTCTATGTATTTTAATCTGCCTTCTAAAGCATTTTTGTTAAATTAACCTATAATTTACAAAGGAATTTACAATCAACCCCAAATTCTGCAATGCCATATCATCGATAGTCCCAACACTATTGTAAATAAAATAGCTGCTCATTAACATTGCCAAAAGGAACACTTTAACATCATGATTCATATCTTCTTCGACTGAACCAATTCCTTCGGTATCAATTAAAATTGCTGGGATGGGTTCTTTATTTCTACCTGACTCAAAATAGATCAACTCTGACCACATCCATAAGCCCTGTAATAATATTTTTCAATATTCCTTACCTTAGTACATGAATTGATAGTAGATCCAACTTCAAATCCTCTGCTTTATTAGAGTAACAACTAATTAATTAAATAGCTTTTTCCTGTTCTGTATTTACCAACAACCACAATCACAGCAAAATTCTTGCATTTATCATTAAAAGATTTTATTATCTACACAGCTTCCTAACAAAGGACTAATTCTAATAAATTCGTTTGTTTTAATACTTTTAGTTTAAGGCTCGATGGCAATCAATTAAATAGCTCTTGGAGTTTGTTACATAGTAAATTAATTTAACGATTAAGTTTTATAATTAAATGTAATTTATCTATTCGCGAATAGTTCAAATTCAAAATAAAATTATGAATTATAATATGACTACATGGTTCTATACTTTCTTAGTAAAATATTAAATAAGTTATTATAGAATAACTAATTCAGTCATTTAAACTAATTTAGAATAATTTAAAATTAAAGTAAGAACAATTATTTGATATATTATTATAACCAATTAAGAAAGCAGTATGAATAAAATAATTTTAAAGCATGAGATGTAGAATGAAACTCATAATAGTTCTAAATTATGATGAGGATTGAAATTTATCTAGAATTATTCCAATATAAATTGATATTCATATATATGATGAGTCCCAATTCTCTATGAAGTTGAGTCTTTCATCATCCTCTTAATAATCTAGATCTAAGATTTTCTAAGACTTATATTATGAATTTACATTATCTTCTTTATTGATTTATTATCCATCTCTGAAAATATTGTGTTGAGCATAAAAAACTAGACGAGGAGGCTTATACTGCTTGGTATATAATCGATCCCAGTCGATTTCAGCGAAGAACATATGCTTCTTCAATACGGAGACATCGTTGTATCCCAATCGTTCTTCAGGGTCCTTTTTGAGCATCCGTTTTAATAGATCCTATGCTTCCAAACTTATATTTTTAGGTATAAATAATGAATCTAACTAATGAATTATGTAATACCATATTTGATCTTTTCCATTAAACTCTTTAAATCTTGAGAATAAAATGGTGGGTAACCTGTTAACATTTCATACAGGATAGTTCCAATTTAATAGATGTCAGTGGCTTTTAAAGATACTCCTCCTGAGACCAATTCTGGAGGTAGGTAGGCAGGGGATCCGCAAAAACTAGTGGCTGTAAAGTCATTTCCATCGAACTATTTACATAATCCAAAATCAGTTAGTTTAATATACCCCTCTTAATCAATCAGAATGTTTTCAGGTTTTAAATCTCTATATATAATTTATTATGAATGTAGGTATTCGATGGCTAGAATAATTTAAGCTATTATAAATTTGGCAGTATATTCATTCAAGATTTACCCTCTAGTCATATACTTCGATAGATCTCCTGCTGGACATAATTCTGTCACTATATATAAATAGAATTGAGTCTTGTTTATTAGAATATTATTAATACTTGGAAAGATAGATACAATTTAACAATAAAGGGATGTTTGATTGTTCTCAGAATCTGTAATTCCGAGATTATGTATTTGAGATAGCCATTTCTAATTAGTTTATCTTTTTCTTGCTATTTTATAGCACAATTAATATGTTTATACTTAGCTTTGTATACATTTCCAAAGCTCCCTTTACCTATCATTTCAATGATTTGAAAGCTCGAAAGGTTAATTTTATCTTAAATACTTTAGGAATTGCTCTTTTCTATGATAATATCAATTTCTGAAACTTCTTCACTGACACTATTCAAATCAGAATTCTATTTTTTTTTTTGAGTTGCTTATTTTTATTTAGACTGCTAGTGATCTTCCACTTTGCAATCTTCAATATTAATGATCGAATTGGGTTTAGCCATCATTAAACCAAAGGCTCTTTATGCTAACCTTTGTTCCTCCGGAGATTTTATATTCTGTTTAATGTATCGAGAATAGCCAACACAATTTTTTAAACCTTCATACCATCTTCTAGCAGCATCTTTGCTCTTCAGTGCAATGAAGATATGTTTGGAGAAGTATTTGATTTCCAAATAAAAATAATCATCCTCCTAAAACCACTCATCTTTAGATACTTTGATATCATAAACACTTTCTAAGGGTATGATTTAACTAAGTTTAGAAATGAAAAGTACTTAGGATTGTGTGGAATGTCTTAAATGTTTTTAAATTTAGCAATAGAATCTGTGTCTGGATCAACAATCATATATCGTTCATACATTCTTAATTTGAAGTAATTTACTTTAAAAATCTTTCCCTTGAGTATTGGTGGTCGTTAGGGTTTATTTATAATGAAAGTCTCTAAGTAATTTGATATAAATTTACATCTTTCATGAGATTGTCTAAACTAATTCCAATCATAGAAGAAATGAATGAAGTTCTATGACTTTGAACAATCTTTAACTCATTTTCATATTTTAATAATTATTTCGTTTTATTTCGTGCAATTTCGATGGCCCTACAATTATTTTTATCTAAAATGCTATTAATTTAATGATTCTATATATACTTCACATCTATTTTAGGATGATTAAGTAATAATTACACAAATTCAGTGTCGTCATTTTGAGCTGCCAAATGCAACGCTGTCCCGTGTTTACCTAATTGATTCACATTTAATTTAGGTTAAGCAAGCAATAAGCAAAAAACTTAAATAAATGAAAATTCATACTAGTTTTTTGTCTTAGACAAACTGATAGAGACAGACAATCCCAACCATCCTTAGTTTGCAGATTGATATTAGCTCCTTCAGTTAATAACCATAAAAATAGCTTATCAGATCCTGCTAAAATGGAAACATGCAATGCTGACCATCCAAAGAATGTAGTATCATTCAAGAAAAATTCTTTTTATTCCATGTGCGATTAAAGCAAAATTTTTGCTTCTTCCAAATAATTTTTCTATATGTGCTCATAAAATTATTCGATTTAGAGTGCAAGAAAACTGTTGTATATGATATTCTTGTCTCTTTAGGAGAATGAATTGTGAATTGACTTTTTTAGAGTTGAGGCAGTATTTTAATTGGTTGATTCGAAGGAATCATTTTGATAAATTTGAGATGCCCTTACACTAAATTAGTCTCTGCTATTTTTAACAAATAAAACACCCTCATTAAGTAGTTTTATTTAACTTAAATACTCGTATTTTTATATTTGCTTAATTTCTCTATTGTGAACTATAAAGAGTTGTTGATCATCTACATCTATTTCGGTTACTCTTTCGATTTAAAGTCTCAGGACTTACAAGGTTTCCTTTGAGGAGATCTCAATGAAGCAATCCTACATTTCTCCCCAAGCATTAAAATATTTAAGCTTTATTTTCATTTTATTAAAATAGGATTAATAATAATAATATAAAACCAAATATTTAATTATAGGTTATTAAGCAACAACACAAACAATTACAGTTCTGAATTTATCTAGAAACAGATTAAAATTATTCATATATATATATGCTTCATCAGTAAATATTATTATTTTAATTAAATATGAACGTTTAATCAACCCACTAATCCACATTACAGGATTTCTAAGTCATTCAAGAATTGGGATCTGGTTCTTTTAGCAATGTTTACAGAGTATTGCATTTATAAATATTTCAAGGTCAAAAGGATTGTAGATGGATAAGAATATGCTTTAAAAAAAGTTAAAATCGCTAACTTGAAGCAAAAGGAGAAGCAGAATGCATTAAATGAAGTCAGGTTCTTGTATTCTATAAATCACAAACATATCGTTGCATATAAAGTAAGTTCTTTTTTCCAATTTTAGGAAGCCTTTATTGATGAACCCTCTCAATGTCTTTGTATAGTTATGGAACTACTGTCTGGAGGAGACGTATATAAAAAGATCTCTCAAGCCAGAGGTTCCACTCCCTTTTCAGAAATGGACATCTGGAGAGCTCTCATTCATATCACTTTAGGGTATTTTGAATTAATATAACTGAAAAGATTAAAGGCACTTCATGATTAAAAAGTAGTACACAGAGATCTTAAATCTGCTAATGTCTTTTTATCAAGTGATGGAACTTTCAAACTTGGAGACCTGAATGTATCTAAAGTGGCCAAAGGAGGCTTTGTATATACATAAACTGGTACTCCATATTATGCAAGTCCAGAAGTATGGAGAGATTAACCATATGATATGAAAAGTGATATTTGGTAATTGTTCTTTATATTTTTAAGGTCACTTGGATGTGTTATATATGAAATGTGTTGTCTCTAGACTCCCTTTAGAGCCAAAGATATGGACTTGTTATTTCAAAAAGTTTAAAGAGGAACTTATGATAAAATCCAAAGCCATTTTTCAAAGGATTTGTCTCAAATTATCTCCAGTTTACTCTAAATATAACCCAATTTACGACCTACTTGCGATTAGATACTTGCTAATCCGATTGTTTAAAAACACATGAAAAATTTAGAAACTAACATAGAAACAAAACCAATCAATAAAACTCTTATGGAAACCATTCAATTTCCAAATAACTTTAAATAATTGAAAAATCAATTACCTAAGGTATTATTAAGATAAAATTATGCAGTCAAATTACGATGAGGTCAATCCGAATGTAAGCGCAGATAGAGTCTAAGATAATAAATCAACTGATAAATCTACGAGTCCGTTCAGATATTCCTAATAATAACAATAATAATAAATCCCAATCACTGAATCTAGAGTCAGTCAAAGCTAAGTAAATGTGATATAGGCACCACAATAATCGCCTTAATAAGTTAAGAATAGTTCCATTATGGATAAAAATCAAAGTGTCGTTCAATAACCTTAATAATATCTTAGATAATCCTCGTTAAATAATAAAACTGAAAAGCCTCAATCAGCATAAATTAATTAAAGATACAATCCATACGAGAGAGCACATGAACTGAGAGAACAAAAAGAAAGAGAAAGGGAAAGAGAAATCAAACAACAAAGAGAAAAAGACTAGCTCTTAAGAGAAAAGAGAGAAAGAGATGCCAGAGATGCTAAACTTGCTAAAGAGGCTAAGGAGAAACAACAATAAGAAGCCAAACTTCGTGAAAGCAGAGAACAATAAAGACTTTTGATGGAGAAATAATAGAGAGAATAGCAAGAATAATAATAATTTAGAAGGGTTTCTCCAATTTCTGCTTAACCTCGAGATTACTCTTACGCCAACTACATTAATCAACAATAACCCAGAAGTCAACACTCCTATTCTCCTATCACCAGATCTATGGATTAACAAAACATTTAACAGGGACAAGTGTATGAATTTAAATCTATATAGTGGTTAAAGAGCAAATTATGGCAATCAGATTTAACAAAGACCAATTGTAAGTTAATCGATCAATGTTAATCAAAACTATCCCAGCCAATAAAATAGACCTTATAATTAAGAGACGTCGTAACATAGGCCTTCATAAACTCCACAATCTGCAGCTCCTCGACAATAATACAGTCCTTATTAAAAACCTATTACTGACAGATATGCTGCTCATCCACAATCAGCTTTGCCATCCTCAAATGTAAGAGAAGTCCAAAAAACTGAAAGGCTTTAGGTGTTTCCAACTTAGGCTAAGGTCATCAAATAACGATAATCTGATCCAAATTAGAAAAATGATTTTTCATCTCCCAACTAATAGGCTATCAGACCTGCTGGCAAACCCTCAAGACCTTAATCTAATAATATCTTTGCTTAAAATGACAGAATCATTAAGACTGATTCCAGAGCATAGAATAACTTCATTACAGGAAATTATAATCATTATTATCCTATTGATAATTACTAAAGACATGCTTCAGATCAAAATTTAATCAGATATTAGTAAATATTGAGTATATTTTAGACTTCGATAATAGGATAGGTAAGTATTACTGCGTCCATAGGTTAACAATAGGAAATACTGAGTTTTGAATTATATTACTCAAGTAAAATAAATTATCGTTTTTAAATTTATTATAATATTATTCTTAAAATAGTATGTTCAGGAAATATAGTTTCTCTGAAGAAATTGTGGAAAACGATTTTAGCAGAGAATGGAATTGGGATGAATTTATATAAGATTCTAATTCAAGATTGATTAAAAAAAGAACAGCTCATTTTACTCAATAAGAGGACGATCTCTTGTGTCAATTGGTCGCCTAACTTGGAAGGAAATGGAAGAAAATAGCCTTACAATTTCCGAATAAATCAGATAGAATGTTGAGAAATCGATTTATCAAATTACAGTAATAATCAGATATAAGTAATATCAAACCTTTATTCATTAAGCTGAGGCCATCTCATCGCCAAAATTAGATCTAAGCAGTCATGAAGTAAAAGTCTAAAAAAAACGCAAAAATAATGAGCAATAATTATTGATCTAGATGAAGCAACTAAAATCAATAAAACAAAAAATCGATATTATTTCTATTCTCGTTTAGTAAACCAAATTAGAATTGATAAATCTACTAACTTCTCCTACTTTATGATTATCAATTAAAAACTAACACATGAATGTAATTATTTATTTCAAAACCAAACATATTATTTATTCTAATTTAATCTTATGAATTACTAGCGAGATTAATTGATAATTCAATTTATATTTTAATATCATCATTTCAGACATCAATATATAGAAATCATCCCAATATTAAAATTATAATAACTCCTTAAATTATAATTTAATTTACTACATATTTACTAGTTACATTTTAAATAAACAAGTTTGTTTTACAAGAAAAGAATTGACGTTTACTATCGAATATATTGTTGTTTATTTAAATTTTTAACTCACATAATAGTTTCTACTAGAAATATACTCAATTATTCATTATCACCTTAAGCATTCAATAAATATTCTAATTCATTTATATTGAATTAATATCCTTAAGAAATAAGTAATGATAAGCATGATCAATGTTTTTATCTATAAAATGAAGCCAATCATTGTGTGGGTTAATTTATAAGAATATTGTATATAGATTATATTTTGCTTTAGTTTATTAAAATCGATATCACAGTCATTATGCTGTGACATAAAGATTAAAAAATATAAAAAATTTCGATTCAACCTTCTGTAATTTGATTACTGAATAAAAATGGAGAAGATTTCAATTTTAGCAGTTTCCCCATTCTTTATTGCAATTGACATTCATTCATCTTTTGAATGAATTCTATATCGTGCTATTAGCCCTTCTTACTCTCCAGAGTCTCTTAAATGATCTCATTTTTTCCCTATTAACTTTTTTATCCATTTAGTATTATATTAGCAGCTCTGAGTTTTTGAATACAGGTTTAAAACTTAGTTTTTTTTAAGAAGTTTATTTGTTTTTTCAAATCAAAATGTTCTAAATATGTTCCAAATATAAGTTACTTTTTCTTGGTTATAAATATTTATTAAGATGCTGCGGGGTCAAAAGCCCTTGCTGAACAGCCTTTTTTTCCATCTGATAACTCTAATAGATGCGATTAACAAACTTTCTTTATTCTCCTTTCTTCAAACAAGGTAATGTAGAATCAAAATTGGATGTATGTTCAGATGAAGTATATAAATTTCTGCCAGCTTAATGAATGTCCTAGATTAAAGTGCTCAATTTAATAGATTAATAAGTCTTGAATGGTTCAAAAGATTGGCAATTTTTATTTCTCATATATATTATAATAATATTTTCTCTCTTTAAGTTTGTAAATTAAGATTGTGGAGAATATGTAAGAATTCATTAATAACAACTGAATCCAAATAATTTAGAAATCTGGCATAAGTAGTCCGAAGGAGTGATAATCTATACAGAGACTTCGAGGAATGCAATATATAAGAGTGTGTGGTTTTGATAAATTAATTATTTCATCTTTAAATGTGAGAAATAATAAGAGAGGAAAATTTGAGTAACAGATAAATCAATGGGTATTATTGTTCATATAAATTGATAAAATAATTGAAAACAATTAGAGGATATATTGTACATATTAAAGACTTTGTAAAAGACAGACGCTATAGTGAATTATATACAAAATTAGTATTGATATTAATTAAATTAAAAAATGTTAATTGAAACTATTGAAGTTCCAATTAGTAAAATAATGACTTAAGTATAAAAGGTTTATGTTCCCATAAATCAAAATCCAGATGAGAAAATAACTATTTTATATGAGAATATAGGAAAGTAGAATCTAAAGGAAGTTTGGAGATTATAATTTTTGAATTAAAATGTCGACTTATTGATGAGATAAACTTATGATGAATTGTTCTATTTGAATTAAAACAGAATTCTAATTTTGAAAGGTCCTAATATCATCACATATAATCTCCACGAAAAAATAGAAGTAGATTCAACAGTCCTAATTGAAAAAGGAGAATACAATCATTTTTCGGTGTACAATAATGGATAGGAGCAATTCTTATTCTTTCTAACCAAGCAGAATGTTACTACTGAATAGCAATAAAGTGTAAGTCAATACACATTGAGAATTTATGATACTCAGAAATTAGAAGTGTTATAGGAGGTGAAATTCTCAGCATCTGTAAGAGCCCTAGTTGTATCTCCAATCAGCAGAACCAAATGCTTTATGATGAATCCAAATTCTCCTACTAATAGGACATTGCAATTCATAATATACGATGAAAATTAAGTTTAGAGTAAGATCATTAATGTAAAGGAAACAAAGAATGAATTAAGGGGGACAGTGGTCAAAGTACTTAATGTAAACACATTAATTTAACCTTTAGTATTAAGATGATTTGATATTTGTGTATAATTCAAACGGAGTTAGCAAATAGTTCCTCCTCTTCTATTGTATTGAGAATGGAAACGAGAACATTCATGAGATTGATATTTAGTATCCTTTTTAGATTAGGGATGCTACAATAAAGGAAAACATTATCTTGATTAGTTGTTTTAATAGTTAATTGAATAGTGAAAATGCTTTTTTCTATGACATTTTGGAGAAGAAAGTGAAGATGATATCGAGTGGAGAAATGAATCATTTCTACAGCAAATACATAATAGTTTAACATAATAGAGAGAGTATAAATTTACAATTGATGGCCACTCCAAGTATGATGATGACTCATTATATCGACAACATAGATTATGATTAATACATTAAATAAGAATTATGTGAGTTTTGATAATTAAATTTATTTATTTTAATGGCATCTTAAATGTAGGAGCCTCTTTTGAAAGTAGAAGCCCTGACTGACTTTGGGATGACAGCGAGTGAATTATCGTAATATATTTGAATTGAATGTAAAGTTAGATGTTTGTACCTGATAATATAAGAGATGGATCAAGTTTAGATATATTGTCTAGATTTGGAAAGATTGATGGACTATTGACTAAATTGAAAACAGATCCCAAGGTAATTAAAGTAGATAATTTGATAGAGAGGATTGGATGCAACAAACATCAATGATTTGGAATTGAGAGTTAAAAAGTATTTGCATATTTCTATAAATAGTTTTGGAGACAACAAGCCAGAAGTTAAAGAACCTAAAACTCTATTAGAATATGTATATAAAAATGGAGATATAAATAGATTCTTGAAAATTTTGAAGATCCCATGTTAAGAATATTGTGTTTGGCAGCAGCAGTGAATTTAATAATAGGTGTATGGACTGAAGGTTGGAAAGAAGTAAATTCTCATTAAATTTAAATAGGGTTGGATGGATGGAATGGCTATATTCATAGCTGTAATAATTATTGTATCTGTAACAGCAGGGAATAATTATGTGAAGGATCAATAATTTAGAAAATTAAATGCCATAGCAGAAAATAGGAATGTAAATGTGAAGAGAGGAGGCAAAATAGTGAGCACCAATATTTATGATTTATTAGTTGGAGACATCATGATAGTGGACACAGGAGAGAAGATGCCAGTCGATGGCTTGGTTCTCGAATCAAGTGAATTGACTGCTGATGAATCTTCTGTCACTGGTGAAACTAAACCTATTAAAAAGACAATTCCTCTATCTTATGAAAGGAAGGACTAAAAAGAAAATACCAATTCCTTCTTGATCAGTGGCTCATCTATCATTGATGGAACAGGAGAGATTCTCATTTTAGCTGTAGGTGAGAATTCTCAATGGGGTATTTCAAAGAAGTTAATGACATAATAGTCTAAGGATGATAAAACTCCATTATAGGAAAAACTAGCTATTTTGGCTGATTAAATAGGTGAATATGGATTGAAAGCAGCCATAATAACATTTATTTCTATGACACTTCACCTATTATATGATGCTGCTTTTAATGAATATCCTTTATTTTCTGCTCATGCTGTCAAAGAAATATTAAATTTCTTTATTGTTTCAGTTACTATCATTGTTGTTGCAGTTCCAGAAGGATTGCCATTAGCAGTGACTATTGCGTTAGCTTACTCAGTTGGAAAGATGAAGGATGAGAAGAATCTCGTTCGATTTTTATCTGCTTGTGAAACCATGGGTGGGGCTAATAATATTTGCAGTGATAAGACAGGCACTTTAACTGAAAATAAAATGACTGTTACGAATTTGTACATTGAAGATACAGATTTTAATAAATTAGATCCTAAAGCAATTAAGAGTTCAACATTGTCATTACTTTGCGAAGGAATATGTTTGAATTCAATGGCTCATCCTTAGATAGACGAGAATGGCAGATTTGAACATATAGGAAACAAGACTGAATGTGCTCTATTGGAACTAGCCTATAAATTTGGATATGATTTTAGATAGATTAGATAAAATATGGGAGAAAAAATCAAGAAGAAATTCCCTTTCAATTCTGAGAAAAAGAAGATGACCATTGTACTTGATCTAAAGGGAGATAGAACATAATTCACCATATTCACAAAAGGTGCTCCAGATGTCCTTTTAGAAAGGTGTTCTCATTATATTAATGCTGAAGGAAGACCTGTTGTGTAATATATATTCTTATATTCTATAGCATTACTAATGATTATAAATAAAGGATAAATGCTGTCATTAAAAAGTATGCCTCTCAATCCCTGAGATCAATACTCCTCTTATATAGAGAGACTATGTTATAAGGCAGACCTACAAAACCAGATGACTTCAACAATATTGAAGACACAATAGATAAATAATATACTATAATTGGAGTCACTGGATTGCAAGATCCCTTAAAAACAGGCATAATCAAAGCAGTTTAGCAATGCAAAGAGGCAGGAGTTATTGTAAGAATGGTCACTGGTGATAACTTTGATACAGCAGTTGCAATATCTAAATAGGCAGGAATATTACCATAAAATTATGAACATAATGATGATTCATTGGCAGTTTTGGAAGGAAAAACATTCAGAAAAATGGTAGAAGGATTGATTTATGAAAATGAAGGAGTTTCAGTTATTCCCAAAGTCAAGAATCTTCAAAACTTTACATTAATTGCCAATGAATTGAGAGTGTTGGCTAGATCTTCTCCCGAAGATAAATTCTTATTAGTAACAGGGTTGAAACAACTAGAAAATGTTGTGGCAGTAACGGGAGACGGGACAAATGATGCCCCAGCATTAAAAAAAGCAGATGTTGGTTTCGCAATGGGTATTTAAGGAACTGAAGTAGCAAAGGAAGCTGCTGGCATTATACTTTTAGATGACAATTTCGCATCTATAGTGACTGCTATGAAATGGGGTAGAAATATTTTTGATTGCATAAGAAAGTTTCTAGTATTTTAGGTTACTGTAAATGTTGTTGCTGTCACGATGGCATTTTTGGGAGGTGTCTTTTTGAAGGAATCACCTCTTACAAGTATTCAGATGTTGTGGGTCAATCTCATCATGGATACTTTGGCTTCTCTAGCATTAGCTACTGAACCACCTACTGATGAATTACTAACACGTAAGCCGTATGGTAGAAAAGAACATATGATCACACCAGGAATGTGGAGAAGCATCATTTGTCAAGCCGCATTTTAATTGTTTGTTCTATTAATCATCTTATTCAAAGGGGATTCCATGTTTGGTATTGAATCCAGCAGAGGACATAGACTCGATGAAGAATATAAGTAATTTATAGTATCTATGTCATAGTCCTGTATTTTAAGAACATTACACAATCTTCTTTCACATTTTTGTATTTCTACAAGTTTTTAATGAAATCAATGCCAGGAAATTAAAAAAAACAGAATTAAATGTATTCGAAGGATTCTTCAACAATTGGCTCTTTATCTCTGTTATAACTGGAACCATCGTCGTTTAAATTCTTATTGTGTAATCAAATCTCATAATTATTATAGGGAATTTGGAGGAAAGGCTGTTAAAGTCACTCCTTTAGATTTTGCCCATCATTTTATCTGTATTCTAATTGGAATGTGCAGTTTGGCAATTGGCTATTTAATCAAACAAATACCAGATCAATACTTTTAGTCCATTGAATTATTCCGTGAACAGATTGCCACTGAAGCAGATCCAAACACTATTTAGGTATTACTTTCCCACTATAATTTTCAAGGGCAAACTTAAAAAACCATCTACATTCCTGAGAAAAAAGAGACAAATTGAGGGCAAACAACCTATAAAAACTAATTAAGAGATTGAAATGAATTCAGGTCAAAGCAACTTTAAATTAAAATGAATTTTATAATATATTACAGTTAATAATATTTAATAATAATCATCAAGAATCCAAAAATGATTTCTATTGCACAAATTTTATAAATGATTAAGTTAATAAAGTTTAATCAGAGTAAATATAGAAGGAGAGTCTATTTTAGTATACATTTTGACCTTAGAATAAATCCATCATGGAAGGAAATAGATTTAAGGCTTATTTTGTTGAAGTATTTTCGTAATAAGCATTTTAGAATTGCTATACAAAATTATACGGCCCAATCTTTTTTAGTAAAAAATTAGTAATAGGATAAATTAATAGAAATTCTTAATTATTATTACTTTGGAATTCTTCAAAAGTCTAAGGATTTAAGTTTAATTACTAAGTAGGTTGCAATTCTATATATTTTTCAGTAAGAAAGGTAAACTCAAATTTAATTAACTTCTGATTGTCAGTTTTCATAGGACTCTCCTCAGAATCCATGACCACCCTTTTTATAAACTCAAATTCTTATATGCTGTTTTTTTCTTAGAGATTATTATTTTCCCATCTCAAGGGATTCAGATTCGATTCAGTAGAAATATTTAATGTTATAGTTGTATTTACATCTGCCTAAGTCAAACATTATTCAAAAATGTTAACAACAATTTAGGAGAGAAATTAAGAATTAATTTTAATATTACAATCCTCTAAATTGAATTAGGTAATAAACTTTTTATTTTAGTAATTAGACATAAATGAAAAGTAAGTTTCTAAATTGCTTATGAATTGTTTTAAATTAACAATTTTATAACTGACTATGTCATTGTTTATTTTGCAAGCATTTACAAAATAGTAAAAGTTTTAAAATTGGTTCATAATCCATATATTTTAACATTTAATATACTACAATTTTTCATTATCGATAGTAGAATAATTTAGGGTTAGGATGGCATTAGAAAGATGAGAGAGTGATGCAGACAATTAATTTGCCACATACAGGATAATCTTATTCAGATATTTGATTTACTCCTCACTTTTAGTCATCATTTATTGAGGTTTCTCTTAATTTATGACAAATAACAAATAGTTCTTTCCATAATTCATTTGTTTGACATCTATGTTCAGGATATGATTTTTCTGTTTCTGATTATCAAAGTAAATTCCATCTAATTGTTCAATAATTTAAATATCACCTTGATTCATTGATAAATTTTATTTCACTTTGTAAAATGAATATTCTTCTAGTGTTTATCTTTTCACCGCTGCTTTTTTTATAGATATGTCTCCGGATTTATGTATTGGAATCTAGCATAAGTCAACTTATGTAGGAACTTAAGCTTTGTTTACAACATAGGTATTTCTCAAAATGTCAATCATCGATTTTGTATCCTCAATGTTTAATTAAGTTTTGGCTTGTTGATTCAAGAATTCTAGTTAAAACGAGTTGTTATGCTGATTTAAACTAATTGCAAAGAAACAATTAGGTACGTATTCTTCCAGTAATTCTCTAAAATATAAATGCAATTGATTACATCAATTTGGTATTATAATGCATATAGGAGAATGCTAAACGAAACATAAATTCGTTATAATGGGCGTATATGATAACCAAAAATTGGGAAGTGAACACAAATAAAATATATGAAAAATCTTATGCAGTAAGAGCATCCAATTGATATAATTAAATTATGGGAACAAATAAAAATGCCAACACTCGTAATCGAAAATTACTAAAGAGTAGTTGGATGATTGAGATCGACCCACTATAAAAACCAAATAAGTAAAGAGGTCTAAAATCAAAAGTAAAATTACTTTTATTTTGTCTATGTGGCTACATATAAGCTGATTGTAATAGATATTAGGTACATAAAAAAGTAATAATATCTTATCTTTTTGTCAAATCTTTTGGTAATTACAAGGATTCCCAAGATGAAAACACCAGAAACTGCTAAAGAAATAATCAAAAAAACATGCTATCCATCAATCAAATAAATAGTAAAAAAGTAAAAGCATAGAAGCATAATGACTATTTCTATAATGCGAAAGTAGTGAATTCTGTATTTACTCATCTCCATTTCATATAAATCTTCAAATTCTTGGTTGGAGAAAGTCAAGGTCCATCGATTAAATTGTAATTTATTCATAAATATATCTACTTTGGGAAGAATTTGACATTAAATGCCCAAACATTTCTTGCATTTATTTTACTTCAAAGTGAAATTTCGAATGAATTCTCATCTTTACAAAACTTTTCAGTCTTCCTTTTCTTCAAAAAAGAGTTAATTTAAAACCAATAAAATCACTTAATATAACAGAACAATTTCATTAACATAATAAACCATATTATTATTGTTATATTAAATATGTTAACAAGATTGAAACGATTCTCATCATAAAGATTATACTAATATGCAAAGTATCAAAATTAATAAAATAAGAAATTAAAATTAAAATAAATTTGATTTAGTTCTCTATCGATATAATCAAGGAATATACAATTATAAATATTGAAGTAAGATAGGAATTATTTGCGAGCTTAGAAATTAAGGTTAGATTTTAAAGTGTAATTAGTAAATACAAATAAAAGAGTATTGATATAAGATCAATATAAAGGAAGAATTAATAATTACATTTATAGATTGTTATAAATATTATAAATTTAATGAGTGATATATTGATTGATGATCGTATTAGAGACTGGGTGTTCTTGCCGATTATAATTGTGATGTTTATGATTCAGATGTTCAGAGGATTGTTAACAAAGTATATGGACAATAAAAAAACAACACAAAAAGTGACATCAAAAGCTTAGGTTGCGGAGATGATTGATAAGTACATAGAGTAGACAACATAATTAGAAATATAACTTAATAATCTTAAAGACTAGCACGATTACATGGATTATTGCCAGATCATTCTTTTAAGATGAAGAGAGCTCATTTATGTGATAATAAATCAGGCATATTAACAAAGGCAAGTGAGAAGCCAGCAAAGGATCCAATGCAATCAATGTCCATGATGAATCCAGCTGCCATGGCTGATATGCTAAAACAAAATTTAAGTGGAATTGTATTCATGGCACTCCAATATTAATGGGTTTCTTATTTTTTTTCTGGTTTTGTGATTGGCAAAGTCCCATTTCCCTTGACTCAGAAATTCAGATCTATGTTATAGAGGGGAGTAGATGTGCAGAATTTGGATGTTAGATATATAAGTAGTATCAGTATTTACTTTGTGTTGTTGTTTGGAGGTCTTTAAAAGATTCAGTAATTGATGTTTGGAGATGACACTGACGAGTTTGTTGATGGTAATGAGTGTTTTTAGAATATTATTAGACACTTAAATGTAGATGTAGATGCAAATGATGGGAATGCCAACGATGCCATCTTTTGGATAACAGAATGACCCAGGAAAATTGTTTATAGCTGAAAGAAGTAATTAAATATATTGAATTTAGCTCGTTTGGAGGGAGTAAAACACACATTTGAATTGAATAAATCATAAGATAAGGCCATAAAATCCTTAAAAAGATTTTTAAATCAATGATGTACAATAAATGTTATATGTTATTTTGATAAACCATTTCAATATTTATCCGTCTTAAAATCATTTGAATATTATACAATTGTTATCATCAATTTCAATATCTAATACTATATTAAGTTCAAACCTGTCTAATTATACTTATAAATCTACAACCATTATTTTAACCTCATTATTACTCATTCTAAGGAATAAATTGTATTAGTCAATAAATATGAATTACAATGACTGGAATAATCCATAAAAATGAAAAATATCAAAGATAATAATAAAGTTTATTAAAAAAGAACTAAAATTAATTCTGGATGTACAGCAAATATATTATCAAGAAGCAAGTGTTATTAAATTAAGCCTTGTTAAAATGATAGTTAAAGAATAGAATTTTAAGTATGCTTTTAAGATTTCACTAATTCAAAATGAGTATCATTTAAATTACATTCAAATGAATCAAGGAATTCTTTGAAAATTTGCTAGTTTAAGTTAGATAAATAAGAAAAGCATAAAGGGGGAGAAGCTAAAAATAAAATATGATTAGAAATATTATTTATTAATAATATTAATTATGGGATATAGATTATCTGATCCTAAACGATTTGGATTGGCCAGAACATCAAAATAGAGATGGCATTTATGGAGAACTCAAATGACCTAATTAGTGACACATGAACGTATTCACACTACATGGGCTAAAGCCAGAGCTCTCCAATTCGTGGCTCATAAGACCTTCAAACTAGGGTAAGATGCAAGCAAAAATAGAAGTAATGCAATCAATAGACTAATGGGTATCATATCAATTTAATACTATTCAGGTATTCTGACTACTAAATTTGCTATAAAGAAACTTATTAATGAAATAGTACCTAAATTTAAAGATCCAAAAGAATAAGTATTCAAAGTAGTTGAAACCAAAAGAAGAAGAAGCGATTTTGCTAGAATGGGATATATTGAGTTTACAAAAAATGAAATTGCCAAATATGAAGAATCTTAATACAAGTAATTGTAGGAGACAGGTAAGATTGTGGATATTAGTAAATACAATAAAACTTGGTTGATAGAAGAGAGGGACTTCATAAAGGATAAATTAGACTAAGCCCAATCTAGATTTGATGCTCTCTAAGCTGATTCTAACACTCCAAGTGTTGATATTAAAAGAGCAGATTAGGATGTTAAATTTTTCAAACGCAAACTAGAGACTGTTGAAAAGGACCTTTGGATTGAAAATAAGAATCCATTAGATATGAGAAGATATTTCAGAATTTATTGATATATGGAGATGCATTATTCCTATCAACCAATCTAGCAAAATCCATATTTCTTCTATAAAAATTAGGTCTTTTTTAATTATAATGTACTTCAAATGTAGGTATGTTTATGTTGCCTTCCTATCGTCTATGTGATATTATGATGTTGGTCTTGATTTATTAAATGATCCTTTAGAATAGTTTACGAAGCAAATGGTCTTTGGTTTTGGTTGATCGCAATTCAAATCAGGCATTATTGCTTAAGTATGCCATGACTTTCTCTTGGTTTATTTATCAAGTGGAATATGCTTTTTGGTTGGTTCCCAGGGAAGTGCAAAATTAATGGTTTGCTGTAATTGAGAATCTCTTTATTCTTCAAATATCGTAACTCTTTATCTGCAATTAATAGAGACTGATGGGGTTCTAGGTCGGATGTACTTCCAAACTTCATCTTATATTTTTTCAAATTTATTTGTGAATCTGGATGTGGCAGAATGCTCTCTCTTCGCAGTTGTATGAAAATGTTAATGGAATGCCGATAAATTAACAAGTTGATCTTCATTTTGAATTGATTCTACAGGTCCGTCCACTTTCAAAATTTATCCTAACGATTTATCAAGAAGAATTTATCGAATTTTTGATTTTTCAATCATTTAAATTAATATTGTTAATAAACACAATTAGCTTAGAGAAATGGAATTTAAGAACAAATTGCCATATAATCATAGATTCTTGTTAGACTGATATTTATTAATGCATTTACATTTTCTTAAATATTTATTCATTTCATAGTGATATCAAAGAAGTTAATTTTATTCTAATCCACAGTTACCATAATTACTTTGTCTTAGTTTTTAATCAATTGGATTCTTGGTTTCAGTCTGAAATGATATAAATGCAATCTTACTTAGATGAAAGAAAAGTTAGACCTTCAACCCCTAAGTCTTTAGATTGAATGTCATACTAACCATTATCCTTTTTTAGTATCCTATATTACATACATTACCCACAGTCAATTGGAATACAAAGAGCAAACATTATTTGACTAAGTGTAAATTCCAACAAAACAACATCGACATCATTACCTTGTAAAATATCATCTCTATTTGTACTACATACCTTAACACCACCGGTAGAGGCTATTAACATTTCATTAATTGATAATGGGATCATGGTTTAACTGCAAGGCAATGTGTTTGCATTCACTTTTCTTAGTTGCTTCTCCTTCTCATTCACTTATACAATAGTAGCTCCTTATTCTCCAGCCACATAGACACAAAACAATTCCCCAGGCTTAATCAAAGCCATTTTATACTTTCTTTATCTACCCTACAATCTTGAATTACCAATAGTCATAAATAATTCTAATTTTGATGTGATGTTCTTATATCCCAATCTACCATCACAATCAACAAATGCAAACGCATTATTTTGCAAATCTAAACCTGCTAAAATCGGTTTGCTTGAAAATGTATATTAATCCTATATTTTTGCAGTTTATCCTTAGAAAATCCAGTGATACACTTAACCATCGTCAGCTCCTGTGATAAATGTATTTGCTGATAAAGGTTCTATCCAGTTTACCTATTGAGTGTGTCCATCAAATGCCAATAAGGATTTCTTTTCAGTGTCAAACACTCTCATTTTCAAATCATTTTAACTAATCATCACAAAAGTTGACTTAGATAACCCAATCACAGCCCCTATTGTAAAATCTAAAGTGAATTTTCTATTCAATTTTATATGAGGCCACTCTCTTTTTGAAAGATCTAAAGCCCGACTGAATTTACAACATATTCCAGATTTGCTTATGACAATGGAATCTGAAAGCTGATAATTTTCACGTAATATTGGTTTTGACTGTGGAGAATTCAATAAATAATTTTATTATGAATTATTAGAATATTGCTATACTAATTGAGGAGGTTAAGGTACTCGATCCTAATTAGAACACCAACCTAAGAAATAATTTTACAAAGGTTCCTATATTGTTGAGTATAATCTTTATTAATCCGATTCAAAAATCCTAGGTGACTCATTTGCTCTTAATAGTTTTGTAAACTGATCCTATAGACTATCTAAACTAGTGTTATCAATTAGTTTTAATTTCCTTAGATATTCCTCTGAATTATCTCCCTATTATCCTAACTTACAAGTGAGTGCCATGGGAGTAGATAAAAAATAATTGGCTGCAGCAAAGAATTTCGAATTGAATTGTTTTCTGGTTTACTCAAATAATGATTCATAGTCTGAATAAATACCGTCCAATTTTCGAAACACGTTTTCTTTAACTTATTATAAATACAATTAGAACTACTCGACAATGAATGTCATATCCTAAGCCACAAGAGTCTTTTAAGTATCGATATTATCTTTCACTTTTTTAAGATGATGTTTATTATCTTGAATATATTTATATACTTTAAGATTTTCATCATTATTAAGAAACTATTCCAACGAGGTTTTATTCTATTGTGTAGCCTAGTATATGGATTAACTAAATTCAGCAATAAATTGTTTAATCCCCAAAACATTATTGTTGTGCTCCATATGAGCATCCTCATTAAGGCACTATTAACAAAGAAGTATTTTCTTTCGCTTGCAATTCTTCTCTACACACCCTTTAACAATTAATCCTTATTTATGGTCTTTACAACGCAAAGTGGCTTAGAATGCAGAAGGTTGAAGCAAATCCTCTTACATTACAAAAATAAATAATTTATATAAAAACTAATACAATTTTTGTTTCTTTTATTGATATACCAATTTTATTACCATTGATATCTATCTATCATACTCTAATAATATTATTATCCAAAACTCATTATCTGAGAGTCAGATTTAGTATTTTAATTACAATAATGTATAATATTAATCCTCTTCATAATTATTAAATGAAAGGATTTTTATAGAATGTTAAATATTAGTGAAAATATTATTTGTTAAAAGTTTGAAATTGAAGACCATTGGAATCTATGTTAATCTAAGGATTTGACATAATTATGCCATTCCAATAGGATTATAATTTTCAATTAAGTTTGCCTGAAGAAAAATGGGATATTTTGATTACATTAGAACTATTACAATGAGTATATATATTAATTTATTAACGGTTTATCTCAAAAAAGACTTCAACATGAATTACTATATGGAAAGTTAATTGTAAAAAATGAGTTAACTACTTGATTAAAAGTAATCAGAGATCAATAAAATGAAAGCATAAGTAGATAACTATTCAAACTATGAATTGTAAATAATACCTGTTATTCCAGATAATTAGAAGAATTGAACTCATGTATTATATAGTTAAATTACTAATTTCAACAACAACAAGAGTCTCATAAAGAGTAAGTTTATTTTATGCAAAGGGAATTGTAATTTGCGTAAGATGAAATAAAAAAATTGCAAGTATTCATTCAATAGTTTTTATTAGAGAACAAGAGGTTAAAATGAATAATAATAAATTGCCTCACTTCTTAAGGAGTTGTCTGAAATTAAATAAGAGAACAATCAATTAAAAGTAGAATTATCCAAGTAATAATAAAAAGCAAGGACTAATTCGATTCAAGATAATTGTATTAATGAAATAAGAGTAAAGACATAGAATTAAATAATTATATAGAGACTATCTCCTTACAGGAGGGTTCATAATTGCAGTTTTACGAGTCCATCTTAAAATCTTGTTAAAGAAAGAAGAGTTCCTTCGCTCCCAGATGTTAATTCAAATCGATTATCCACCAATAAGAATTCTTTACAAAATTTATAATAGAATTAATCTTATTCCAAGAAACCTCCTCTTTAGTAGGTGAGCAATATTAGTCCTATTAAGTAAATACTATTTATTCGTCATTGATAAACAATACTTATATAGAATATTAGCTATTAAATATAATTTATAATTATAAGTAGTTTTGTTTTAATATGAAATACAGAGGTTTATACATCTTAAAAAATATATGATATAAATACTAAAGACAATTAAGTTAGGAGGAGAACTAATATATTTAGTAATCTAACTTCTCTGTCCCAAATTTTAAATAAAATCTTGCAATAGGAGTAAATGTTTAATAGTGATATATCCATAATATCAAATTTGATAATTGTAATAGTTAACTATTCTATATTTATGTACAAATATGGTAATTGATAGATTGTTTGAGAGTGCATGAATATCCTCATTGTATCTGTAATTGCATATGCTTTTAATTACAAAAATAAGGTAGAGATTGAATTATATTTACTTATTTATGATTATTTAATTATATATATGAGAAAAAATAAACCAACTTAAAAAATAATTGTAAATCGTGGTATTTCTCAATTAAGAAATGGTTCAGATTAGGAGGAGACTGAATAATTACCTATAATAAAGCCCAAGTCAGTAGTAAGGAGTTCAAAAAAAAACTTTGAGATAAAGAAAGTTAGAATAAAAGTAGCCATTTCTGATGACAAATTGGAAATTAACAATAAATAAAATAAATTAAATCCATTAAAGTCGGATGAATCTCCTCCATTGAGTGATAGGAATCAATCTCCTTAATCGAATGCTAAGAAAGTAAAAGAGGATAATAATAGATCGGTATTAAGTATCTATAAAGTAATTTATGTTTTAGAGAAATCCATTCATCAATAATATGAGATTGATGATACTTTAGAAGACAATTTAGAGAGTTATGTAAAAATATATCACTCAATTGTGAGTTTGATGGATGCAATGAGAAAAGTAATAGATAATTAATTATAATTTATTAGAACGTAAGTGATTAAGTGGATTAGATAAATAGATTTTTAGAATTCATAGATGGAGTCCATTTTTGTCAGATTGAAAAGCTTTTGGTTGAGAATACAAGATAATTTAGACAGATTTTAATATTGATTAAGATGGGGGTATTATTATTATAATTTTTAGATTGTTGTGATCATAAACAGTTTTTTTGACCAACACTTATATACAAGTAACATAGTCAATTTTAAGAATATGCTGATTTATAATTTATAAAACTATCTATTATTAGGAGAGATGATATTGCAAAAGACACATTAATAGGAACTTTAAAATATCATCAATCAGAATAAAAAGTATTTTGGGAGTAAGAAAGTTGATTCAAATACTCAAATTAGATAAAATGTTGAATTGTTATCAAGCCTATACAAATCCTTAATAAAGTAGTCAAAGGACCTTTACCAATTCTTAAGCACTTACTTAAAATAAGTACCACACCTCCGAATGTTGGAATCAAACTTAGTATTGCAGAATTTCATTTCTCTGTATTTTACAATTCAGCAAAGCTATCATGGTTTATTAGGAATTCCCTTGATATGTGTAGCAAACAAACCATATTTACCAAAAGAGGAAAGTCATGAATTCACTCTAATTTTGGATATGGATGAAACCCTTATTCATTTTTTTGATTAAACCAAAAGTTTCTTGATTAGGCCATACACTGAGCAATTTCTATAGGAAATGAGTAATTACTTTGAAATTGCAGTGTTTACAGCAGGATTACCTGATTATGCTAATTGGATTCTAGATCAAGTGGACAAAAATAAGCATATTTAATATCGTCTCTATAGATAACATGCGATGTAATATCAAAATCATTTTGTTAAAGACTTATCTAGATTAGGTCGTAGTCTTAAAAAAGTTATAATAGTGGATAATATTGCTGATAATTTTCAACATTAGCCTGAGAATGGCATCTTTATTAAGACATGGTATAATGATCAAGAAGATAAAGAATTATTGGAACTGAGTGTTTTTTTAAAGAAACTAGTAGAAAATGGATGCGAGGATGTGAGAGAGGTTCTTAAACAATACAAAAGTTAATAACTACCTAAAATTTGATACTTGTCTTATATAATTAATAAAAATATCTTTATATTATTAATAATAATTATTTATTTATTTAAGAATGGCTTCCTTTAGACCGTAGTCTTCATAAGCTATTTCAGTCAGATCACCGAGCAGAAGTATTGTATTTTAATTTTACATTAGTTATTCCAGTGGTATCCAATATGGGTCATTCTTATGTGATTCCAGCAGCCCAAAATTTGCCAACAACTGTGATAGTCAAAGAGAAAAATCCAGTTTCACATGGTGCAGAAAAAGGAAATGATGATGAATACAAAGATGAATTAGAGTTATGGAAAAAAAAATATTTTACATTAGAAGCTTAATTAGCTAAATATGACATAGAAAATGAAATAGTAATAATAATCTGAATATTTAAGAAAGATGAATTACAATCAAGGATTCTGGGTTCATAGGAAGATGCGAAAAAGTTCTAAATTGATCTGTCCAAAATTCAAGCTGATATGGACAAATAAAGAGCAGAAATGAATGAATTAGTAATCGAAAATCAAAAATTACTGAATTAATAAGTAGAGGTAGAAAGATTGAAAAAATTAGTTGGTGAAAGAGAGGATACCATAGGCTAAGTATCAATTATTTCTAATTAATAGTTGTCACAAAAATGCAGAGAATACTAAGAATAACTATAAGAATTGGAAGCATTTCAATAAGCATTATAAGATATGCATAATCAAAATGAAGGTAAAGAAAGGATGATTGAACAATGGAAACTAAAATATACTGAGAATGATTAAAAGAAACAAAAGGAAATTGATGAATTAAAATAAAAATTAGCAGAATACAACCCAACAGAATTATAATTTCTAAAAGCTCAATTAGATAGAGAAAAATTAGAATGGTAGAATAGTTAAAAGAAGATTTAACAGGACTTAACTGATGCTCTTAAACAACTAGATTAATGGAAAATTAAATACAATGTAAGAATTTAATTCTAAAATAGAATCTCGATATGTAACATTAACAACTCTCATCTGCATAAAAGGAATCAGTTGCAAGAATAGATACCTTAAATCAGGAATAAAATAAACTGACTGTTTAAGTTCATAATTTGAATGATGATAAACAAAAGTTATAAATAGAGTTGGAAGCCACTAAAGGGTAATTAAAATTACATTAGGGTTTGATTGGAGAATTAGACAGATTGAAAAAGTTGTTAACCGATAAAAGTGCAGAACTTTAATAACTATAACAATAATCACAATAAAAGGATATTGATCTTAATAATGCAGATTTAACCATTTAAGAATAGAATCAAAAAATTAAATCATTATCTTTATTGTAATAAGAAAACTAGAGATTGTAATAGGAATTAGATTAGCAACACAGATAAAACGAATAATTGCATTAATAAAATGCTGAATTATTGAAAAATCTTGACAAATTTAAGTTATTAGAAGAAGAGAAAATGCAATTAGAAAATAAAGTAAGTATGTTGGCAGCAGAAATAGAAAGATTAAAAGTTTAATTGAAATAGAAGAATGATAAAATTTTATAAGAATAAGAAGAATTGAAAAGATTATAAGAATAATTAAATGAAATAGATGAATTACAAAAGTAGATTGATGATTTAGTTCGTTAATTAGAATAAGCCAATAATACAATTGATGAACTAGAGAAGAAATTATAGGCAATTACAGAACTTGAATAAAAACTCCAAGATGCTAACAATAAAATATATGACTTAGAAAATAAAGTCGCTATGTTAAGTGCTGAGTCTCAAAGATTGAGATATCTAAATGATTAAAAGACTGAATAGTTGAAAGAAGCTGAGCAATAATTATCAGATCTCAATTTACTTAAAGAATAATTACACTAATTATAGAGTAAATATGATGCACAATAATAAATGAATTAGAACTATTAGGCTGAATTAGAAAAACTAAGAGGACAATCAACTTAATAAGATACAAATATTTCAGAATTAAGAAGACAATTAGATGAACAAAAAGCATAAAATATAGTACACAAACAAGCAAATTCAGAACAAGTTATTGCAGATTTATAATAATAATTAAGTTCATTATAATAAAGTTATAAGAAAGTTTCTGAATCCAATTTGGCCAATGAAGAAGATCCAACTTTGGATTTATAAAATAGATTAACTTTATTAAAACAAGAAAATCAGAGGTTGAATTAAACAATTGTATAAAAGAATTAAGAAGTCTTAAATCACTAATAATAAAATCAATAATTACAAAAAGAGTTATTGTCCTCTGATACTTTGTAAGTGTAAATTCAATAACTAAAAGAATCAAATTCAGTATTGTAAGAACAACTATAACATGAACAATAAAGTCGAAAAGGTTTGGAGGAGAAGATTTAATAATCAGAATAAGAAAAATATGATCTTTAAAGTAAATGTGCTATGCTTTCAACACACATTGAAGGTATGAAGTATAAACTTGAAAAAATGGAAAATGTTGATGAATTGAAAAAGATCATATAAGATCAATAAGCATAATTGGCTGAAATGGATGCCTTAAAATTAGAAATTGAAAGCCTTAATGATAGAATTGCTGAATTAGAAAAAGAATTAAAATTATGGAAATAAAAACATGAATAATTGGATTAACAATATCAATAGTTACTTCATGTAAAGGAATAAATGGAAAATAAGTTAGCTATGCTTTCATCAGAAATTGAAAGATTAAAAGTACTTAATTAAAAGAAGTAAGGAGAAATTGATCAATAAAACTAAGAACTAATGAAAATGGATTAAGAATTAAATGATTTACATAATTAATTAGAAGATATTAATGAATTAAAAACATAATTGAGTTCACTTGAAAACCAATTATAATAATAAATTGATGACAATTAAAACAAATCTGCTGAAATTACTCAACTCAAATAACAAGTTGCTGAAATTGAAGGTTTACTTGTTAATTAAGAGGATCTTTAGAACTAAATTAAGAAATTAGAAAAGGAATCATAATCGAAGGATGAAATCATAGAATAGTTCAAATAAAAAATCACTTAATTAGAGAGTAAGATTGCAGAACTTGAGGACATAAAAGTATTTATATAATATAATTATATCAGTATAAATACGAAGATAAAATGGCCTTATTAAGTAGTGAGGTTAAAAGACATGAGTTTAAGGCTAAAAAATTGGAAGATAAATCGAATGAACTTTAAGTCTAAGTTGAAAATTTAACTCACGATTTAAATGAAGCAGATGCAAAAATTGCTGAATTAGATAAGGTATATATATCATATTCATCTAAAGGACTTAGGATAATGGAAATTTGAATATTCAAAATTAAACAGTCTTCAATACAAGATAGATGAATACAGTTTCTTATTAGTCGTTTCATTTGCAGAAATTGAAGCTTTAAGATCATAAAACTTTACATTAAATGAATAATTAGATAATCATTAAAAAACAAAGGTGGCTTTAGCCTTAGCATAATGAGAATTATAATAATAGATAATTTATATATCATTATTAGATATTCATTTATATATTTCTGATAGAAAATAATGAAAATAAAGATAATACATTTATTAATTGTAAATTTGATAAAAACATTTATAATTTAATTCATTCTGGTTACTGAAATTTATCATAGAACATCTAACAAAAAAATTCAAACATTTGTTGTTTAGATGGTTAATTTGATGGATAATTTGGACCATTAGGAAATGGAAATTGACTCTGATTACCATATTAATGATCATTCATTTAGTTATGATAAGGGTAAGGCTAAATATTCATATTAGGCTGTTATCCTGGAATATAATTAAAGTTTTAATTATTAGCATGTTATTCATTATTAGGATTGTATTTTCTTTATTTTTAAACATTAGGTTCTTATTGATTTGGATATTATTGTTTTTGTCTATAGAAATCTTATTATTGAGGTTAATTGTTTCTAAATTTTTTATCCCTTGGCTTCTATTAGTTATAGAATTATTATTAAAAGGGTTGCTATTATTACAATGGTTAAAACTATCCCTACTAATAGTTTTATGGGTACTATTATTGTTGCATTTGATAATTCCCTTAATTAGCAACTGGAGGTGGTGCTTAAGCAAGATCATATTACGCTGGATTTACCATTGACTTTTACACACTTTTCTATATTGCCTAATCTTTCTTTGTTAAGAATTCTTAAATACCATATTATTCTAATGGAAATGCATAGCTATTTGGTCTTTAATTATAATTTTACTAAATAGGAACTTATTCTGTTGGGTTAGTTTAATTCTTTTGCTATCTATCATATTGATTCAGGTTTTATTAATTAGCTTGCTAACTTTTTTAATACTCCCAATTATTATATTAACCTTTTTAATCAGGAGTGTAAGATACAGGTTTTTCCTGGCTTTAATTAAGTTATTATGATCGATTTGTGTTTGACTAGCTTTCCTATGCTTTTTATATCATTTACTAATTGTATTGTTAATATTTTGAATTAGTATTCACATTTTATGGATCAAAGATTTATCTTTCTTATGACTTTTATCCTTAATTTTGATCATGAATTTGAATGACATTCTTACAGTTTTATTATTGTTGTTATTATTGTTGTTACTATTACTATTACAGTTATTATTAATTCCTATTTTAATTTTGAGATTAATATTGTTTTATTTCGCCAGGTTCAAGCTCATTAAATTTAGATTGTTATTAAAGAAGATTATATTCTTTTTAATATTCTAATTCATCTGATCTCAATTTTTCTAATCTTAGCTCAGCCTTCTTAATATTTTCTTAATGTATTTTTTCTTTCTCCTTTTTCTTCTATTCCTCTTTCAACTTCTCTTTAGCATCTTTCTCTGCTTACATCATTTTTAAAATATCTTAATTATTTTTTTTTTCACTGCTTTTTCTTTTCTTACTATCTTTGTTCTTATCTATTTCTTTAACTTTTTCCTTATTTTAGGATGAGCTTTTGGCTCTGCTTTTATCCTTCTCATCATTTTTAGAATCCTTTCTTTTACTCTTAGCTTTTTAATTTTCACTTTTA